CTGGTGGAGCTACTGGTGCTCTTCGCCACCTCCTCAGTCTTCAGCCAGGTGCTACTGGCTTCCCTGTGGCAGGTACTACTCTTCCGTTGCTGTGTCCACCGGCGGACCAGTCACTACCGCCACTGCTACCGCACTCCCCACTGCCTGCTCCTGCTCCTTACACTGCGGTGTCAGAGTCACTGACTGAGCGTCGAGAGCCTGAGACTCGTGCTTCCACCCCTGAGCGTCGAGAGCCTGAGTCTAGCTTTGACCTTGAGCCTGAGCCTAGAGCTGCTGTCCGTGCTCGTGTTCCTCGTGTTCGTCGTCCGCGTGCTCCGGCTGTCCCCGGCACGCACGATATGACACTCCGTCCTTCCTCTGTTCCTCAGCGTGTTGTCCTACCGTTACCTCCTGCGTCCTCTCTGCCTGACGTTGCCGACCCTCCGTCTGACCTTGCTCGTGCGTCCAGTCCGACTGTTACTCGCCTTCTTGCTACAGTTGTGACGGACCCTACGTTCTCTTCTCCAGCTGCGTCTGCCCTAGTGGCTGAGCTCGTTGACTTTGCTGCTGTGTACCGCCTCGACTACCTTGCGAGTCTTGTCTCTGACCCTGTCCCTGCCTGTCCTCCGTCCGTCGGGGGTGAGACTGCCCTTGGCTGTACTGCCCTTGGCTGTGACGTTCTTGAGGACAGACAGGAGGAGCTCGAGTGCCTTGCTGCCGCTTCACCCCATCATGCGACCATGCTGCTTGCCCCTGAGGGAGACCCGGATGCACTTGACATCCCCACCCCACGCTCCTACAGGGAGGCGATTTCGGGTGAGTACTCCTCTCAGTGGCAGACAGCTATGGACGCAGAGAGGGCTTCCTGGAAGTCCACAGGCACCTACGTCGACGAGGTTCCCCCACCTGGGGCGAACATCGTCAGTGGCATGTGGATTTTCAGGGTGAAGCGGCCGCCGGGTTCTCCGCCTGCCTTCAAGGCACGTTACGTTGCTCGAGGCTTCAGTCAGCGTGAGGGGGTCGACTTCTTTCAGACCTTCTCCCCCACCCCGAAGATGACCACTCTTCGGGTGTTGCTACACGTTGCAGCTCAGCGTGACTACGAGCTGCACTCCCTCGACTTCTCGACAACTTTCTTGCAGGGTAGCCTTCACGAGGCCATCTGGTTGCGCCGTCCACAGGGCTTCACTTGGTCGTTTCCTCCTGGTACCCAGTGGAGCCTATGGCGACCAGTGTACGGCCTGCGTCAGGCGCCCCGCAAGTGGCACGACACACTGAGGACGACACTTGCGGCTCTTGGGTTTGCTCCTTCGACTGCTGACCCGTCGCTGTTTCTACGCACCGACACTACTCGGCCGCCGTTCTACATCCTCGTGTACGTCGACGACTTAGTTTTTGCTACTGCTGACACTGAGGCACTGGCCCTAGTGAAGGCGGAGCTGCAGGAGAGACACACTTGCACTGACCTGGGTGAGCTGCGGAGCTATCTTGGCTTGCAGATCACCCGGGACAGAGCACGGCGCACCATCACCCTGACTCAGTCCCACATGGTGCACCAGGTCCTTCAGCGCTTCGGCTTCCAGTTCTCCTCGCCACAGCCCACTCCTCTGTCTACCGGCCACTCGCTCTCAGCTCCACCTTCGGACGAGTCCGTAGAGCCGAGTGGTCCGTACCCAGAGCTTGTGGGTTGCCTCATGTACCTGATGACGTGCACACGACCTGACCTCGTGTACCCTCTCAGCCTTCTGGCTCGCTACGTGGCTCCTGGTAGACACCGAAAGGTGCACTGGGATGCTGCGAAGAGGGTACTGCGTTACTTGTGCAGTACATCGGGCATGGGGCTCGTGCTTGGAGGACGGAGTTCAGTGGTACTCACCGGACACTCTGACGCTTCTTGGGCCGACGACCAGGCGACTCAGCGTTCGTCACAGGGTTACACCTTCAGTCTTGGCTCTGGTTCTGTCTCGTGGAGGTCCACTCGTTCTTCGTCTGTGCTTGGCTCCAGCTGCGAGGCCGAGATCTACGCTGGGGCCATGGCTGCACAGGAGCTACGCTGGCTGACCTACCTGCTGACCGACTTGGGGGAGCGGCCGCGTTCTCCTCCAGTTCTGTACGTCGACAACAAGGCAATGCTTGCCTTGTGTCGTGAGCAGAGACTGGAGCACAGAACGAAGCACATTGCTCTTCGCTACTTCCTTGCGCGTGAGCTGCAGCAGCGTGGTCAGCTGCGCCTTGCTTACGTGGCCTCACGGGCCAACACTGCTGATGTCTTCACCAAGGCCCTTGGGTCTGGTGATCATCAGCGTTTCTGCACTGCTCTTGGGCTTGTGCCCACTCTGCCTCACCTGCTGGTTGCTTGACTTGCTTTTGTTGTACACTGCTATATATATTTATACCTGCATGATTACTCCTGCTAGGTTGTGATCAGTGTACTGCCTTGCTATTTATAAATCTGCATGTGAACTGGCCTTGTGGCCGCCTGCTTGTGCTCAGATTGTGTGGTATCCTTGAGATCCACCCTGGGCTTTGCCTTGCTTGTTCTCTTGCTTGACTGGTCTTGTGACCACTGTTCGGTTTGGCTATCCCCTACTTCACCTATGGGGGTGTGTCAAAACATATTTGTTTGTTCATGTTACTCTAGGTTGTGTAGGGTTCTTTCCTTAGAGGGTACAACTTCTCACTCTCGATAGTCTTGTACCCTCCTCCCTTACCTAATCGACATTCATCACCTAGCTAGAAGTTCTAACAGCGCATGCGGCTGTGATTGGGCCGCACGGCAACATCCCCGTCACTGCTGTCTCTTTCGATGGTTCTAGACAGGTTTGTGCGGTGGGAAACCGAACCGCAGCTGTTTTTGCCTGGAAACCATGCACGATCCCACCTTTTGCATGGTCCCTTGGATTCGCCTTATTGCGGGCTTCAGTTTAGTATGTTTAAAAGTGAATTTCATTTTCCCCTTATTATAGGCGCGTGCGCTTATACAGATACCTCAATTAGAAGCGCACCCCCCTAAAAAACACTGTTTTATTAAAAGCGCACCTGCGCTTTTATCCGGGGTGATACGGTAAGCCTCGACTTCGTTATATGGTACCCCTTCCTTGCCAAACCTCGCACGGCTGGACTTGACCGAGTCGGCCTACGCTTCGGGGATAGCCCGAACCTTGCTGCCGGCATTGCACTAGCCTGGCCACACAGACCGTGTTACCGTTTGCTGTTTTTGTTATAAGTGTTAGCTCACATATTTGCACATATCTGTATTTTTCAATTTAGTTCAATTGCACCCGTAACAGTTATCCGCACAGTATGTTTGACACAAACTGAGATACGCCATAGGTCGACTTCATTGTGGGCTTCGAGTAGGCTACGTACGGAACCTGCAAACCTGCCTTGACTTACGTTCGGTAGATTTAGAACGTGGACTTCCTCATTGACTTAGGTTTGGTAACGAGACCAGGCGCTATGTCAGAAGATTACACGCGGACAGTAGTACTTGCCTGGTACAGGTCTTTTCTGATTAGGGCAACAACAACCCCCAGACAGACGCAAACCCAGAAACAAACGGCTGTGATGAATCCACCATGGCAAGGTCTCGTCGCGTCGCCGTCCTTTTTCTCGTCGCGTTCATTCTCTCCCTCGCCTCACCCTCCTCGGCTGTCGTAACAATCAACCCCTCGCAAGGTCGGTCGCGGCGCGGCTGCCTCTTGTAAATGTTACAAATACTACCACTTCCGTGACAATATCGATCTTTTAGGACCCGTACATCTACGACGATTTTTCAGGTTTTAGTACGCGTACGTGTTGAGAATGTACCCCTGCCTTTATACCGCGTACGCGAGTTACGCCGCTCCGCGCACCGCACGCACCAGCCCTTCACCTCTCGCCTTCGCTCCCGCACGCGGGTCACGCCGCTACGTCTCTCAGCTTCCTTCCCGCCCGTTACGGCCGTAGCGTGTTGTCTCCCATGCTGGACCTCACACAATTCCTCCTGGCGCCTCACATTTCCTCAAGATTTGAGGCACCTAAGCCTTCCTCGCCCAATCCTGCTCCCAGCTCCTCCCAATCCCTCCTCCCTCCTCCCAATTCTTCTCCCCCCTGCTCCTCCCTATCCTGCTCCCCCGTCCTCCGAATCCTGCTCCCCCTGCTCTCCCCTCGATCCTGTTCCTACCAATCCGCCTGCTCATCCCAATCTCCTTCCCCACCTCCCCCACCCCCGCGGCTGTCCGCCGCAGCGGCGGTGCTGGCGGAGTGTCAGGGGCAGTGGCAGGCGCAGCTGCGCGGATGGAGCAAGGGGGGGGACTGCGCGCAGGTGGAGGGCGTGCGTTGCAATGAGGATGGCTTCATCGTCTCACTGTGCGTGCTGCTTGCAATTCAGTGGATTCCTGAGAACTCTAGCAATAAATCGAATGAAGGGGGGGGGGGAGAGGGAAGGAGGGAACTGAGAGCATTTGGAGGGCGTGTGTTGGAATGCAGCTGGCTTCATCGTCTCACTCTGCGTGCTGCTTGCCCTAAAATACGAAGGGCCCTGGAATAAACGATTTCAATACGGATGGGAAGTCGGGTTGGGTTCATGATTCCAAGCCCGGGGGCCTGCTGTGGCCATTTTCCAGGCGCCCCAGAACCACTTTCCTTTTTGGGATGGAAATTCCAGTTAAATTCATGATTCCAGGCCATCCACACACGTTGATATTCTGCTGAGGGCTCCGGGAGAGTGACTTTATGGACCGTGCCTGCTGGACCATGCCTGCTGGACCATGCCTGCTGGACCATGCTTGCCATGCCCGCATGCAACCATGCCATGCCCCCATGCAACCATCCCTCCAAGGCCCCGCATGCCTCCCATGCCCTTATGCTCCCCATGCCCCCCTATAGGAACGTGAGTGCGAAGCAGTTGGAGGGACTCATTCCAAATGCCATTGGGAACCCCACTCTACTGCGATGTGATGCCATGTCATACGAGGCAATGCCTCCCATGTCACCCATGCCCCCCATCTCCATGCCCCTCCCCCCATGCCTCCCTATAGGAACGTGAGTGCGAAGCAGTTGGAGGGACCCATTCCAGATGCCATTGGGAATCTCACCGCACTCACAATACTGTACGCCGCACCATGCCATGCCATGCCATGCCATGTGATGTGAGGCCGTGCCGTGCAAGGCCATGCAATCAGAGGCCGTGCCGTGCAAGGCCATGCAATCAGAGGCCGTGCCGTGCAAGGCCATGCCAAGTGTTGCCATGTGAGGTCATACTATGTGAGGTCATACCATGCGAGGTCATACCATGCGAGGTCATACCATGTGAGGTCATACTATGTGAGGTCATACCATGCGAGGTCATACCATGTGAGGTCATACCATGCGAGGTCATACCATGTGAGGTCATACTATGTGAGGTCATACCATGCGAGGTCATACCATGTGAGGTCATACCATGTGAGGTCATACCATGCGAGGTCATACCATGTGAGGTCATACCATGCGAGGTCATACCATGTGAGGTCATACTATGTGAGGTCATACCATGCGAGGTCATACCATGTGAGGTCATACCATGCGAGGTCATACCATGTGAGGTCATACTATGTGAGGTCATACCATGCGAGGTCATACCATGTGAGGTCATACCATGTGAGGTCATACCATGCGAGGTCATACCATGTGAGGTCATACTATGTGAGGTCATACCATGCGAGGTCATACCATGTGAGGTCATACCATGCGAGGTCATACCATGTGAGGTCATACTATGTGAGGTCATACCATGCGAGGTCATACCATGTGAGGTCATACCATGTGAGGTCATACTATGTGAGGTCATACCATGTGAGGTCATACCATGTGAGGTCATACCATGTGAGGTCATACTATGTGAGGTCATACCATGTGAGGTCATACCATGTGAGGTCATACCATGTGAGGTCATACCATGTGAGGTCATACCATGTGAGGTCATACTATGTGAGGTCATACCATGTGAGGTCATACCATGTGAGGTCATACCATGTGAGGTCATACCATGTGAGGTCATACCATGTGAGGTCATACCATGTGAGGTCATACCATGTGAGGTCATACCATGTGAGGTCATACCATGTGAGGTCATACCATGCGAGGTCATACCATGTGAGGTCATACCATGCGAGGTCATACCATGCGAGGTCATACATACCATGTGAGGTCATGGCGGTTTGAAGCCATGCCATTGCGAGGCCATGCTGTGTAATACCATGCCATGTGTGACCATGCCATCTAATCCCATGCCATGGTAGGCCATGCCCCTGCATGAGGCGTTGCATGTCAAAGCATGAAACTGTGAGTTCCTTCCACCCATGGCTGGCCTATCTCCACCATACCATACCTAACCGCTCCCCATCCCTTTCTTACCTCACATGCCTCTGCGATACAACTACCCTTCATCCAGGCGTCTCTCAAGCACTATGCTGACTGGGTTAGAGAGGCGTCACAGGACTCATTGCCTCCCTCCCCATCCTACATACAGCTTCCTTGATCCAGGTTCCTATCAGGACCTCAGGAAATCTGAAACCAATTTCATTTGAGTCACTTTAGACGTCTCATAACTCGTTTGCCTCCCTCCCTCCCTCCCTTCCCTACACCGCCCACAACTCCCCTTCATCCAGGCGTTTCTCAAGCACCAAGCTCACCGGCTCCCTTCCAGCCACTCTACCTCGCCTCACCCGCTTGCAAGAGTTGTGAGTGGCAACTAGGCTATTTTTGAGGCGCCTTAAAACCCGCTTAGAAGAGCTGTGAGTGCCATGCTACAGTCTATTTCATTCCCGAGGCACCCCAAAGCCATCAATTCATACATGGCAAGGCAAGGTGGAAGCAGTCAAACAGCTCGCCACTACAGCTCTGGCTCAGACTGATGCATTGCTGCCAAGTGGCCCCTTCACATGACATGACATGACATGACATGACATGACGTGACATGACATGACATGACATGACATGACATGACATGACATGACATGACATGACATGACATGACGTGACGTGACGTGACATGACATGACATGACATGACATGACATGACGTGACATGACATGACATGACGTGACATGACATGACATGACATGACATGACATGACATGACGTGACACGACAGTACACGTCATAACATGGCATGACATGACATACCATCTCATTGCATGACATACTGTCTCTCCCTGTTTCCACCCGCCGCATCTTACTGGCATGGCATGGCAGAATTCTCAGTTTCAACAAGCTTTCAGGCTCCATCCCAGAAGCCATTGGTGACCTTGCCGCCCTCTCAAGCCTGTAAGCTTCCATATCCCACCTTTTCCATCGACCATGCCTTCTCATACATGCCACATGCCACATGCCGCATGCAATGAACCACTCGCCCAAAACATTGTGGGGCAGCCCGAGAAACCTGGGGCACGTCTGATGCTAGCATAGAAGCTCCTTGACCCGTCAATTCAATCAGAGCTAGGGCTTGCAAGACTTGGCTGTTGGAAACACAGGATGTGTAGGTGGGGGTCTTGTTGTGCACTACTCCGTGTAACCTCGTGCCCAAGTCACTTGCTCCCCATATATGCCCCTCGTTGTGCCTTGCTCCAAATATTCATCTTCTTGTGCCTTGCTCCCCATATCCACTTGATGTGCCATGCTCCCCATATGAGCCTTTCTGTGCCTTCCTCCCACGGGCCCCTTGCTGTGCCTTGCTCCCCATATGCTCCTCGCTGTGCCTGCACAGGTCTTTTGAGGAGAACAAACTCACAGGCGCAGTCCCTTCATCCATTGTCCACCTCTCCAATCTCACCTTGCTGTGAGAACCATTCTCCACCACTGCCAACTTTCATTCTGCCTGTGATACCTTGTTGACTTTTGAGTCGACTCAAAAGCCAACTCACCAATCGCACCTTGCTGTGAGAACTGTTATCCACCACTGCCATCTTTCTTTCTGTGTGCAATAACCTTGCCCAGACTCCACCCACCCCCTACTGCCTCATGGATCCTCATTGGCCCTCACTGACCGTCAGTGGCCCTCACTGACCGTCAGTGGCCCTCACTGACCGTCAGTGGCCCTCACTGACCGTCAGTGGCCCTCACTGACCGTCAGTGGCCCCCACTGACCGTCAGTGGCCCCCACTGACCGTCAGTGGCCCTCACTGACCGTCAGTGGCCCTCACTGACCGTCAGTGGCCCTCACTGACCGTCAGTGGCCCTCACTGACCGTCAGTGGCCCTCACTGACCGTCAGTGGCCCCCACTGACCGTCAGTGGCCCCCACTGACCGTCAGTGGCCCTCACTGACCGTCAGTGGCCCTCACTGACCGTCAGTGGCCCTCACTGACCGTCAGTGGCCCTCACTGACCGTCAGTGGCCCTCACTGACCGTCAGTGGCCCCCACTGACCGTCAGTGGCCCCCACTGACCGTCAGTGGCCCTCACTGACCGTCAGTGGCCCTCACTGACCGTCAGTGGCCCTCACTGACCGTCAGTGGCCCTCACTGACCGTCAGTGGCCCTCACTGACCGTCAGTGGCCCCCACTGACCGTCAGTGCCCCCCACTGACCGTCAGTGGCCCTCACTGACCGTCAGTGGCCCTCACTGACCGTCAGTGGCCCTCACTGACCGTCAGCCGTCAGTGAAGTCAAAATGAGCGTAATGAGCAACACCGTGTGCATGATAAGCATGCTGATTGAGCAGCCCTGATAAGCATACCTAGTAGCAGTATTCAGTGCCAGCCAATGCACCATGTTGGATCACATGAGACGCTTTGAGAACAAACGTTTTGCACATGTTGTGCGTTGATGACAAATAAGCCCCATGCTGTACCGGTCTCTCTCTGCTGCTTAGTTATGCCTTCACGTCTGCATCAACAGCTTCTCATGTCATGTGCCCCATGTCGTTGCGCGTGAATAGGAATCTTGGAACCAACAAGTTAGAGGGCACAATCCCTTCGGTCATATTCCACCTTACCAAGCTCGCCTTGCTGTGAGTATCTGTGTTGTGTTCTTGTGAGATTACCTCTAAGGCCTCCAGGTCACGGTAGCCTGAAGTGACTTTTGAGTCGACTGACGGTCGAAGTAAGTGTTTAATAAAGGGTCACGGTAGCTCTCACTAACCCTCAGTGACCGTCAGTGACCGTCAGTGACCGTCAGTGACAAGCCCCGCACGAAGGGTTGAGCAACATCTCGTTCCTTGTCTCAGGTCCTGTCTAGTTGCTCTAGAGCACCCGAAATACATATCTTCTGCATATCATGTCCCACCATGTCGTTCGGAGTTTTTGAGAATTCTCAAAAACTCCCTCCAAAACTTCTACATATCATGTCCCACCATGTTTCCGGGCGCAAAGGGCTGATCCATGGGTAACTGTTTTTGCCCAGTTCTAGTCTAGCAACTAAATGTCTGGTGACTGGTCCCCACACTAACCGACCTTCCGACCTTCCTACGCCATTTTTCACTTTGTGTCATCTGGTTTTGAGATCCACCCACTCTGTGTGTGCGCTGTGTGTGGCTCATGTCTCATGTCATGTCATGTCGTGGCATGGCAGGGACCTTAGATGGAATCGCTTCACAGGCTCCATTCCAGCAGCAATCAATGACCTCTCCCTCCTCTCCTACCTGTAAGCGGGCTTCCTGAAATCATCACAGGACAAGAACAAGCCTTTTCTACCTACAACCGTCATGCCAGCACACCCTTTGTGAACGTTGTTATTTCAGATGGTCAAATCACAATTCAGGATTCAGTTTGCACCCGGTGAAGCCACCTCCCTGTCAAGCCAAAACACGCCGAGCTGAGTTCTTCCCCTGAGCTAAGCGCGTTCCGAGCCGAACCGGACCTCTCCAGCCGAGGAGGTGTGCCTGGGTTGGCTTTTGAGTCGACTCAAAACTTACCTCTTGAACCGAGGAGCTGCGCTCGGCTCGGCAAACCCCTCGCGTCAGCCGAGTGTGTCCTGTGCCTCATCGTGCCACCTATGTTTGGACTGATTGAATTGAACCGGCCCTGTGTTTGTCACCCTCGCTGGTATTTTGCAAGTCAACTTACAGGCTCTTGGCTTGAGAGTTGGCCTTGTGTTTGTCCCCATACGTCTCTTGTTGTGCTGTGCTTCTCACATGCCTCTTGTTGTGCCGTGCTTCTCACATGCCTCTTGTTGTGCCGTGCTTCTCACATGCCTCTTGTTGTGCCGTGCTTCTCACATGCCTCTTGTTGTGCCGTGCTTCTCACATGCCTCTTGTTGTGCCGTGCTCCCCACATGCCTCTTGTTGTGCCGTGCTCCCCACATGCCTCTTGTTGTGCCGTGCTCCCCACATGCCTCTTGTTGTGCCGTGCTCCCCACATGCCTCTTGTTGTGCCGTGCTCCCCACATGCCCCTTGTTGTGTCTGTCTGTCTGTGAAGCTCACTTGGTGGCAACAGGCTCACTGGCGCAATCCCCTTACCCATCTTCCACCTCACCAATCTTGTCTTGCTGTGAGAACATTCTTGCATCCCATTGTTGTGAGAAGGATTTTCCACTCCACCAGTCTTGTTGCTGACTTTTGAGGCGCCTCAAAAGCCAACCTTGTCTTGCTGTGAGCATACTCTTGCAGCCCGTTGTTGTGAGAAGGATTCCTCAGCCCACCAATCTTGTTGCTGCCCGCGCTTGCGTGTTGTATGTATTGCAAGCTTGGAACCACAGCACCCTTGCCCAGGTTCCATCCCCTCATCTGTTCACGATTCCTTCCTATCTCTTGCTGTTCCCATCCGTGCCGTGTGCATGACACCGTGACACGCATGGCAGAGAGAGCTTTGTTGAAATCGACTGTGCGGCTCCATTTTGAGTCGACCCAAAATTCACTTCCTTTCCCATCCGTGCCGTGTGCTTGGCACCGTGACATGCATGGCAGAGAGCTCCGCTGGAATCAACTATCAAGCTCCATTCTGACTCGACTCAAAATTCCCTTCCATCCCGCATGGCAGAGAGCTCCGCTGGAATCAACTATCAGGCTCCATTCCCGCAGCCATCTCCAACCTGGCTGCCCTCTCACACCTGTGAGTGAGTAGCCCAGACTGACTCTCAGTCTAAGCCCCTCAAACACAGGAGCACGCGCCCTGACCCAAATTCTGAACCGCGCGACTGCATGCATAGCCCATGGTGGGCCGCTGATGATAATGCAGGGGGGGCTTGCCAAAGGAGGACAGGTGGGCTGCGGAGGCCTTACTTCCATCAAACCAGAGACAAGTATTGTGTTCAGAGACCATGGTGGGCCGCTGATAATGCAGAGAGCGTGGCATGGTGATGGTGTTTCCACATGGCATGGCATGGGTTGGCATAATGATGGTGAGTCCACATTGTTCGAAATAGGCTGCATCTTCAAAGTTCCAGGGTTTACAGTCTTAACAAGTTTAGTTTTCGGTTGGATTGGGTGTAGACTTTTGCGTCCCCAACCTATCGAACCCCATCCCCATCCAAAATCTTAGCCTCTTTTGGTTGGTTGGTTGGATTGGTTGGATCCTCCTAGGATTTTCTTGGGATTGCATCTCATCCAACCAATCCCTCCTAGTTTGTACTACCTACGGCCATATATCCTAGTCTCTATTCAATGCATTCAATCCTTTCTCTGACATGCATGGCATGGTGATGGTGTTTCCACATGGCATGGCATGGTGATGGTGTTTCCACATGGCATGGCATGGTGATGGTGTTTCCACATGGCATGGCATGGTGATGGTGTGCCAACAGGGATCTCAGCTTTAACATAAGAATCACGGGCTCCATTCCCCTCGAGATGCAGAGCCTTACCAACCTGCAATCTCTGTGAGTGAACCGCTGTTTCCGCTCTGTGAGTGAACCGCTGTTTCCGCTCTGTGAGTGAACCGCTGTTTCCGCTCTGTGAGTGAACCGCTGTTTCCTCTGTCACCACATTCCACTTTGTCTCACGATTGGCTGCCTGTAAAGTTCTCCTTTTTCTTAAGGTATTGATGCATAATTGTGTATGCATCTTTGTTGGTGTGCGCATGTGTGTGTGTGTGTGCGTGCGTGCGTGCGTGCGTGTGTGTGCAGATACCTCAGCTATATGAGTCTATCAGGCCCGTTTCCCTCCTGGATATCTGGCCGCACCATACTCAGAAAACTGTACGCCCTTTGTTCTCTTTTGTAATCAACCCATACTGATACTGCAGAAAAACAAAATTCCGTAATTTACCCCTCCCAGCCATGCTCCCCTACCCCTTGATGTATGTTTTGATTTCACATAGCTGCAAATCTGTTTGATTTCAAGCTGGGGTTCCAGCATTCTTGAATCGACTAACACATCGCCTCTTTGGGTTAGTCTACAAAGTTAATTAGGTTGGTTAAGTGTATTTTCTTTTATCTTCAACCTAATGATCGATCCATATATTTCCATATATTTCCTCGGTTTGGATGGAGCCTCCAAGGATTTCCACTCTATTCCGCTTATCCCTTCCATCCCTTGTTGATTCCCCCTATACCTCTTCCCCCCATTATTCTACCAAAGAGAAACTACGTGGCCAATATATATGTATGGACCCACATCATTCACTTGATATTCATGTTTAGCATTAAACAACCACGCATATCAGAATATTATGCCGTTATACCAGTTGTCCATTCCAGTTATGCCATCGTGCATGTGTGGCTCGTTGCAGAGTCGCAGCACACAACAGCATCAATGGCAGCATACCAGAGTCAATTGGCAGCTCCATTCACCTTGAAATATTGTAAGATTTTGTGGCGCCTTCATCTTGGGCTTGTGGCATGGCCATCACATGTCCTCATACCATCAAATGTCCTCATACCATCACATGTCCTCATACCATCACATGTCCTCATGCCATCACAGGTCTTCATGCCATCACTGCACCCTATCCATCACTGCACCCCATCCATCACTGCACCCTATCCATCACTGCACCCTATCCATCACTGCACCCCATCCATCACTGCACCCTATCCATCACTGCACCCTATCCATCACTGCACCCTATCCATCACTGCACCCTATCCATCACTGCACCCTATCCATCACTGCACCCTATCCATCACTGCACCCTATCCATCACTGCACCCTATCCATCACTGCACCCTATCCATCACTGCACCCTATCCATCACTGCACCCTATCCATCACTGCACCCTATCCATCACTGCACCCTATCCATCACTGCACCCTATCCATCACTGCACCCTATCCATCACTGCACCCTATCCATCACTGCACCCTATCCATCACTGCACCCTATCCATCACTGCACCCTATCCATCACTGCACCCTATCCATCACTGCACCCTATCCATCACTGCACCCTATCCATCACTGCACCCTATCCATCACTGCACCCTATCCATCACTAAACCTTGGAATGCGAGATTTCTATGACTCCATGTGAATAAAACGAATGCGGCTCTATAACCAGGTTCGGCCCGGCTTTGCAGACGGCTCAAATAGGTTTGAGGCGGGCGAAACCATGTTTAACCCTATCTGCACCAATCCAGGTCGATATGGAAGAACAACCTGTCAGGCAGCATTCCCAAGTCCATTGGCAGCCTCACCCCTATCCAACCCTCCTACACCCCTATCCGCCCTGCGTGCACCCCTCTCCCTCACTGCACCCCTGTTGCTCACTGCGCGCGCAACAGGTCGATATGGAAGAACAACCTGTCAGGCAGCATTCCCGAGTCCATTGGCAGTCTCACCAAGCTCAGCAGCCTGTCAGTGCCCTCCACTGTCATACCCTTTCCACTTGTTTGAGAGTTCTCTAAAAATTCATCCTATGTGGGACAGGTGTGCCAGTGCCTCACCACGCTCAGCGGCCTGTCAGTGCCCTCCTTTGTCAACCGCTTACCTCTGACTTGAGAGAGTTCTCTCAAAAATCAACCCACGTGAGACAGCCGTGTTAGTGCTTCACCACGGTCCGGCGGTCCGCAGCCTGTCGCTGTCCTGGGGTATGTCAAGCCCGCACGTGGCTTTGTCAAACCCGCAAAACAGGACGCTTCTGAGACTTTTGAGGGCTCTCAAAATTCATCTCACATGAGGCTAGGGATGAGCGATGACGCTGGAACTCAAAAATGGTTAAGTTCACCACGAGCAGTGTGATGTTCGTGCCAACAATAAAGTGTTCGCCCATGAGGGCAAACGCCCGATTTTTTAGGCACCTAATCAATCGCCTATGACGAACACTCAAACACCCCTCTCCAGAAAAAAGAAATGTTAACACGAACCGAACATGCTCGAGCATTGCTCATCCCTAGTTGTCATTGTAGGTCGGTTTCGAAACCTCTCTACACTACACCAGCCTACAAGAAACAAAGAAGCCGATGATGTGGCTGGCGAGGCTGGCGAGTGTGTTGCAGGGACTTGTCAGACACCAGTTTGAAGGAACGCTTTTGAGCCGCCTTGAACCTCCCAACCTCCCCTCCAGTTGTGTAGGAGCGAGCAACCGATGATGTGGCTGGCAAGGCTGGCAAGTGTGTTGCAGGGACTTGTCAGACAATCAGTTTGAGGGAACCCTTTTGAGCCGCCTTGGACCTCCCATACTCCCCTCCACTCGTGTAGGAACGAATAGCTGATGATGTGGCTGACAAGGCTGGCGATTGCGCCGCAGGGACTTGTCAGCCAACCAGTTTGAGGGAACCGTGCCCGAGGGCACTCTTGAGTCGACGACTCAAAAGCCTCCATCCACTGGTGTAGGAACGAACGGGCGATGATCGATGATGTGTGGCTGACAAGGCTGACACACGTGTTGCAGGGACTTGTCAGACAACCAGTTTGAGGGAACCGTCCCCGAGGGCATCGGCAACATGAAGTATATCCAGAAACTGTGAGACAGCTGAATGAGTCATCCTCTTGAATCCTCCTCTCAGTCTCCACCTCCAATCTTCTTCAGCCAAACATCATGCTGGGAATCTGACCCCCTGTGATGTTTTCATCGCATTCCCTCCCTCTCTCGTACCTACACGCCATGCTATCACCGTGTGCCCTACAATCCATGCTAGATTGCACCTCTGCTAGCCACAGTGTCACTGGAAAAACGCAATCACTGTGCGCTGCCACATGCTGGAGTCTACTTTTGAGGCGCCTCAAAAATACACTGTGTTTGTTACTGTGTACAGCTAAATCCTCCTCTCAATCTTCAAACACGTGTTTGTTACTGTGTACGCTGCCATGTGCTGCATGACCTCGCAGGGATCTTTCCAACAACCGCTTGTTTTTTTTTAGTCGGTGTTTCTTTTGAGAATTCTCAAAAGTAACACTTTAAAAGAAGTACGAAACGGCATCCCTGTGTGCACTGTCTGTGACTGTGTTGCATGAGCCCGCAGGGACCTTTCCAACAACCACTTGACTGGCACTCTCCCCACCACCCTCTCTCGCCTCTCTCTCCTGCAACAGCTGTGAGCCATGACTTACAAGGCACCAGGGGCACATGGTTGCATGGGGACATGGACGCTTGGATGCATGGGAACATGGATGCATGGGTGCATGTGCATTCATAGGAGGACAACATCAGTCCACATGCTCATCAACTCAACTGCCAGTTCTCCCTGCCAGTCTACATAAAAAGATAGTCTCGACCCACATCCAGCAGATCTAACTCGTTCTAATCTCCTCTAGGCTGAGCTTAGGCTAGTAACCAGTTCTCACTGCCAATCTACAGTTGACAGATGCATGAGGTGATTCACTCTGATATTCACACATTCCTCTTGAAGCGCCTCAAGTGATTCACTCGGCTCTGCTCTCTCACAGGTTCCTCCAGCGCAACAACCTGAGCGGCCCGTTTCCTCCCTGGATTACACGCATGCCCAGCGTTGCATGGCTGTGAGTGCACTGCAGAGATGAGTGCACTGCAGAGATGAGTGCACTGCAGAGATGAGTGCACTGCAGAGATGAGTGCACTGCAGAGATGAGTGCACTGCAGAGATGAGTGCACTGCAGAGATGAGTGCACTGCAGAGATGAGTGCACTGCAGAGATGAGTGCACTGCAGAGATGAGTGCACTGCAGAGATGAGTGCACTGCAGAGATGAGTGCACTGCAGAGATGAGTGCACTGCAGAGATGAGTGCACTGCAGAGATGAGTGCACTGCAGAGATGAGTGCACTGCAGAGATGAGTGCACTGCAGAGATGAGTGCACTGCAGAGATGAGTGCACTGCAGAGATGAGTTGCACTGCAGAGATGAGTGCACTGCAGAGATGAGTGCACTGCAGAGATGAGTGCACTGCAGAGATGAGTGCACTGCAGAGATGAGTGCACTGCAGAGATGAGTGCACTGCAGAGATGAGTGCACTGCAGAGATGAGTGCACTGCAGAGATGAGTGCACTGCAGAGATGAGTGCACTGCAGAGATGAGTGCACTGCAGAGATGAGTGCACTGCAGAGATGAGTGCACTGCAGAGATGAGTGCACTGCAGAGATGAGTGCACTGCAGAGATGAGTGCACTGCAGAGATGAGTGCACTGCAGAGATGAGTGCACTGCAGAGATGAGTGCACTGCAGAGATGAGTGCACTGCAGAGATGAGTGCACTGCAGAGATGAGTGCACTGCAGAGATGAGTGCACTGCAGAGATGAGTGCACTGCAGAGATGAGTGCACTGCAGAGATGAGTGCACTGCAGAGATGAGTGCACTGCAGAGATGAGTGCACTGCAGAGATGAGTGCACTGCAGAGATGAGTGCACTGCAGAGATGAGTGCACTGCAGAGATGAGTGCACTGCAGAGATGAGTGCACTGCAGAGATGAGTGCACTGCAGAGATGAGTGCACTGCAGAGATGAGTGCACTGCAGAGATGAGTGCACTGCAGAGATGAGTGCACTGCAGAGATGAGTGCACTGCAGAGATGAGTGCACTGCAGAGATGAGTGCACTGCAGAGATGAGTGCACTGCAGAGATGAGTGCACTGCAGAGATGAGTGCACTGCAGAGATGAGTGCACTGCAGAGATGAGTGCACTGCAGAGATGAGTGCACTGCAGAGATGAGTGCACTGCAGAGATGAGTGCACTGCAGAGATGAGTGCACTGCAGAGATGAGTGCACTGCAGAGATGAGTGCACTGCAGAGATGAGTGCACTGCAGAGATGAGTGCACTGCAGAGATGAGTGCACTGCAGAGATGAGTGCACTGCAGAGATGAGTGCACTGCAGAGATGAGTGCACTGCAGAGATGAGTGCACTGCAGAGATGAGTGCACTGCAGAGATGAGTGCACTGCAGAGATGAGTGCACTGCAGAGATGAGTGCACTGCAGAGATGAGTGCACTGCAGAGATGAGTGCACTGCAGAGATGAGTGCACTGCAGAGATGAGTGCACTGCAGAGATGAGTGCACTGCAGAGATGAGTGCACTGCAGAGATGAGTGCACTGCAGAGATGAGTGCACTGCAGAGATGAGTGCACTGCAGAGATGAGTGCACTGCAGAGATGAGTGCACTGCAGAGATGAGTGCACTGCAGAGATGAGTGCACTATTGCCAGAGATGAGTGCACTGCAGAGATGAGTGCACTGCAGAGATGAGTGCACTGCAGAGATGAGTGCACTGCAGAGATGAGTGCACTGCAGAGATGAGTGCACTGCAGAGATGAGTGCACTGCAGAGATGAGTGCACTGCAGAGATGAGTGCACTGCAGAGATGAGTGCACTGCAGAGATGAGTGCACTGCAGAGATGAGTGCACTGCAGAGATGAGTGCACTGCAGAGATGAGTGCACTGCAGAGATGAGTGCACTGCAGAGATGAGTGCACTGCCAGAGATGAGTGCACTGCAGAGATGAGTGCACTGCAGAGATGAGTGGCACTGCAGAGATGAGTGCACTGCAGAGATGAGTGCACTGCAGAGATGATTGCACTGCAGAGCTGAGTGCACTGCAGAGATGAGTGCACTGCAGAGATGGAGTGCACTGCAGAGATGAGTGCACTGCAGAGATGAGTGCACTGCAGAGATGCAGTGCACTGCACGAGGGAGTGCCTGCAGATGAGTGCACTGCAGAGATTGAGTGCACTGCAGAGATGAGTGCCTGCAGAGATGAGTGCAACTGCAGAGATGAGTGCACTGCAGAGATGAGTGCACTGCAGAGATGATGTCACTGCAGAGATGAGTGAACTGCAGAGAATGAGTGCACTGCAGAGATGAGTGCACTGCAGAGATGAGTGCACTGCAGAGATGAGTGCACTGCAGAGATGAGTGCACTGCAGAGATGAGTGCACTGCAGAGATGAGTGCAAACTGCAGAGCAGAGATGAGTGCACTGCAGAGATGAGTGCACTGCAGAGATGAGTGCACTGCAGAGATGAGGCACTGCAGAGATGAGTGCAACTGCAGAGATTGAGTGCACTGCAGAGATGAGTGCACTGCAGAGATGAGTGCACTGCAGAGATGAGTGCACTGCAGAGATGAGTGCACTGCAGAGATGAGTGCACTGCAGAGATGAGTGCACTGCAGAGATGAGTGCAATGCCAGAGATGAGTGCACTGCAGAGATGAGTGCACTGCAGAGATGAGTGCACTGCAGAGCATGAGTAGATGAGTGCACTGCAGAGATGAGTGCACTGCAGAGATGAGTGCACTGCAGAGATGAGTGCACTGCAGAGATGAGTGCACTGCAGAGATGAGTGCACTGCAGAGATGAGTGCACTGCAGAGATGAGTGCACTGCAGAGATGAGTGCACTGCAGAGATGAGTGCACTGCAGAGATGAGTGCACTGCAGAGATGAGTGCACTGCAGAGATGAGTGCACTGCAGAGATGAGTGCACTGCAGAGATGAGTGCACTGCAGAGATGAGTGCACTGCAGAGATGAGTGCACTGCAGAGATGAGTGCACTGCAGAGATGAGTGCACTGCAGAGATGAGTGCACTGCAGAGATGAGTGCACTGCAGAGATGAGTGCACTGCAGAGATGAGTGCACTGCAGAGATGAGTGCACTGCAGAGATGAGTGCACTGCAGAGATGAGTGCACTGCAGAGATGAGTGCACTGCACTGCAGAGATGAGTGCACTGCAGAGATGAGTGCACTGCAGAGATGAGTGCACTGCAGAGATGAGTGCACTGCAGAGATGGAGTGCACTGCAGAGATGAGTGCACTGCAGAGATGAGTGCACTGCAGAGATGAGTGCACTGCAGAGATGAGTGCACTGCAGAGATGAGTGCACTGCAGAGATGAGTGCACTGCAGAGATGAGTGCACTGCAGAGATGAGTGCACTGCAGAGATGAGTGCACTGCAGAGATGAGTGCACTGCAGAGATGAGTGCACTGCAGAGATGAGTGCACCTGCAGAGATGAGTGCACTGCAGAGATGAGTGCACTGCAGAGATGAGTGCACTGCAGAGATGAGTGCACTGCAGAGATGAGTGCACTGCCAGAGATGAGTGCACTGCAGAGATGAGTGCACTGCAGAGATGAGTGCACTGCAGAGATGAGTGCACTGCAGAGATGAGTGCACTGCAGAGATGAGTGCACTGCAGAGATGAGTGCACTGCAGAGATGAGTGCACTGCAGAGATGATGCACTGCAGAGATGAGTGCACTGCAGAGATGAGTGCACCTGCAGAGATGAGTGCACTGCAGAGATGAGTGCACTGCAGAGATGAGTGCACTGCAGAGATGAGTGCACTGCAGAGATGAGTGCACTGCAGAGATGAGTGCACTGCAGAGATGAGTGCACTGCAGAGATGAGTGCACTGCAGAGATGAGTGCACTGCAGAGATGAGTGCACTGCAGAGATGAGTGCACTGCAGAGATGAGTGCACTGCAGAGATGAGTGCACTGGCAGAGATGAGTGCACTGCAGAGATGAGTGCACTGCAGAGATGAGTGCACTGCAGAGATGAGTGCACTGCAGAGATGAGTGCACTGCAGAGATGAGTGCACTGCAGAGATGAGTGCACTGCAGAGATGAGTGCACTGCAGAGATGAGTGCACTGCAGAGATGAGTGCACTGCAGAGATGAGTGCACTGCAGAGATGAGTGCACTGCAGAGATTGAGTGCACTGCAGAGATGAGTGCACTGCAGAGATGAGTGCACTGCAGAGATGAGTGCACTGCAGAGATGAGTGCACTGCAGAGATGAGTGCACTGCAGAGATGAGTGCACTGCAGAGATGAGTGCACTGCAGAGATGAGTGCACTGCAGAGATGAGTGCACTGCAGAGATGAGTGCACTGCAGAGATGAGTGCACTGCAGAGATGAGTGCACTGCAGAGATGAGTGCACTGCAGAGATGAGTGCACTGCAGAGATGAGTGCACTGCAGAGATGAGTGCACTGCAGAGATGAGTGCACTGCAGAGATGAGTGCACTGCAGAGATGAGTGCACTGCAGAGATGAGTGCACTGCAGAGATGAGTGCACTGCAGAGATGAGTGCACTGCAGAGATGAGTGCACTGCAGAGATGAGTGCACTGCAGAGATGAGGCCTGCAGAGAGAGTGCACTGCAGAGATGAGTGCACTGCAGAGATGAGTGCACTGCAGAGATGAGTGCACTGCAGAGATGAGTGCACTGCAGAGATGAGTGCACTGCAGAGATGAGTGCCACTGCAGGAGATGAGTGCACTGCAGAGATGAGTGCACTGCAGAGATGAGTGCACTGCAGAGATGAGTGCACTGCAGAGATGAGTGCACTGCAGAGATGAGTGCACTGCAGAGATGAGTGCACCTGCAGAGATGAGTGCACTGCAGAGATGAGTGCCACTGCAGAGATGAGTGCACTGCAGAGATGAGTGCACTGCAGAGATGAGTGCACTGCCAGTAGATGAGTGCACTGCAGAGATGAGTGCACTGCAGGAGTATGAGTGCCACTGCAGAGATGAGTGCACTGCAGAGATGAGTGGACTGCAGAGATGAGTGCACTGCAGAGATGAGTGCACTGCAGAGATGAGTGCACTGCAGAGATGAGTGCACTCAGAGATGAGTGCCACTGCAGAGATGAGTGCACTGCAGAGCTGAGTGCACGCAGAGATGAGTGCACTGCATAGATGAGTGCACTGCAGAGATGAGTGCACTGCCAGAGATGAGTGCACTGCAGAGATGAGTGCACTGCAGAGATGAGTGCACTGCAGAGATGAGTGCAGCACTGCAGAGATGAGTGCACTGCAGAGATGAGTGCACTGCAGAGATGAGTGCACTGCAGAGATGAGTGCACTGCAGAGATGAGTGCACTGCAGAGATGAGTGCCACTGCAGAGATGAGTGCACTGCAGAGATGAGTGCACTGCAGAGATGAGTGCACTGCAGAGATGAGTGCACTGCAGAGATGAGTGCACTGCAGAGATGAGTGCACTGCAGAGATGAGGTGCACTGCAGAGATGAGTGCACTGCAGAGATGAGTGCCACGCAGAGATGAGTGCACTGCAGAGATGAGTGCACTGCAGAGATGAGTGCACTGCAGAGATGAGTGCACTGCAGAGATGAGTGCACTGCAGAGATGAGTGCACTGCAGAGATGAGGTGCACTGCAGAGATGAGTGCACTGCAGAGATGAGTGCACTGCAGAGATGAGTGCACTGCAGAGATGAGTGCACTGCAGAGATGAGTGCACTGCAGAGATGAGTGCACTGCAGAGATGAGTGCACTGCAGAGATGAGTGCACTGCAGAGATGAGTGCACTGCAGAGATGAGTGCACTGCAGAGATGAGTGCACTGCAGAGATGAGTGCACTGCAGAGATGAGTGCACTGCAGAGATGAGTGCACTGCAGAGATGAGTGCACTGCAGAGATGAGTGCACTGCAGAGATGAGTGCACTGCAGAGATGAGTGCACTGCAGAGATGAGTGCACTGCAGAGATGAGTGCACTGCAGAGATGAGTGCACTGCAGAGATGAGTGCACTGCAGAGATGAGTGCACTGCAGAGATGAGTGCACTGCAGAGATGAGTGCACTGCAGAGATGAGTGCACTGCAGAGATGAGTGCACTGCAGAGATGAGTGCACTGCAGAGATGAGTGCACTGCAGAGATGAGTGCACTGCAGAGATGAGTGCACTGCAGAGATGAGTGCACTGCAGAGATGAGTGCACTGCAGAGATGAGTGCACTGCAGAGATGAGTGCACTGCAGAGATGAGTGCACTGCAGAGATGAGTGCACTGCAGAGATGAGTGCACTGCAGAGATGAGTGCACTGCAGAGATGAGTGCACTGCAGAGATGAGTGCACTGCAGAGATGAGTGCACTGCAGAGATGAGTGCACTGCAGAGATGAGTGCACTGCAGAGATGAGTGCACTGCAGAGATGAGTGCACTGCAGAGATGAGTGCACTGCAGAGATGAGTGCACTGCAGAGATGAGTGCACTGCAGAGATGAGTGCACTGCAGAGATGAGTGCACTGCAGAGATGAGTGCACTGCAGAGATGAGTGCACTGCAGAGATGAGTGCACTGCAGAGATGAGTGCACTGCAGAGATGAGTGCACTGCAGAGATGAGTGCACTGCAGAGATGAGTGCACTGCAGAGATGAGTGCACTGCAGAGATGAGTGCACTGCAGAGATGAGTGCACTGCAGAGATGAGTGCACTGCAGAGATGAGTGCACTGCAGAGATGAGTGCACTGCAGAGATGAGTGCACTGCAGAGATGAGTGCACTGCAGAGATGAGTGCACTGCAGAGATGAGTGCACTGCAGAGATGAGTGCACTGCAGAGATGAGTGCACTGCAGAGATGAGTGCACTGCAGAGATGAGTGCACTGCAGAGATGAGTGCACTGCAGAGATGAGTGCACTGCAGAGATGAGTGCACTGCAGAGATGAGTGCACTGCAGAGATGAGTGCACTGCAGAGATGAGTGCACTGCAGAGATGAGTGCACTGCAGAGATGAGTGCACTGCAGAGATGAGTGCACTGCAGAGATGAGTGCACTGCAGAGATGAGTGCACTGCAGAGATGAGTGCACTGCAGAGATGAGTGCACTGCAGAGATGAGTGCACTGCAGAGATGAGTGCACTGCAGAGATGAGTGCACTGCAGAGATGAGTGCACTGCAGAGATGAGTGCACTGCAGAGATGAGTGCACTGCAGAGATGAGTGCACTGCAGAGATGAGTGCACTGCAGAGATGAGTGCACTGCAGAGATGAGTGCACTGCAGAGATGAGTGCACTGCAGAGATGAGTGCACTGCAGAGATGAGTGCACTGCAGAGATGAGTGCACTGCAGAGATGAGTGCACTGCAGAGATGAGTGCACTGCAGAGATGAGTGCACTGCAGAGATGAGTGCACTGCAGAGATGAGTGCACTGCAGAGATGAGTGCACTGCAGAGATGAGTGCACTGCAGAGATGAGTGCACTGCAGAGATGAGTGCACTGCAGAGATGAGTGCACTGCAGAGATGAGTGCACTGCAGAGATGAGTGCACTGCAGAGATGAGTGCACTGCAGAGATGAGTGCACTGCAGAGATGAGTGCACTGCAGAGATGAGTGCACTGCAGAGATGAGTGCACTGCAGAGATGAGTGCACTGCAGAGATGAGTGCACCTGCAGAGATGAGTGCACTGCAGAGATGAGTGCACTGCAGAGATGAGTGCACTGCAGAGATGAGTGCACTGCAGAGATGAGTGCACTGCAGAGATGAGTGCACTGCAGAGATGAGTGCACTGCAGAGATGAGTGCACTGCAGCACTGCAGATGCACTAGATGAGTGCACTGCAGAGATGAGTGCACTGCAGAGATGAGTGCACTGCAGAGATGAGTGCACTGCAGAGATGAGTGCACTGCAGAGATGAGTGCACTGCAGAGATGAGTGCACTGCAGAGATGAGTGCACTGCAGAGATGAGTGCACTGCAGAGATGAGTGCACTGCAGAGATGAGTGCACTGCAGAGATGAGTGCACCTGCAGAGATGAGTGCACTGCAGAGATGAGTGCACTGCAGAGATGAGTGCACTGCAGAGATGAGTGCACTGCAGAGATGAGTGCACTGCAGAGATGAGTGCACTGCAGAGATGAGTGCACTGCAGAGATGAGTGCACTGCAGAGATGAGTGCACTGCAGAGATGAGTGCACTGCAGAGATGAGTGCACTGCAGAGATGAGTGCACTGCAGAGATGAGTGCACTGCAGAGATGAGTGCACTGCAGAGATGAGTGCACTGCAGAGATGAGTGCACTGCAGAGATGAGTGCACTGCAGAGATGAGTGCACTGCAGAGATGAGTGCACTGCAGAGATGAGTGCACTGCAGAGATGAGATTGACTGATTCCCTCCAGTGTACGGTTGTGATTGTTTCCAATCTGTGATTGTTGAGATGGCTCATTGTCTGTTACCCTTTTGTTGTGTACCGCACGTGCTCATTCACATCTGCCCATCCGCACGTGCTCATTCACATCTGCCCATCCGCACGTGCTCATTCACATCTGCCCATCCGCACGTGCTCATTCACATCTGCCCATCCGCACGTGCTCATTCACATCTGCCCATCCGCACGTGCTCATTCACATCTGCCCATCCGCACGTGCTCATTCACATCTGCCCATCCGCACGTGCTCATTCACATCTGCCCATCCGCACGTGCTCATTCACATCTGCCCATCCGCACGTGCTCATTCACATCTGCCCATCCGCACGTGCTCATTCACATCTGCCCATCCGCACGTGCTCATTCACATCTGCCCATCCGCACGTGCTCATTCACATCTGCCCATCCGCACGTGCTCATTCACATCTGCCCATCCGCACGTGCTCATTCACATCTGCCCATCCGCACGTGCTCATTCACATCTGCCCATCCGCACGTGCTCATTCACATCTGCCCATCCGCACGTGCTCATTCACATCTGCCCATCCGCACGTGCTCATTCACATCTGCCCATCCGCACGTGCTCATTCACATCTGCCCATCCGCACGTGCTCATTCACATCTGCCCATCCGCACGTGCTCATTCACATCTGCCCATCCGCACGTGCTCATTCACATCTGCCCATCCGCACGTGCTCATTCACATCTGCCCATCCGCACGTGCTCATTCACATCTGCCCATCCGCACGTGCTCATTCACATCTGCCCATCCGCACGTGCTCATTCACATCTGCCCATCCGCACGTGCTCATTCACATCTGCCCATCCGCACGTGCTCATTCACATCTGCCCATCCGCACGTGCTCATTCACATCTGCCCATCCGCACGTGCTCATTCACATCTGCCCATCCGCACGTGCTCATTCACATCTGCCCATCCGCACGTGCTCATTCACATCCCCGTGCTCATTCACATCTGCCCATCCGCACGTGCTCATTCACATCTGCCCATCCGCACGTGCTCATTCACATCTGCCCATCCGCATGTGCTCATTCACATCTGCCCATCCGCATGTGCTCATTCACATCTGCCCATCCGCATGTGCTCATTCACATCCGCCCATCCGCACGCGCCGCTCGGCACGTTCATGCCAATCTGTCCGTTGTCACGGATACCATGCTATCTCAGGACTAAACCATGCTATACCCGCATGTTACCATCCATTGCATGGCAGATACCTCAGTGACAACAATTTCTCAGGACCCTTACCTGCTTCTCTTGGCGGCTCTAAAGGCCTCATCTTTCTGTGAGTGACCTGCTGTGCTGGGTTATCTGATGTGCTGGGGGTGCTATGATGCGCAGGGTGGTCTGATGTGATGTGCAGTGTGCTCTGCTGTATTTCACGTTCTTGTCTTCACATAAGAGACATCATCATATTTGCCGTCTCTTTCCTGTTCCCTCATCATGCCTTGGCACCCCCTCTGTTTCATCCGTTTTGAGGCTCCTCAAAAGCCCTCAAAAGTCGTTTTGAGGCTCCTCAAAAGCCCTCAAAAGTCGTTTTGAGGCTCCTCAAAAGCCCGTTCCTGTTCTCTCATCATTCCTTGGCACTCCCCTCTGTTTCTTCCCTCCATTCACCACCCTCCTTCCATCCACCAGTGAATCGTCAGGTTCGGGTCTCACGTGCCCACCAGATGTGTCCAGCTGTGTGGTTCGGCAGACCAACTACAGCGCCTTCTGCCAGGATTGCCATGGCTTCTGTGCCACGTGCACAAGTGGTCAATGTGAGCGCCACGGGGCTTTCTTTTATTTGAGTCCACTCAAAAGAATGCATGCGGTTAGCTGTGTGGTTCGGCAGACCAACTACAGCACCTTCTCTTCTGCCAGGACTGCCGCGGCTTCTGTGCCACGTGCACGAGTGATCAATGTGAGCGCCATGGGGCTTCTTTCGAGTCTGCTTTTGAGTCGACTCAAAAGGATGCGCCGGCTGTGTGGTTCGGCAGATCAACTATAGCGCGCTCTGCCAGGACTGCCATGGCGTCTGTGCCACGTGCACGAGTGATCAGTGTGAGCTTGTTGGGTGGAGCGTTGCAGTTTGTGAGAATTTGTTTTTTGAGGTGCCTCAGAAAGACTCAAAAATAATGCACGAGCGATGAATGTGAGCTTCTCGGTTGGGTTTGGGGAGTTTCAGTTTCTAGTAAATCTCTTAATCTGCTACAGCTGCACGAGCTTTTGTGACACAACATGTACAGGGGTGACTTATGAGGCGCCTGAAAATACACACATGTGCCATTTGTGCACAAGGGTTAAGGGCACTGAGGTGATTCTTGGGTGGACGAGAAGAGTGCGTATGTTACGAGTGCAAGAGCTACTGTGCCACGTGTGCAGCTACTGTGAGTGAGGTGTTTCCAGTCTGAAAAGTAGGCTCTGGCAATCAAGGATCAGTCTTTTTAGTCAACCCAGAGTCATGCCAGTCAATGCTAAGTTGGGCCAACCTAGGTTAAGTTTCATTAGTCGATTCTCAGTCACGCCAACCAACGTTAGGTCATGCCAGTCAACGTTCAGTCATGCCAGTCAACGTTAAGTCATGCCAGTCAACGTTAAGTCATTCCAGTCAACGTTAAGTCATTCCAGTCAACGTTAAGTCATGCCTGTCATTCCATCCCAGCTGCATGCATGCAAATGCAGAGCAGGTACACTATTTTGACCACCTGTATTTCTGGTACACCAACATTCATGATTCCACTGCTTCACCACAACTTGTGATTCTGGTGGTGCTTCAATGCATGTCCTTCTGTGTGTCGGTGCATGTGTCCCTCCAAAGCAGCCCCATCCCGAACACGAGTCGTGGGCTCCCCTCCACCATCCGCTTCACCCAACCAAACCGTCAACAACTCCTCCAACTCCTCACTCTCCTCCCCCTCACTCGCTTCCCCTTCTGGCCTGTCTGTGGGAGCTGTCATTGGCATTGTGACAGCAGCCGTTCTGCTCGTGCCTCTCCTGCTCGCCTCAGCTTGGTGCCTAGCCGCCCACTTCAAGATTTCCACAAACGGTAGGTGTGTTACGTGTTTGGCTTTTGCCATGCATGGAAGCACAGGTATGTGAGTTGCTTTTGAGAATTCCCAAAAACAACCTGCAGCCTTTTGTCATGCATGAAAGCACAGGTGTGTGAGAAGAAGCACCTCACTTTCTGTCTGACTTCACCAACGAGCTCCACGTCTTCGTCTAACGTAAATAGCAAGCTGCTGTGCTCTCAGATGTGTTAGTTCACACAAACTGCCCCGCACCCCCCTTCCTCCCAAAAATAAACGGGAAAAAAATCAGACAGTAAGTATGTGCTGTTTACCATACCATGCTCCCTACCTTTCAGACTCCCCCAGTCCGCATTTAGGGAACGCAACGACACCATGCCGACGGTACTCCCTGGCCATGGTGGCTCGTGCGACCAACAACTGGTCCAAGGCGTGCCTGCTTGGGTCGGGGTCGTATGGAGACGTGTACCGCGGGGTGTGCCCCGAGGATGGCACCACGCTGTGGGCCGTGAAGCGCGCCAAAGTCATCACTGCTGACTTCCACAGAGAGGTGGGCGAACACCATCGAGAGAAATTTCAAAAAGAGATTCTAGACGGGCCAAAGTCATCACCGCCGACTTCCACAGAGAGGTGGGCCTTCCGCTGCGATTCAAACATCTCAAAAATCGCAGGGTGTGCCGTGAGGGTGGCAGGGTGTGCCGTGAGGGTGGCAGCACTCTGTGGGATGTGATCCGAACCGCACCAAGGTCATCACATCACCACCAATTCCACAGAGAGGTGGGCCGACACCTTTGAGAGGTGGGCTCTCAAAAGTGCTTTCAGGCGAGCCAAAGCCATCGCCCCCGGCTCCTTTGTATTGTTGAGGAGGGGCCTCGATCGAAACTTGACTCTTTTGGAGATGTGTACTTCACGGGGTATCTCCTGAGTTGCGACAAGCCATGGCGACTCAGGGTGAAATGCTGGTGCGACAACTTCAGAACCAGTTTCCTCGTTACGTGTAGCAATATCTGGTTTCCTTTCCCTTTCATTCTTTTTGGCTTCGGCCTATTTACTATCTATTTTTCTCGTATGTCCCTTCCATATTCTATTGAGTACCACACTGCTGAAGAAACAATGAAAACTAGTCTTCTCAACGCCAATGTACGAAAAACCAAGTTGCTCGTACGTCACCAAACATCCGCCTGTAATTGCTGCATTGTGTCATGCGCCTCTCTCTTCTCTTCTCTTGCTCTACCACAGGTTGCACAGATGGCAACGAAGCACCATCCGAATCTGGTGCGACTGCTGGGGTATGCAGTGGGAGGCCATGTGAACACGCGGGTGGAGAACATTCTCGTCTACGAGTTCATCGCCAATGGCGACCTGCGCACCTGGATTGGCCCAGGTACAACCCGGTTTTCTGTTGTGTAGCACGTGGATCGCCCCAGGTACAATCCCGTCTATTGTTGTGTGCTGTGCCGACCATGCAGTTGTGTGGATAGAGAAATGCGGAGAAAGAAAAAGAAACAAACAAAAAAGTACAAAGGTGAACCTCTCGAGTCAGGCCTGCTCTGGCTCGAAGTAGGCCGGGCCGAACCGTCAGGTCTGGTGAAGCAGGGAGGTCCGTGACGACTCACAAGCTGGACCCGGCCCTTGCACATACCTAGTCTGCCGTAGCCAGCCAGCAGATAAAAAAACTTCAATGCATGCCTTTGCTGGTGTTGAAGTGCCAATCCGACTCCAATGCTGCTTCCCTCCAATGCCGCTTCCCTCCCATGCTGCCTTCCCTCGGCTCTGCCGTTCTCCAGATGCGCCCACGAGTTTGACTCTGCAGCAGCGGGTGGGCATCCTACTAGGGGTGGCGCGTGGGTTGGAGTATCTGCACAGCTTTGGCCTCGTGCACCGAGACATCAAGCCAGCCAACATCCTCATTGACGACCACATGCAGGTGCGGTGATTTCTGAGTCGACTCGAAAGGCATTGAACTAGGGGTGGCACATGACTTGGAGCATCTTCACAGCTTTCACCTCGAGCACCCAGTATCAAGCCAGCCAACATCCTCATTGACGCCCACATGCAGGTGCGGTGCGGTGCGGTGCGGTGATGAGGTGGGATGATTACATGCAGGCAAGACACCTGATTCTTCACGTGCAGGTGGTGCTACAACCATCTTGAATTAGATCAACTTTTTGAGTCGACTAAAAAATCGACTCATCACACGCGGTGGTGCTACAACCATCTTGAATTAGATCAGCACATCCTCTCAATTAGATGAACCCATTCTGTCGAAATCAGAGCACACATTGTGCCCCAATCCTCCTCCACCTCTCATTCTTGCCTGCCATGCCCGGCCTTCCCCAGGCGAAGGTGGCAGACTTTGGGCTTGTGCACGTGGGGGAGGGCACAGCAGCGGGCACGGCAACGGGATTCACGCGGGTGCTGGGAACGGTGGGCTATGTGGACCCTGCGTACTCGCTCACGCACAACGCCACCACCACTGCCGATGTTTATAGGTGCGTGCAGTGCAGATTTGAGTCCATTTCCTTAGTCAAGCTGGATTTGTGATTCAGGGAACGCAACGCCACTACCACCATCGCTGGTGTGTACAAACGTAGTGCACCCTTAAAGTGCACAAAGGCAGTGGATGGATGACAATTGTCCAGAAGTTATCAAACGCACCCTTAAGTCCTATGGATGGACAATTGTCATCCACTGCCTTTGTGAACCTTCTTCCCATAGAAGTAACTTCTATGGGTTACAATTGTCCAGAAGTAACTTCTATGGGTTACAACTGTCCAGAAGTAACTTCTTTGGGTTACAATTGTCCAGAAGTAACTTCTATGGGTTACAACTGTCCAGAAGTAACTTCTTTGGGTTACAATTGTCCAGAAGTAACTTCTATGGGTTACAATTGTCCAGAAGTAACTTCTATGGGTTACAATTGTCCAGAAGTAACTTCTATGGGTTACAATTGTCCAGAAGTAACTTCCATGGGTTACAATTGTCCAGAAGTAACTTCTATGGGTTACAATTTTCCAGAAGTAACTTCTATGGGTTACAATTGTCCAGAAGTAACTTCCATGGGTTACAATTGTCCAGAAGTAACTTCTATGGGTTACAATTGTCCAGAAGTAACTTCTATGGGTTACAATTTTCCAGAAGTAACTTCTATGGGTTACAATTGTCCAGAAGTAACTTCCATGGGTTACAATTGTCCAGAAGTAACTTCTATGGGTTACAACTGTCCAGAAGTAACTTCTATGGGTTACAATTGTCCAGAAGTAACTTCTATGGGTTACAATTGTCCAGAAGTAACTTCTATGGGTTACAATTGTCCAGAAGTAACTTCTATGGGTTACAATTGTCCAGAAGTAACTTCTATGGGTTACAATTGTCCAGAAGTAACTTCCATGGGTTACAATTGTCCAGAAGTAACTTCTATGGGTTACAATTTTCCAGAAGTAACTTCTATGGGTTACAATTGTCCAGAAGTAACTTCCATGGGTTACAATTGTCCAGAAGTAACTTCTATGGGTTACAATTGTCCAGAAGTAACTTCTATGGGTTACAATTTTCCAGAAGTAACTTCTATGGGTTACAATTGTCCAGAAGTAACTTCCATGGGTTACAATTGTCCAGAAGTAACTTCTATGGGTTACAACTGTCCAGAAGTAACTTCTATGGGTTACAATTGTCCAGAAGTAACTTCTATGGGTTACAATTGTCCAGAAGTAACTTCTATGGGTTACAATTGTCCAGAAGTAACTTCTGTGGGTTACAATTGTCCAGAAGTAACTTCCATGGGTTACAATTGTCCACAAGTAACTTCTATGGGTTACAATTGTCCAGAAGTAACTTCTATGGGTTACAATTGTCCAGAAGTAACTTCTATGGGTTACAATTGTCCACAAGTAACTTCTATGGGTTACAATTGTCCAGAAGTAACTTCTATGGGTTACAATTGTCCACAAGTAACTTCTATGGGTTACAATTGTCCAGAAGTAACTTCTATGGAAAGAAGGTTCAATCCACAGCCTCTACTTGCTTAATGGCCGTTCAACGGAAGAACGAGATACAAGGAGTTGAAGCTTAGTGCGTGCTGCAACATCCACCAAATCACCTTCTTCGCCTCTCTTCTATTGCCATCTGTGCGCACTTGCTTTCATTCCTATCATTGTGAGGTTAGCCTTGGCTATGCTTCTTTCTCATAGTTTTCAAACCCATAGCAATGGAATGGTCCTTGCTTCTTTGCTTGATTTTTTCCTTTATGCCTTGCATCCCTTTTCCCTCGCTTCCTTGCTTCTTTGCACACTTACTTCTTTCTTTCTTCCTTCCTTACTTTCTTACTTTCTCTCTTTCTTTCATTCATTCTTTATTTCTTTCTTTCCTTCCTTCTTTCCTTCTTTCTTTCTTCCTTTCTCTCTTTCGTTCTTCCTTGCTTGCCAAAATGCTCCCTTGCTTCCTTAATCCCGTGCTTCCTTCAACCCGTGCTTCCTAATCTGTTTCGTCGTGCACCTTTACCATGCTCTCAGGCAGAAGAGCCAACCATCAATGAGAAGAGTCTTCGTGACCATGGTCACCAAGAACTTACTGGAGTACCTATTCCTTTTTTCATACTTGTGCTTGGATGTGTTTCTGGTGCAGCTTTGGTGTGCTCATGCTGGTGATGCTGTCAGGAAGAGGAGCCACCATCAACACAATGACCCAGGGCACCGATTCGGACACCTGTGCTGCCCACGAGCCAATCTCCATCTCCAAATGGGTGCCTTTGCTATTCCCACTTCCGCCCGTCAATATCTGCAGAGTTCTTTCCTCAGAGCCCCAACCACTACTGTTCACACCATACTCATCAGGTTTCCCTTCACCTGTTGTGCCCACAGCATCTGTTTCTCCCCGTTTCGTCCTCCCACCCCCGATCACGTGCCACCCCAGCCCCCTCTCATGTGTTTCCCTTTCCCCATTATGAATTGCGCTAGCCTTTTTGTCATGGCTGTCCGGCCCCATATCCCAGGCAACTGATCTCATGGCTGAAGGAAAGACCACACTCCTCAAGGACCCGTGCATGGAAGCACCTGAAGACATCACCATACGCCTTGCCCACCTCGCTGTCACCTGCACTGCCATGCCCACCGCCTCCCGCCCCTCCATGTCCCGAGTGGCCCAAGACCTGGAGATTATACGAGAGGAGGTGGGAGGGGGGGATGCGAGAGTGAGTGCTGCAGCAAGGGTTGACGAGAAGCTGTCGAGCCAGCGATTACGGAGGAGCATGGAGGAGGACCTTGCGTTGTTGAATGAGCAAGTCATGCATGAGGGTGACGCAACAGCTGTCTCTGTACGGACATGAGGCGCTTTTGAAGAACTTTAATAATAGGTGCCTCACTAACTAGTCAGCGGTTATGAAGGAGCTTGCAGAAGGACCTTGCATTGCTGAATGAGCAAGTCATGCATGAGGGTGAAGCAACGGCTGTCTTCGCACAGACATGATGGCTTGCGGAACAGCTTGGAAGGATGTAAAAAACTACTTCGGTACCACAATTTGGGTTTCTATATCAAAGTGTGTACAGTAAATGTCTCCAAATGGTTCAAGGTAAGCATTTGGTTCTCGTCTGTGCCACAAGCATGTGGCCCCAGCCACTCAGCCAATCTATCTCGTTTTATCCTTGTTCTTTGTCAAGAGCAGAAACCCATTTACAACTTTGACGAACTATGAACATGTGCCACATGACTATTGAATCCTTTACAAAAAATGAGGGGGTGGTCACAAATGGGTAAAGTAATAGTATAGCACCCGGGTGAATATTCATGGGCACATGTAAATGTATTTCAGTGACACCCGGGTGAACTATATCAAGGTTTCCACTTGAGCAAGCAGAATGGATGTGAGTGAAAGCACCACGTACAATTGTCAGGAACAGTGCGACCACACTCGTGCCTTCGTGTACAAACAACAGCCTACTTCCTTTCAGGCTTGGTGTTGGCTTGGCACACAGTAGTCTCCTGCTGCAGAAAAGGCACCCCCCCCTTTTACGGCCCACTTGGAGATGGCCATTTACCTTTTCAAGACACTGTAACACAGTAACACCATTGGGTCATGGGAGTGGCAGTTGAAAGAGTCGCAGCTCAAGCAGCTGGTACTGCAGCCACAGTCATGGCCTCTCCACCACCACCAGCAGCCGCAGCTCCCTTCCTCCCATGCCACACCACCGCATGCCCTCGTTAACCTCACCACCGCACCACACCACTACTGACCTCTTCCCCCTTCCGCCCCTCCCACCCTGCCAGTGCGTGTCTTCTTCCTCCCTGCTCCCTTGCCCACGGGTGTCTCAGGCAGCAAGTGCAGCTTCTGCCTTCGCCTCCTCCTCGGCTTGTCCTCCTCCTCCTCATCCTCAGCCTCCTCCGCTCCCCCCTGCCCCCCCTCCTCCCCCGCTTCCCCCCCCCGTTCGCCATACCCCCTCCTAGCTGCTGCCCCCACCCTTCTACGACTGCTGGCAGGCGCAGCAGCAGCAGGGGAGAGATGCATAAGATCGGTGTCGTGAGTGGTGGGGAGAGGGAGTGGGAAGGAGGAGAGGGCGGCACCGCCTCCCCCACTGGCATCCTCGAAGCTTCCACTGCGGGCTGGTGATGCTGGTAGGGATGAAGACGCTGATGCTGATGGGGATGGGGATGGGGATGGGGATGGGGATGGGGATGGGGATGGGGATGGGGATGGGGATGGGGATGGGGATGGTGATGGTGATGGTGACGATGGTGGTGGTGACGATGCTTTTGTAACACGCCTGAAACGTGGTTCCGGAGATGGGGACAGAGAAGGAGACACACGCAGTGGCGGCGATGGGGAGTGCGAGTGAGAGTGCGAGGTGTCCTCTCCAGGCAAGTGAGGGTCAACCAATACAGCTTCGCCCTCCCTCTCCTCCTCCACCTCCTCGAGTTCACATGGGTCCTTCTGCTGTGTGTTCTTCTCCTCTTCCCTCCGAATGCGAGGAGGAGTGGGCACTTCATCTCTTTGCACGGCATCTCTTCGCACGCCTGGCAGCACCACCACCTCAGTGGCTGTGGCGGTGCGTCTGCGCTTGCGTGGTGCCACCACCACCCTCTCCTCCTCTTCCTCCTCTTCTATTTCCTCTTCCTCCTCTTTCTCCTCCTCTTCCTCTTCGTTCTCGTCCTCTTTCTTCCCAATAAATCCACTACCCATCGCCCTTCCTTGCAATCTCCCTGCATCCATATCTCTGCCAGTGCCTCCGTCCCTGTATAGCCTTCTCTTACTCGCATTCCCCAAACCACTTCCTCCTCCGCCTCCCTCTCCTGCTGCTTCAGCAGAAACCTCATCTCCATCCTCGTTACAAGCGTCTTCACTGCTTGCCTCTGCTCCACTCGCTTCATTTCCGCCTTCTTGAGCCTCTCCCACCCCCTCCACCTCCTCCACTCCCTCCCCCTCCTCGCCCTCCTCTGCAGCATCATCAGCCAGCTGGGCGAGGGAGAAGAGCATCAGAGCAGCCGTATCTTCCTTCCCGCTCACCCCTGCTCCCCCTGCCCCTCCTGTCCCTCCTGCCCCTCCTGTCCCCTCTCCTGCTCCTCCTCCTCCTCCTGCTTCTCCACCTTCCCTGCTTCCTGCTGCTGCCAGCAATGGTGCAGCAGCAGCTGCAGCAGCGGCACTAATGGGCGGTGTAGCTGGGGGATCACCTGCCAGGCAGGAGCAAGCACACGGAGGGGAGGAGATGTCAGGGGAGGAGATGACAGGGGAGGAGATGACAGGGGAGGAGATGACAGGGGAAGGGAAGAAAAGGACACACGAGATATAAACAGTAGCTGACCTGCCACATACCACCTCTCTCACATGCCACCTATTCAAACTCCAACCCCTCAAAAACCACCAGGCACAAATTTCACCTCCCTTGAATCCCACCTTAGATTATCCACAACCGTCAACACCCACCTCAAATCATCCTCACCCCTCAACACCCACCTCAAATCATCCTCACCCCTCAACACCCACCTCTCTTGATGATCTTCTTGGAGCCTTTTGGCCGCCCACGGCCCTTCTTCACACCCCCTTCCACCTCCTCCCTCCCCCCACCCCTTGCACCCTCCCCTCCTTCCCCAGCCCTTTCCTCTCCCAGCCCTCCCTCTGCACTCTCGTCCCCGTGGTCTATAAAAGGCACGACAGGAGAGGCAAGGGGAGGCAAGAGAGGTGAAGCGAGGGGGCGGGCGAGGGGAGACAGGCCTGCTGCTGCTCCGCCTGCCTTGGCGCGTGTTTTGCCTGTGTGATCCGCAGCAGCAGTGTGGGGGGCCCTGGCGCTGGCGCTGGTGGTCACACCGAGTCTGGGTGGCGTCGAAGTGGTAGCGGCTGTAGCAGGAGGAGCTGAGCTCACAAGTGGCGAGACTTTTCCAGCAGGAGCAGTAGCAGAAGCAGGAGGATGGAGAGGCAGACCAGAACCTGCAGGAGCATCAGCAGTAGGAGAAGCACCAGCAGCAGCAGCAGCAGCACCTGTGGTTCTCTGGGAAACCCCAGAACCCCCAGCAGCCCCTGCCATTGCTGCTGCTGATGCTTTTTGCAATGGCACGCTGTGCTCCCTGCCCCTCTCCTTCAGCCCTTTCTTCCCCTCCCGCTTCTCCACTTTACCAGCAAGCTTGCTTACCTTCACCCCACTCCCACCAACAGCAGCAGCACCACCTCCACCACTGCCACCACCACCTGCAGCACCCCCAGCACCTCCACTTGCTGATCCTGCAGAGGCTTGGTCAAGCAGAGAAGCCAAGTGCCCCAACATGCCTGCCCGCTCCTCCCTTGCCGCACCACCACCAGCACCAACACCACTCGCAGCAGCAGCGGCGGCAGTCGCTGCCGTTGCCCCTTCTCCCACCGCCACGCTCGGTTTCGACACAACAAATCCCGGACCTTTCCCTTTCTTCTTCCCCATCTTCGCAGCACCGCCAGCTGCAGCACCAACCCCTGTGGTAGCACCACCTACTGCTGCACCACCGCCCACCGCAGCACTTCTCCCAACCCCTGCTTCTCCTAGTGCTGCTTCTCCAGCAACCCCACCTGCATTCCCTCCTGCACTTGCAGCACCAACCTTCCCTGCCCCTGCGCCCTCCCCCTTCTCCGCCCCAGCCAAACGCCCCTTGCCGCCCGCTCGCTTGCTGCCCGCTGCAGTGGCAGCAGCACGAGCGGGAGAAGCAGGGGTATCTGCAGCAGCAGCAGAGGTGCTGTGCTTTGCTCCTCTGGACACCCCCTTGGCAGTGAGCTCGTCTCGTGCACTGCGAGTGTGAGTGAGAGGCGCATCATCGAAAGAATCCCCTGGCAGGGCAGCAGCGGAGGTGCTGTGCTTTGCTCCTCTGGGCACACCCTTGGCAGTGAGCTCGTCTCGTGCACCGTGTGTGTGAGTGGTGCCCGCACCACCATGTGTGTGAGTGGTGCCCGCACCACCATGTGTGTGAGTGGTGCCCGCACCACCATGTGTGTGAGTGGTGCTCGCACCACCGTGTGTGTGAGCGAGAGGCGAATCAATGTAGGAATCCCCTGGCAGGGCAGCAGTAGCAGCGGCAGCCATGGCAGCCAGAGCAGCCACTGCATCCTCCTCCTCCTCGCCCTCCACCCCTCCTGCTGCTGCTGCCCGTCCTCCTGCTGCCCCTACTGCTGCTGCCTCTCCCACTGCATGGGCCCCTCCTGTTACCCCTCCCACTGCATGCGCCCCTCCTGTTACCCCTCCCACTGCTCCTACCGATACCGAGCCCAGAGCAGAAGGACCGAAAAGGCCGCCTCTGCTGCCCATCAGCAGCCCACCATGCGGCCTCCTCCTCCCCTCATCGCCCCCCACCAATCCCTTGCCCTCCCCAGCCCCCACCAGAGAGATCTTCATCCCCAGCCCCTCGTCCGCTGCTGCCTCTCTGCTGCTTGCTGCACCTGCAGCTGCTGCAGAGGCGGCCCGGAGGAGGGGAGAGGAGGGGGGGAGAAGGGCAGGCGGGCGGAGGAGTGGGGTGGAGGAGGAGAGGGAGGAGGTCCGCCTGGGCTTGAACTCTGGCGGGGGTAGCTGTAGTGACATGGAGGGAGAGGCATCAGCGGTGGCACTTCCACCAGCCGCAGCAGCAGCAGCAGCCGTGGGTGGAACAAAGGGAGGGGCAGTAAAGGGGGGGTGCAGCAAACGGGCAGACATGGGTGCAATGCCGGCACCGCCTGCTGCTGGAGCAGTGGCACCAGTGGTGGGAGCGGAAGGCAGAAAAACGGGAGGAACAAGAGCGGGAGAGGCAGTGAGAGGAGGAGAGGGAGACGATACTCCCTTCTCTCGCCTCACCACACCTGACCCCTCTCCCGTGCCCCGCCCCCCATCACCCTCCTTTCCACCTCCCGGTGACTTTTGAGTCGACTCAAAACTCACCACGCCTGACCCCTCTCCCGTGCCCCGCCCACCACCACCCTCCTTTCCACTCCGCTTCCCTCCTTCCCCTCTCCCTCCTCCTCCTTTCGACCCTCCTCTCCCTCGCCCTCCCTCCCCTCTCCCTTGCTCACCTCTCCCTGACTGGAAGGAACTGGGGTGTTTAAGACTGGGTGGAATGGCAGAGGAAGGGGCTGAGGAGTGGGAGGGGTGCGGATGGGTAAGAGGGGCAGCAGATGGGTGCAGAGGAGCCGTGTGAGTCTGGGCATGTGGAGAGGCATGTGTGTGTGCGTGGGGCGTGTGGAGTGCGGCTGACGGGTCATGGATGGGTGTTGCTGCATGGGTGGCGAAAGCGGGCGGCACAGAGAGGAGACCATTTGTCATAATCCCGTCAGCTGCACGCTCGCCTTGGCCTCTCATCTCCACACTGCCTTCCAACGCAACCCCCTTTTCCCTGTGGCCCCCATCGCCCTCCCCCTCCACCTCTCCTCCCTCCGCCTCTCTTCCCTCCACCTCATCCTCAGTCTCCTCACCTTCATCTCCCTCTCCCTCTCCCTCAACTTCCTCCGTGCCCGCCTCCCTCTCCTCTTCTTCCTCCTCTCCCTCTCCCTCCCCATCCTCCTCCCACTCCTCCTCCTCCTCCCCATCCCCATTCCCCTCCCCCCCTTCCCCATCCTCCACCTCTCGCTCCTCACTCTCCTCTGTCCACTCATCCACCTCACGCCCACCACAACCCCCTTTTCTCTGTGGCCCCCATCGCCCTCCATCACCTTCTGTTTTCAATCGTTTGAACATCCGCTCTTTGTTGAGCAATCCACTTAGCTCACCGCCAACGCCATGCATGCTCCCACTGCCGCCCTTCCCATCCTTATCAATGCCTCCCGGTCTGCCCTCCAACTCTCCTCTCTGCACAATCTCGCTGTCGAAGCTGCCAGAAACCTTTTCCGCTGCCCGGGACCGGTCACGTGCCCGAACAGCTTTACCGGGAGCACCAGCCTTCGGCAGCCAGGGAAACGGAGGCAGAAAAAACTCTTCATACCGCCCCAGCAAAGCATCATCACCGTTGCTGGCCTCACCACCGCCTACCTTCTCTTTCTCGTTCTGCCCATCTGACCGCACCCCACTCTGCCCACCCTTGCCTGCAAAACCCGTACCCCCCCTCTCCTGCTCTCTGCTTTGCCCATGCATGTCCTTTGACCGTGTTCCTTCTGATTCGGGGAGCAGTGAGGAGAGGAGCGAGTCGAGAGACGGGCAGGGCGGGAGGGCGAGGAGGGAGGGGAGTGCGGCAACTGGATGGAGGGGGAACCTGCTAGTGGGTCATATAGTGTGGGCGGGGAGACAGGGAAAGGGGATGGGAGGGGAGGTTGAAATGAGTAACACGTCCTTTATGACATGCACATGTCCTTTATGACATGCACATGTCCTTTATGACATGCACATGTCCTTTATGACATGCACATGTCCTTTATGACATGCACATGTCCTTTATGACATGCACATGTCCTTTATGACATGCACATGTCCTTTATGACATGCACATGTCCTTTATGACATGCACATGTCCTTTATGACATGCACATGTCCTTTATGACATGCACATGTCCTTTATGACATGCACATGTCCTTTATGACATGCACATGTCCTTTATGACATGCGCATGTCCTTTATGACATGCGCATGTCCTTTATGACATGCACATGTCCTTTATGACATGCACATGTCCTTTAAGACATGCACATGTCCTTTATGGCATGCACATGTCCTTTATGGCATGCACATGTCCTTTATGACATGCACATGTCCTTTATGACATGCACATGTCCTTTATGACATGCACATGTCCTTTATGACATGCACATGTCCTTTATGACATGCACATGTCCTTTATGACATGCACATGTCCTTCATGACATGCACAAGTCCTTTATGACATGCACAAGTCCTTCATGACATGCACAAGTCCTTTATGACATGCACAAGTCCTTCATGACATGCACAAGTCCTTTATGACATGCACAAGTCCTTCATGACATGCACAAGTCCTTCATGACATGCACAAGTCCTTCATGACATGCACAAGTCCTTTATGACATGCACAAGTCCTTCATGACATGCACAAGTCCTTCATGACATGCACATGATCTGAACAGAAAGCACAGGTGGGTTGGGTTGAGGGCAAGAGCGGCACGCGTGGGGTTGATGAGGGAGGCAGAGAGGCAAGGATTGGTTATAATGCAGCGTCCCGATGGCGAGTAGGGCATGAGGTGAGGTGGCAATGTGAGAGGCGTTCCCTGGCGATTTTTTGGTCGACTCAAAAGTCACCTCGTTCACTGGCTGGCGATGTGGATGCTTGCTTACCCGAGTGGTGCACTGAACGGTACTTGGTCTTTATGACTTGGCCGCTCTACTATTGCCTTCTGCTTGCCGCTTGGCTGGGTTCCGCTGGGCTCTCGGGCGTGAGTGAGACTGCTGGGTGAACTGGCATGGCCAGTGTGTGTGGGTGTGTGTGTTCTGGTGTGTGTGTTGGGTGTGTGTGTGTGAGCTTGTGAGGGGCCGTGAGTGTGTGCAGAGTGAGAGAGGTTCACGTAAGGTGCACCTAAAGAGGGTACATGCAGCAACTGAGGCATGGTGGGTGCAGGGGGGTGGGCGGGGTTGGAGATGGGTGCAGAGGGATGAGGAAACGAAGGAAGGGAGTTGAGAGGAGGCGTGAGGGGAGGAGGCATGGAGGAAGGAGGCTGAGAGGGTGGGTGGAAGTGCAGAGCGGGAGGGGCCTTGTGTGGGTAGAGGCGGGGCAGAAGGAGAGAGTCGACCTGATGGGCACACAGGGACACACAGGGGGATGGGATGGGAGGGTCAGGAGAGGAGAGTGACAGAGGATGAGTGAACCAGGAGAGGATGTGGCCAGTCAAGGCAATGAGCAGACGCTCACATGGGCTGCAGAAGCAGGAGTTAATGCAGAGGCAGGAGTTATAACTTATAAGCAGAAGCATAGATTACCAGCAGACAGCAGCAGCTGCTGCACTCACCTCATCATCAATCTTCTCCCAAAATCCCTTCCCTGCCCCCCTCCTCCCCTGCAGCCTCCGCACCACTTTCCGCCCCACTGCCACTCTCCTTTCTTCCTCCGCCCTCTTCTCCTCCTCCTCTCTCTCCGTCTCCTCTGCTCTCTTGCCCACCTCTCTCGTCTCCCCCTCTCTCTTCTCCCCATCCACCCCGGTCTCATTCTCCACCCGCCCACTTCTCTCACCATCCTCTCCGTCCTTCCCTCCCACGCCTCCACCCAAGCGTGTATCCAAGCCTGCATCCGAGCCTAATTCCGAACCTGATATCGGCACGGCATTCAGGTCCGTGTGCACGGGGGCAGAGGCTTGGTGAGGAGGGCAGGCAGTGGCGGCTGGAGCGACACTACCAGGGAGGGAAGGGGCAGAGAGGTGCTGATGTGCTGCTGGCACCATGTGAGTCGGCGTGTGAGGAGCAGTGGGGATGACAGCGGGAGGGCGGAAGGAGGGTGGGAGCGAGAGGAGAGTGGGCGGGGCTGAGAAGTGAGGGGGGCAGAGCTGAGATGCCATAGCTGAACCTGCTGCTGCTGTTGCGAGTGCTGCTGGTGCTGCTAGCGGTGCTCCTGCCACTGGCGCTGCTGCTGCCACTGGTGCTGTTGCGGCTGTTACTGCTGCCGGGATCGACTGGTGGCTCGGAGCAAGAGGAAGAGGAGGGGGCGAAAGGGCAGGGGAAGAGGGCGGGGGAAAAGACGAGCGAAGCGTGGGGAATGGGGAGGGAGGGTGGGGCTGGGCCAAGAGGAAAGCAAGGGCGTGCTGTTGTTGGGCTGGAGAGAGGTGCATGGCTGGTGATAGATGCACGGCTGGCGACAGATGCAGGGCAGCTGGCAGCAGTGCTGAAGATGCTCGCCCACTCACACCGCCCTCTCTTGCTCTGCCCACTCCACCACCTGCTGCTTGCCCCACACTTGCTGCTCCTCTGCCTCCTCTTCCTGTTGCCCCACTCACACTTCCTCCCCCACTGCTCTTTCCAGCCAGCATTCTGCGCAGATATCCTGTGGTGAGGCGAACCCTTTTCGGGGGGGGAGGTGCATTGTCAGATGGCCTCCCACCTTGTGCAGTGGCAGACGGTGCAGTGGCTGCTGCATCAACATCCTGAGTCACAGCACCAGCAGCATCAGGCGTAGTAACAGCATCAGTAGCTGTTGCAGCAGCAGCAGCAGGCGTAGTAACAGCATCAGTAGCTATTGCAGCAGCAGCAGCAGGCATAGTAACAGCATCAATAGCTGCTGCTGCAGCAGCAGCAGCAGGCATAGTAACAGCATCAATAGCTGTTGCAGCACCAGCAGCATCAGGCGTAGTAACAGCATCAGTAGCTGTTGCAGCACCAGCAGCATCAGGCGTAGTAACAGCATCAGTAGCTGTTGCAGCACCAGCAGCATCAGGCGTAGTAACAGCATCAGTAGCTGTTGCAGCACCAGCAGCATCAGGCGTAGTAACAGCATCAGTAGCTGTTGCAGCACCAGCAGCATCAGGCGTAGTAACAGCATCAGTAGCTGTTGCAGCACCAGCAGCAGCAGGCGTAGTAACAGCATCAATAGCTGCAGCAGCATCAGGAAAAGTAACAGTCTCGGAATCAATAGCACCAGCTGCTTGAATGGCAGCACCAGTATCAGTCATAGGAGCAGTGTTGTCAGCAGCAGGACTCATGGCAGCAGCATCGGGACTCGTGGCACCAGCAACAGGACTTGTCGCGACAGCACCGATTGCATCACGAACAGCAGCACAAGGAGCAGAAGCATCAGCAGCACAAGGAGCAGAAGCATCAGCAGCACAAGGAGCAGAAGCATCAGCAGCACCAGGAGCAGAAGCATCAGCAGCACTAGTGGCAGAAGCACCAGGACCAGTAGCATCAGCAGCACCAGGAGAAGCAGCATCAGCAGCAGCCGCATCAGCAGGAGCACCAGTAACATTCACAGCAGCCGCAACAGCAGGGCTTGCAGCAACACCTGCATCAGGGATTGCAGCAGCCTCAACAGTAGTTACAGCAGCCTCAGCCTTGGTGTGACAGGTCAGAGCCACTTGTCTCTCCACAGCAAGCAGAGCTCCTTTCAAGGTGGAGAGAGGGGCCCGTGAAACACGGCTCTGTGCGTCAGCATCGGCAGTCTGTGCGTCAGCATCGGCAGTCTGTGCGTCAGCGTCGGCAGTCTGTGCGTCAGCATCGGCAGTCCGTGCGTCAACATCGGCAGTCTGTGTGTCAGCTTCGGCAATCGGTGTGTCAGCATCGACAGTCTCTGTGTCAGCTTCGGCAGACTCGGCAGCAGCAGCACCAGCACCAGCAGGAGGAGCAGGCAAGTCGGGGGAACGTAGAGCAGTGGTGGCAGTAGGGACGTTTGGGGAGTGAGCAGGAGCAGTGGCAGCAGCAGTGGCAGGAGCAGTGACAGCAGTACTGTCAGCAGCAGTGGCAGGGGCAGTGGCAGCGGCAGTGGCAGCAGCATTGGCAGGAGCAGTGGCAGCAGCAGTGGCTGCAGCAGTTGCAGCAGCAGTGGCAGGAGCAGTGGCAGCAGCAGTGGCAGCAGCAGTGGCAGGAGCAGTGGCAGCAGCAGTGGCAAGAGCAGTGGCAGGAGCAGTGGCAGCAGCAGTTGCAGCAGCAGCGGCAAGAGCAGTGGCAGGAGCAGTGGCAGCAGCAGTTGCAGCAGCAGTGGCAGCAGCAGTGGCAGGAGCAATGGCAGCAGCAGTGGCAGGAGCAGTGACAGGGGCAGTGGCAGGAGCAGTGGCAGCAGCAGTGGCAGCAGCAGTGGCAGACGTAGGGGCAGGAGCAGTGGCAGGAGCAGTGGCAGGAGCAGTGGCAGGAGCAGTGGCAGCAGCAATGGCAGGGGCAGTGGCAGGAGCAGTGACAGAAGCAGTTGCAGCAGCAGTGACAGGGGCAGTGGCAGGAGCAGTGGCAGCAGCAGTGGCAGCAGCAGTGTCAGAAGCAGTGGCAGGTGGAGAGTGGGCAATGGCAGCGACAACAGCAGCCCAGTCGTGGGTGGCTGCACTGCCAAGAAGCCCCAACTGCTTCTCCTCCGCCATCACCCTCGCATCCACCTGACTCGCCTCACCCACCTGACTCACCTCACCCACCAACCTCGCCTCATCCACCGCCCTCGCCTCATCCACCTTCACAGTGGCAGGAGCAGTGGCAGGAGCAGAGTGGGCAATGGAAGCGACAGCAGCAGCCCAGTCGTGGGTGGCTGTACTGCCAACAAGCCCCAACTGCTTCTCCTCTGCCACCCTGAGTGCATCCGCATGCCGCACCTCATCCCTCACCGCATCCACCTGCCTCGTCTCATCCACCTGCCTCGTCGCATCCACCTGCCTCGTCTCATCCACCTGCCTCGTCTCATCCACCTGCCTCGTCGCATCCACCTGCCTCGTCTCATCCACCTGCCTCGTCTCATCCACCTGCCTCGTCTCATCCACCTGCCTCGTCGCATCCACCTGCCTCGTCGCATCCACCTGCCTCGTCTCATCCACCTGCCTCGTCGCATCCACCTGCCTCGTCTCATCCACCTGCCTCGTCCCATCCACCTGCCTCGTCGCATCCACCTGCCTCGTCTCATCCACCTGCCTCGTCTCATCCACCTGCCTCGTCTCATCCACCTGCCTCGTCTCATCCACCTGCCTCGTCACATCCACCTTCACAGCACTGCAGGCACGACCCTCACTCTCTTCCAGCACTACCTTTGCTCCTCTCTTCTCCACCTCCCCTCTACCCACCTCCTCCTCCGCTTTCTCCTTCTCTTTCTTAGCACCCTCCCACTCCTTCCTCTTCTTTTCTACCTCATCTCCCCCTTCACCCTCCTGTTCCCAATCTCTCTTTCTCTTCTGGCTCTCCTCCCTCTCACTCCCTCGTCGCTGCACCTCTCCACACGCCATCCCCTTTGCTCCTTCCTTTGCTCCTTCCTTTGCACCCTTCTCATCCACATCCTCCTTCTTTTCCTCCTCCCTCCCCTCCCACTGGTTTGCCCAAACCATACCTCCTACCCTCTCTTCAATTTCCGCCCTTTCCTCCTTCCCTACCGCATTCGCATCCTCCCCTCTCTCCTTCTCCTCCCCTCTCTCCTTCTCCTCCCCTCTCTCCTTCTCCTCCCCTCTCTCCTTCTCCTCCCCTCTCTCCTCCTCCCCTCTCCCCTTCTCCTTCCCTCTCTCCTTCTCTTCTCCTCTCTCTTTCTCCTCCCCTCTCTCCTTCTCTTCCCCTTTTTCCGTGATCCCCCCACTCTCCTTATTCCCCCCTCTTTCCTTCTCCTCCTTTCTCTCCTCCCCTCTCTCCTTCTCTTCCCCTCTCTCCTTCTCGCCCCCACTCTCCTTTCCCCCCCCTCTCTCCTTCTCCTCCCCTCTCTCCTTCTCCTCCCCTCTCTCCTTCTCCCCCCCACTCTCCTTCTCCTCCCCTCTTTCCTTCTCGCCCGCACTCTCCTTCCCCCCCACTCTTTCCTTCTCCTCCCCTCTCTCCTCCTCCCCTCTCTCATTCTCCCCCCCTCTCTGCTTCTCCTCCCCTCTCTCCTTCTCGCCCGCACCCTCCTTTCCCCCCCCTCTCTCCTTCTCCTCCCCTCTCTCCTTCTCCCCCCCAGTCTCCTTCCTTTCCTCCTCTCCCTCGTTCCCCTCCTCTTCTTTCTCCTTCCCATCCTCCCCCCTCTCCATCCCCTCCACCCCTCTCTCCTTCCCCTCTTCCCTTCTCGCCTTCTCCTCCACCCCCTTCTCCTTCCCCTCCTCACATCTCTTCTTCCCCTCCTCCCCTCTCTCGTTCCCCTCTTTCCCACTCTCCTTCCCCTCCTCTTCTCTCTCCTCTTCCCCTTTCCCCTCCCCTCTCTCCTTCCCCTCCTCCCGGCTCTCCTTCCCCTCCTCCCCACTCTCCTTTCCCTTTTCCCCACTCTCCTTCCCCTCCTCCCCACTCTCCTTCCCCTCTTCCCCTCTCTCCTTCCACTCATCCCCTCTCTCCTTTCCCTTTTTCCCACTCTCCTTCCCCTCCTCCCCTCTCTCCCTCCCCTCTTTCCCACTCTCCTTCCCCTCCTCTTCTCTCTCTTCTTCCCCTTTCCCCTCCCCTCTCTCCTTCTCCTCTTCCCCTCTCTCCTTCCCCTCTTCCCCACTCTCCTTCCCCTCCTCTCCTCTCTCCTCTTCCCCTTTCTCCTCCCCCGTCTCCTTCCCCCGTGCCCCACCCTCCACTGACACCTTTCCAGAACCCACTCGCTCTCCACCTCTCTGCACCACACTCACCTCCACTTCCCTCGCTTCCGCCGCCCAACCACCCATGAACCTGCTCACCTCTCGCCCCTTCCCTGCACCCTCCCGACCTGCGCTGCTCGCTGCATTCCCCACAACCTTTTCTGTTCTCCCTTCTTTGCCCAACCCACCACCAGCTTTCACACCTTGCGTCCTTCCACCACACCCATCCATTCCCCCTCCTTTACCAACAACTCCTACCTGTGCCCCAAAGCCCAACCCGCCCTCTCCTTCCTTCCCCTGCTCCCCACCCACCTCTGCATCCAATCCCACTCCACCCTTCACACCCCCACCCGTCACCACTCCCAACCCAGCCAAATCTCCTCCCTGGCCCCTCTGCTCCGTCGCCTGCTGCTGCCCTCTGCCTGCCGCCAATGCACCTTGACCCGTCTGCTCCGCCCCATTCCCCACTTTCCCAGCAAGTGCACTGGCAGCATCGCCACTCGCTGCCAGCTCAGCACTGCCTCTCGCCTCCGCACCTGCCGCCTCTACCCCTGCCGTCCCAAGCATCGCCTCTAGCACCTCTCGCTTCCCTCCCACTACTGCCTCCTCTACCTTAATTTCTGCTTTCTCCTCCACCTCCCCCATCCCATCCACACCTCCCACCGTCTCCTCCACCCTCACTTTTCCCGTTCCCTCCAAACCTCTGGTCTCGCCTGCTCCCCCCCTTCCCTTACCCACTAGCACTGCCGTACCTTCTTCGAGTTCTTTCCCCTTCGCCTCCTCCCCCTTTGTCCCATCCCTCAACACTGTTTCCATTTCATCCCTCCCTTTCGTGGCTTCCCCCTTCGCCTTTGCCCCTTCCTCCTTATGCGTTACACCTTCCTCCTCCTTCTTTGCTCCTGCCTCCTTCGCTTTCGCTCTTTTATCCTCTCGCTTTGTCCCTTCCTCCTCCCCTTTCACCCTTTCCTTCTCCCCCTTTGCCCCTTTATCCTCCCCTTTTGCCTCTACCTCCTCTCTCTTTACCCCTGCTTCCTCCCCCTTTGTCCCTTCCTTCTCCCTTTTTGTTCCTTCCTCCTCTCCCTTTACCCCCTCCTCCTCCCCCTTTGCCCCATCATCCTTCCCCTCTGCCCTTTCGTCCTCCCCCATTGCACTTTCCTTTTCCCCCTTTCCTTCCTCCTCTCCGACTGCCCCTTCCTTCTCCCCCTTAACCCCTTCCCCTTCCCCCTTTCCCCCTTCCCCCATCCCCATCACCCCATCCCCCTCGTCTCCCCAGGCTGCACCTATCACGCCAGCAGCAGCCCTCACCACCACCGCACCTCTCACACCACCCTCGCCCTCCGCCCTCTTCTCCCCCTCCTCCACCACCACCCCCTCCTCCACCTTCCCCATCTCAGCCTCCACATCACCAGCACCACAATTCTCCATGCTGCTGCCTTCCGCCTTCCTACTCACCTCTTCCGCCTTCTCTCCACTCCTACTCACCGCTCCCGCCTTCTCTCCACTCCTACTCACCGCTCCCGCCTTCTCTCCACTCCTACTCACCGCTCCCGCCTTCTCTCCACTCCTACTCACCGCTCCCGCCTTCTCTCCATTGGTATCTTTGCCTCCCTCACCATCCCTCACACCTTGCTTCACCCCTCCCACTTCCCCCCTTTCCTTCCCACCCACCTCCCCTGCTTCGTTCCCACCCAGATTTCCCCCTTCCGTCCCACCCACCTTCCCCCTTTCCGCCTTGTCCTCCTTCCGCACACTCTCATTTTGCCAGCCCTTCTCCTTCTCTGCCTCTTCCTCCCCACTCACCTTCTCCTCCCCACTCGCCTTCTCCTCCCCATTCACCTCCTCCCCACTCGCCTTCTCCTCCTTTTCACTTTCCTTCCCCTCCTTTACACTATCCTTCCCCTCCTTTACACTTTCCTTCCCCTCCTTTACACTATCCTTCACCTCCTTTTCAATTTCCTTCTCCTCCCCACTCACCTTCTCCTCCCCACTCACCTTCTCCTCCCCACTCACCTTCTCCTCCCCACTCACCTTCTCCCCATTCAACTGCTCCTCACCCACCTTTGCACCTTTCTCGCCCTCCTTTACACTTTCCTTTCCCTCCTTTGCACTTTCCTTCCCCTCCTTTACACTATCCTTCCCCTCCTTTTCACTTTCCTTCCCCTCCTTTACACTTTCCTTCCCCTCCTTTACACTATCCCTCCCCTCTTTTTCACTTTCCTTCCCTTCCTTTACACTTTCCTTCCCCTCCTTTACACTTTCCTTCCCCTCCTTTACACTATCCTTCCCCTCCTTTTCACTTTCCTTCCCTTCCTTTACACTTTCCTTCCCCTCCTTTACACTTTCCTTCCCCTCCTTTACACTTTCCTTTCCCTCCTTTGCACTTTCCTTCCCCTCCTTTACACTAACCTTCCCCTCCTTTGCACTTTCATTCCCCTCCTTTACACTTTCCTTCCCCTCCATTACACTTTCCTTTCCCCCCTTTGCACTTTCATTCCCCTCCTTGGCACTTTCCTTCCCCTCCTTTGCACTTTCATTCCCCTCCTTTGCTCCTTCCTCCCTATCCTCCTGTGCTTCGACCTGCCCTGCGTGTGCCATCGCCTCAGCAGCATGTCCCCCCTCGCCTGCACCAACCACATCCTCTTCCTTCGCCTCATCCCCTCTCTTCGCCTCATCCCCTCTCGTCGCCTCATCCCCTCTCTTCGCCTCATCCCCTCTCTTCGCCTCATCCCCTCTCTTCGCCTCATCCCCTCTCGTCGCCTCATCCCCTCTCTTCGCCTCATCCCCTCTCTTCGCCTCATCCCCTCTCTTCGCCTCATCCCCTCTCTTCGCCTCATCCCCTCTCGTCGCCTCATCCCCTCTCTTCGCCTCATCCCCTCTCGTCGCCTCATCCCCTCTCTTCGCCTCATCCCCTCTCTTCGCCTCATCCCCTCTCTTCGCCTCATCCCCTCTCTTCGCCTCATCCCCTCTCTTCGCCTCATCCCCTCTCTTCGCCTCATCCCCTCTCTTCGCCTCATCCCCTCTCTTCGCCTCATCCCCTCTCTTCGCCTCATCCCCTCTCTTCGCCTCATCCCCTCTCTTCGCCTCATCCCCTCTCTTCGCCTCATCCCCTCTCTTCGCCTCATCCCCTCTCTTCGCCTCATCCCCTCTCTTCGCCTCATCCCCTCTCTTCGCCTCATCCCCTCTCTTCGCCTCATCCCCTCTCTTCGCCTCATCCCCTCTCGTCGCCTCATCCCCTCTCTCCGCCTCATCCACTCTCTTCGCCTCATCCCCTTTCTTCGCCTCATCCCCTCTCCTCGCCTCATCCCCTCTCCTCGCCTCAGTGCTCATACTCCCAACCTTCCCCTTTTCCTCTCCTTGCACGTCTCCCTCCTCCATTTTATCCACCCTTCCCTGCTCCTGCTTCTCCTCTTGTTTCGCCTCCCTTTTCTTCACCCCTCCCTCCAATTTCTCCTCCCTTTTGTCCTCCCTTTTCTCCTCCTCCTCCTCCACTCCCTCCTCCTCTCCCTTCTCCGGTTTGTCCTCCTTTCTTGCCTCCCTTTTCGCCTCCCTATTCTCATCACTTCCCTCCTTCTCCTCCCTTTCCTCCTTCTCCTCCCCTTTCGCCTCGTTTCCCTCCTCCCTTTCCTCCATTCCCTCCTCGTTTCTCTCCCTTCCCTCCTCCCTTGCCCCCTCCCTTCCCACGTCCACCATCTCATCCCCCTCTCTTGCGTCTGCCATCACCCTCCCTCCTTTCTCATACTCCCCCAATCCCTGGTTCCCCTTCTCCCCAAATGTCTCCCTCCCCTTCTCCCCTTCCCTGTCAGACCCCCCTCGGTCCTCCCTACAGATGCGTGTAACCTTCATTTCATCCCCACATCTTTTCTCCCCTTCCTCCTCTCGTCCCTCGCCCCCATCGCCACCTTCCACCAAACTCTCCAACCCTGCTTCCCCCACCGCTGCTTCCCCCACCGCTGCTTCCCCCACCGCTGCTTCCCCCACCGCTGCTTCCCCCACCGCTGCTTCCCCCAACCCTGCTTCCCCCACCGCTGTTTCCCCCACCGCTGCTCCCCCCACCGCTGCTCCCCCCACCGCTGCTCCCCCCACCGCTGCTCCCCCCACCGCTGCTCCCCCCACCGCTGCTTCCCCCACCGCTGCTTTCTCCGATGCCACCCTAATCCCCGCCTGTGTGCCATCCACTCCCCACATGCCCCCTTGCTGCTCTCCTCCCTCCCCCTCCTTCCCACCCTCCCCCACTTTCCCACCCTCAATCTCCTTTCCGCCCTCACCCTCCTCTCCCCCACCCTCCTCTCCACCACCCTCCTCTCCACCAACCTTCCTTCCACCTCCCTTCCATCCCTCCGCACGCGTTGAATCACCGGCACACTGCTCCTCCCCAGTCCTCGTCTCCCCATTCTCACCCTTCACCGTTCCCCCACTCTCACTCGTCCTCTTTCCCTCATCTCTGTCCGACGCCTTTCCCTCATCTCTGTCCGACGCCTTTCCCTCATCTCTGTCCGACGCCTTTCCCTCATCTCTGTCCGACGCCTTTCCCTCATCTCTGTCCGACGCCTTTCCCTCATCTCTGTCCGACGCCTTTCCCTCATCTCTGTCCGACGCCTTTCCCTCATCTCTGTCCGACGCCTTTCCCTCATCTCTGTCCGACGCCTTTCCCTCATCTCTGTCCGACGCCTTTCCCTCATCTCTGTCCGACGCCTTTCCCTCATCTCTGTCCGACGCCTTTCCCTCATCTCTGTCTGACGCCTTTCCCTCATCTCGCTTTGCTTCCTCCTCCCGCCGCGCACTGCCTACCATTCCCTCATGCTTCTCCCCATCGCTCTGCTTCTCATACACCCCCTCCCTCCCTGCAACCTCTTTTACCCTCCTCTCCTCATTCCTCTCACCCCTCTTCTCCTCGCTCCCCTCATTCTTCGCCTCCTTAGTCCTCTCATCCCTCCTCTCCTTTCGCGGCTCTCCGGTCCTCTCTTCGGCCTTCGTTTCGCCAACTGCAACCTTCGTTTCGCCTGCTGCAACCTTTATTTCGCCTGCTGCAACCTTCGTTTCGTCGCCTATCACCATCTCATTCTCGTCAGCGATACAAGTTGCCTTCGCCTCGTCGCCTGCAGCCCGGACGGCGCTACTAGCTGCGTCCGCTGCCCTGGCGACGTTACTAGCTTCGCCAGCAGTCCCGGCGACGCTACTAGCTTCACCAGTAGCCCTGGCGACGCTACTAGCTTCACCAGCAGCCCTATCTGAGGCTCCCCGTGCTGCCACGACCCTCTCTGTCTTACAAACAGCTGTTTCGCCTGCAGCCTTAGGTGAGGCAGCCATGGCTTTATCGTCGGCTTTAATGGCTTTATCGCCCGCTTTAAAGGCTGTATCGTCCGCTATAATGGCTGTACCGTCCGCTTTATTGGCATCATCGTCCGCTTTAATGGCTTTATCGTCCGCTTTAATGGGCTTATCGGCCGGTTTAATGGCTGTATCGTCCATCTTAGTCGCTGTATTGGCCTTGTCTGTCGCTTTAACAACTGTATCGTCTGCTTTGTCAATCGTAGGTCCAGCTTTCAGTGCTGCGTCATCAGCGTTAACTGCTGCGTCATCAGCTGTAACTGCTACAATACCCTCTCCTGCCTTCTCACCCCCACGCTCCCCCGCCAATTCCATGCGACCGTCTTCCTTCGCCTCGCCTGCGCCCTCGGACGCTTGTCGCTCATCTATCTGCCGGGCCTCTGCCGCTCCTCTGCTAACCATCGCGCGCTCCATCCCTCCGCTCCACCGTGCCCCGCCCAACACGCTTCAGAGCGCGCTGTAATGCATCAGCGGATTGTCGCGACGAATTGGAATTGAAAAATCGACTCTACCCTGGACCGAATCTCACGGGTTTCCGATTCCCCAGTTCTCGTCGTCACAGGCAGAGGAAGGCGTAATGGATGAAACGAGAGAGGGACTTGAAAGCGCGTATTGAACGGCAGGGCTTGGGGTGAGGAAAGCACGGCACAGGACTGGGATGGGATGGGCGAGGGCTTGTCCAAGGGTCTTGAATACGGTTCAGTTTGTTCTCTCGACGTAATACATCGGTAGAGTAGGGTAATGAAAACTTACCGAAATGCTTCGGCAAGGCCATCCAGCCCACGCAGTAGCCAAGTGCCATTCCTTGACCGTTCAAGGGAGGGTGGGGGGAGAAGTGATCGATCCTGCCCTCGATCGATCAAGGACAGCTACACTGACGCAATTGACAGGGTAGCCTAATTACGAGATGGCTTGCGAACATAGAGTAGCTGGTGCCCAACGATCTTGTCACCACCGCTGATGACGATCGATGTGCCTTCGTGGCCACACCGATCCCGGCTTTTGTAGGATCGAGAGTTTTCCCCCTTGTATTTTCGACCCTGTCACCCAGGGCTCGGGATCGATCCCCAAACATCACCTCCTACCAATCCCACCCCAATCATACGATCGGTGTGCCCGATCGGTTTTTCACGGCGATCTCGCGAGCGATCGAGGGAGGGGACGAGCCCTCAGTCCAGCCATCATGGTGTGGAGTCACGACGCCAAGCGAAGCGTGAGGTAACCACATATATTGTCGCTATCAGAATGGAGGGTGGATTTGTACGCAAGGTCGATACTGCAATACGTACCAGTGATTCTATCAGTCCTAAACTATGATAAACTAATGTCAGAATTTTGTTGAGAAACCAGATACTGCAAAAAAGCTTCACAAAAAAATGGATTCAACTCGTTTGAGTGTATTCCACCATGCCATCACACGAAAATTGCAACATAATGGGCTCCTTGTCCCCACCTCTAGTTGCAGTGGCAGCACTGCTGCTGCCACCTCTGCCATCACTCTCCCTGCTATCAAAAGCTTCCCCCTCCTCCGTACCACCACCAACACTCGTTCCAAGAAGAACTCTCTTCACCTGCCTGTTCAAACCAACACCACTTGACCTACCTCCATTTGCTTCGTGGCCCCCCTCTCCCTGACTTTTCTCAAACACAAGCCTAGCACCTCTCATCCCCACCGCCTTGCCTCTCCCGCCTCCCCTGCTCCCCATGCTGCTTCCCCCGCCTGCCCCTAACCCCTCTGCCCCCATGAGCCTGTCGGCATCACCAGAGCGAGTTTTCCCATCTTCGGATAATTCCCCGCCCTTTTCTACTCGGCCCTGCCCTGCGGCCCACACGTCCACATCTCGCCACGCCCCCCACACTCGCTCCTCCTCACTCCCCTCCTCACTCCGCCTCCTCTCAATCAGCACCACCCCTTCAGCTGCCAGCCTGGCACGACCTGGCGCTGAGTCAGTCCACGTCAGCGCGCCCTCCATCTGCACAGTGCCCCGCACCGCATCTCTGGGAGCTGACAGCCTGGCAGGCCCATCTGCAGTCTCAGCAGCCAAAACAGCAGTGGCAGCTATGGTACTATCTACAGGAATGCTATCTACAGTAGTGTACTCGCCTATACCAAAGGATTTCCCCATCCAGACGTTTCTCTGGCCCTTGATTCCAGGCAAAAAGAGCCTCCCAGTGATGGGAATGGTAACAAGCACCGATGAGCCCTCCTCTACCGGTGTCCCCACCTGCCCTGTACCTTTCCACCCTCCAGCAGCACCACCACCAGCCCCCGTCTCCTCCTGACCCACCACCACTTGTGCTGCATCGCTCTTGTGCCGATCCTTGTGCACCCCCTGCTTCCCCCCCTGCTGCCCGCCTTTGTGCCCCACGGCACGCGGAGCCACCATGGTCCATGCCGCTGCCCCCTGCTCTGTCAGCGGGCTCTCAAACACAACCTCGCCTCGAATCACCCCCTCTATCGTCACACCCTTTGCTGTCACAGCTGCTGGTGCCTCTGGTGCACTTGCAAGCACACCATGAGGCGATGGATTCAAAGCATCACCATGACCAGCAGCACTAAGTCATCCTCACCACCACCAGCATCGCCTCCTCTCAACCCACCAGCCCCGCCCTTCCCATGTGCCTCCGCCTCGCCCGCTTGTGGCCTCCTCTCATCACCCCTTGCCGTACCCTCTGACGCACCGCCGCTTTTCACCCAACATGCAAACAAGCCAGGCGACAGAACCACTGCTGCTCGTGTCACAGCGCTCCCACTGCCAACACCTGCTGCTGCTGCCACTGCTCGTCCTGATGCTTTGTGGCTGTCTGTTCCTTTCGCCCCCTTCCCCTCTCTCCTGCTACTGCCACCATCCCCCTCTCCCCCGCCATTCACTGCCACACCCCCAGATGAACCGGCCGGCATCACCTCCCCACCATGCACGCTCACCAGCATGCTCCGCGACACAGACAGCTCCACGGGTGCCACTGGTGGGTTCAATGCGGTACGAATAGGTTTCTGGACTTCGTTCACAAATGGGTCCTCCACAGTCCACGCCTCGTCCACCCAGTTCTGAATTGAATCAGGAATAGCTTCTTTCATCCCATCCCCCTCCTTACCCAAAGCCCCCTCCTCCCCTGCCCCCTCCCTCCCTGCGCCTCCCTCTCCTCCTCCCACCGCCCGCCAGAACAGCGGAGGTTCATGCACGTGCACTGACTTATTCCTGCTACCGAAGAAGCTTATAAGGAGGTCTTCCAGAGGGCCTTCCAGGAAGCGCTGCTCCACGTGGGCCAGCAGCGGCAGCAGGTGGCTCGCCTCGCCCCGCAGCAGCAGCGCCTGCACGCCCCTCACACCCCGCAGCACTGACGCTGACCCTCCCTCGTGAGCCACTCTTGCTGCGTCAGTTGTGTCCCCTGCTTGACCTGCGTCCTCTAATTGTGAGTCTGGTTCCGTGGGTGGTGCGGGTTGGCCTGCGAGGGACACCACGCCCCAGTCCCTCCCCTTCAGCGCGCGCACCACAAATCGCTCCATCGCCACATCATAACGCTCCCTCACCCGCACACCTCCTTCCCCACTTGCGTCCCCTCTTCTGCCGCCCTTTCCTCCTCTGCTGCCCGCCCCTCCTTCCGCTGCCACCTCTCCACTGCTGCCCGTCAAAAGTCTGTGCTGCTCGTCTGCGAGCAGGAAGAGCACGTGGCGGGGGGACGAAGCAGCGCACTGCCGCACAGCATGCACGAACTGCACTGTGCGTTGCACCTCCCGCTGCCACCACTGCTTCATGCACGCTGCTCTCACCCTCCCCATGCACCCCTGCTCCTTCAAACCCCCCTGCTGCTCTTTCAACCCTGCCTGCTGCTGCTTCATCCCCCTCTGCTGCTGCTGCTGCTGCTTCTGCTGCTGTTGCGACTCCCCCTGTTTCCTCGCCCCATTTTGCTGCTTCCCCAAAGCAGACACGGCGCTGAAAGCCGTCCAGAGGCGTGCAGTGCGGTCGGGAGGGAAGAACCTTGACGAGTAGGCCGCAAGAAACTGCTGCCTGGCTGCTGCAGGCAGGGTGCCAGCGAGAGAGCACAGGGCAGGTGGCGCCTGCACCAGATCCACCTCAAAATCAGCTGATAGTTCCTTCAGAACCCGCCTGTACCCATCCTCCTCATCACCATTTCCACCCTCCTCACCACCACCATCTCCTCCATCCTCCTCTCCCCCTCCCCCTCCCTCATCCGTCTCTGCAGCTTCATTCCTCTTGATATCCACCCCCTCTTCCGCCTCCCCATCCCCCTCGTCTGCTCTCTCCTCCCCGCTCCTCTGCTGTCTCCACTCGTCCCGCCTTTCCGAGGCTGGCACCGAGGCTCGGCAGCCGGGGCTGTAAGCCACGGCGCGCATGGAGCGTTCCAGCAGCAGCCCCTTGGCGCGGTGGCGATCCAGGGAGAGCAGCAGGTCCAGGGCAGGTGAAAGGAGTGCGGATGGGTTTGAAGCGGTGGTGGGATCTGTGGGAGAAGACTCCCTATGCTGCTCGCTTCTGCTGCTTCCTGCTGCAGTGGGCGCAGTGGCATGGGCGGGGAGCAGATGGCGCAGGGCGGAGAGGGGGAAGGGGTGCGCGGGCTGGGGAGAGGGCGGGGGAAAGGGAGGGCGGGGAGGAGGGGAGGAGCAGGAGCAGTGGGTGGGAGCGATGGCAATGCACAGGCCCCACGGCTTAGTGACGGCTCGGACGCTTCTGCTGTCTCTGTCTCTGTCGCCGTCTCTGTCACTGTGGGTGTCGCTGTGGGTGCTCTCAGATGGTACACTGCTGCCGCCTTCACTGCTTGTGTCATCAACGAATGCCGTGGGGTTGTAAAACGAGCGTCCCACGAACGCACTCAGGGGAGGCAGTGAGGCAGCGGCAGCACGCTCTGCACCCGAACCAACCTCCTCCTCGTCCTCGTTATCACCAGCAGCAGCAGTCACGTTTGGCCCTTCCTCCTCATCCCGCCCCCCTGCTCTCTCGTAGAGTGTCCTCGCCTCCCCTGCTGCCGCAGCTGCTGCGTCACTCGCGCGGGGCCCGACGTCTAGAGTAACGCCGTCGTCCGCTGCTGCGACGGAATCGAGTAGCTCGCTGCAGTCAATGCCGTCCGTTCCGTCGCGCAAACGGTACTCGGCAAGCAGTTGACGGAATTCGTCTTGGCAGTCGTCGAGTCCGTCAAAAAACGGCGAGCCTGCGTCTCCGCGAGTAGAACTGGTGGGTGCGGAAGGTGCGGCGGAGCCTTCTAGCAGAAAGGAGCGGAAAACGATGAGAAGGAGGACGAGGGTGAGTAGAGAGAGAATGCAGCAGAGCGCGGCAATGGTGCATGCGCCGGTTCCATGGCGAAAGAGGCGGGAGCGCGGGTGGAAGGGGAGGCGGCGCAGGGAGAAGCGCGGGAGAGCGGCGGACGTGCGGGGAGGGGAATGCGCGCGCGCGGCGGAAGAAGAGGGGGCTCGGCGCACGACCTTGGCGCTGTCCATCGCGAGGGCGCGAACCCAGTGCTTCACGCGACTCCGTTCTAAGGCAGGGGGAGGCGGCGCGCGTGCGACAACCCCCGGCGACGGCGATCTGTCGTGCGACGATCGCGTGCGAGCAAGCTGCCATTACGATGTCGCGGGAACGGCTCTCGACGCAATGGGTGGAGGGAATTCACACCGAAAGACGAGCGACACGAGGTGGGCTCGGCAACCATAGCGCGTTCCACGGCGGGCGGAACTGCTCGCGTCGCGACCCTTCCAGGAGCGGCTCGGCATGGTTTGGTGACGCGTGAACAGCAGCCAATTGCCCCTGCTGATGTGAAAATCTGCTCTGGTGAGAGCACAACTCGAACTTCTAGCAGATAAATGTACATTTCCCCGGTAGAATAAGTCCCGCTTCCCAAAGAGGGAACGACTAGGAGCTTCACTAAGATAACAAGTTTCCTATAACACAAACTTCCCTCCAATTTCCTTCTCACAGCCGCCTCAGTGAACAGCACGCAGATTAACCTTCTTAGTAGCCATATGTACAAATTCCTACACAAAAACACAGAACAATGACTACACCAGAGACGCTAAAGCTCCACTTTTATCAAATCAAAAGCCGAAGTCACCAAACCCTCCGAAATCGAATCCTCCAGCATCTCCCAACCCATCCCCAATGGCATCCCCCACCAACAGCCCACCCAGTGCCCCCAGCGCCAAGCCTGCACCCATCCCCGCCCTGCCAGGCCCCCTCCTCTTCTGCCCGTGCTTCCCGTGCTTGTACGCTGTCACTGGGGATGCTTGTAACGAGGGGTACCATGGCCCAGGGGGATTAGTCGGCCCCGCATAGGTTGTGTACGGGTGAGTGCTGCTGGCTGATTGGGTGTATGGTCCAGGGTTGGGCAGGGGATACTGGGGAGGTGGGTAGTAAGGTGGCACAGTGTGACTATAAGGGGGTGGGGCAGGGTAACCAGTCACAGGCGGTGGTGGAGGTGTTGGAGGTGATGAAGATGGATGTGCAGCGGTCTGATGGCTGTGAGATGATGGTAACTGTGAAGCTGTTGCGCCAGCTACCACTGCAACAGCTGGACCTGCTGCGCCCTCTCTTCTCGCACCGTCCACGTCAGCACCATCCACGTCAGCACTGGGCTCAGTCCCTATGTGGGTGTAGAACGACGGGATGGGTGCTAGCGGCGGCTGCCAGCACGATGCTCCCCCTTCAGCCCTCCCCGCCTCTGCGACCCCCCCAACCCTCACGCGCACCGTCAACCATCCTCTCTGTTTCGCCCTCTTGCGCCTCGCGCGCATCACTGGCAGCTGCGCGCTCTGCCACTCCCCCGGTCGGCGGAGCGCCGCGTCCAACACCAGGGTGGCCGCGCCGAGCGACTTGCGCAACGAGGCGGAGCTGAAAAGCTCCACGCGCACTTGCGCGAGCGCGTGGGGGGGAAGTGCCGCGGGGGGGAAGGATGCTGCGCCGGCGGAGGAGGCGGGGGAGGGGAACGTTGAGGCAGTAGATTTGTAATCGGCGGAAGCGGAGGACATGGGAGAAGCGGGAAAGGAGGACTCGGAAGGGAAGGAAGAGGTACACGGCTGCTGCGGAGACGACTCTACGCGGAGCAGCAGGTCATTCACCGCAAATTCCGCCGTAAATTGCGGCCCGCCGCCCCAATTAGGGTTTCGCCCGCCGTTGACGGCAGGCGGCAAGGCTATCCAGCAGGAGGGGCGGGCGGGGAGGGACACGAGCGCGCAGGGGCTCATGCGCGCGAAGGGGAGCTTCCGCCGCTTGTTACGGAGGCCGCGCGCTGACAGTACCTCCACGCACACTCGCGCGCTGTGGCCGGCTGGCTCTGTTGGGATGAGGTCGCTCATTTCTTGGAGTTCGTGAAAGAGATAGTGCAGTGACTGCTCTACCACGGGGTTACAATCAGAGTGGTACTGGCAGAGACGAAGTACACGTAGAGAATAAAAAGGTCGATTTGTCTGACTATCGTGTAAAGGAATCGAGTAGGCGTAGAAAGGCGAGAGAATGTTGGAGCTTTTTAAAGATGGAAGTATGTGGGTGGAACTGAGCGCGTGAAGGGAGACGGGAAGGAGTTGAGAGGTGGCGTGTGGGTTGAGAGGAAAGCGAGGGTGAGGAGGAAGGCCGAAGCCTCTGCCACGCAGAAAGCGGCTGCGCCGTGGCACTGCAACTCGATATAAACCTTCTTAGATACGCTTGGTATGCCATAATAGTGTTCAGCTCTTACACAGCTTCAGTTTCTATACATATTAAATAGTTCTCATTGAAGTCTGTAAGGGTACCTTCATGAAATCACTTAAGCAACAAGATTATTTCGCAGTTTATTTATAATAAGTATTCATTTGATTTTAGATTCCAATAATATACTCAGACCACAACACAACCACTGTTATAAAAAAACACTTAAACCCAAGAGCCACAAGTTTCAAGTTTAAGAAGGTTGACTTGACCGAGTGCTGTTATTGGCCCGCGAGAGTTTGCGACAAGTTTGAAGCTCGCGCTCGTTACCCGAAATCAGCAAGGATATGCGTGGTTCCACAGTTTCGCCGCTGCAACAGAGTCGCATACATCAAGCCAAAGTGGAGTGGAGTAGACAAAGTAACGCCCCTTGGATCTTAGTTGTGGTACATACGGTGTCGCTTCTCAGGCTTGGCGGCAAGCCCAGTTGTCATGGCTTCCGCTACGTTGCTCCAGTCGTGCACCTCCCTTCGCACGCCCTTTCTTCAAATCCCCACTCAGAATTCTCTCCGCGCCGACATAAGACCAAGGCTATTACCTCGAGAGAGTGGCAGGAGCAATCCTCCAAGTGAGTTACCTGGCGACGGATCGGCTCGTGTAGAGAGGAATCTACCGTTGAGATTAGTCCGCGGATCGCGCTCGTCCGTACGATGCGCGGCTGCAGGCGAGGGCGAGAAGCCGAGCTCGTTCACGAAGCAGTGGAGCCGCACTGGCGGCAGCAGCAGCAGCAGCGAGAGCGCGATTTCCGGCGCTGCGCGGCGGATTGCGGAGAAGGGCGGGCAGAGTGAGAGCAGACCCTCAGGGGGGAAGAATAGGCGGAGCGGCGGTAAGCCTGCGCGCGGGAGGGCAAGCGGAGACGCGCAGCAGGCGGGGGAGAACGGGGATGGCGCGGGAGCGGAAGGAGAAGCGCGCGAGGGCGGCGGAAGCGGAAGGCGAGAGCGGCAGAAGCGCAGCCACGTGGTGCTGGAGCGCGCGGAATTCCCGGAGCCAATGAGCCGCGACCCGCATGTGGCGATTCTGGGCGGCGGCATGGCGGGGCTGATGTGCGCGCTGGGGCTGGCCGAGCGCGGCATCCGCAGCACCGTGTTCGACACTGTACGAGGGGGATGGGGGGAGCGAGGTTGCAGGGGGTTTCGCAGGGAGTTTTCTAAGGGGTTTTGTAGGCGGTTTGTAGGGGTTCAGGGTGCTTAGCAGGGCCTGATGTGCGCGCTGGGGCTGGCGGAACGCGGCATCCGCAGCACTGTGCTCGACACTGGAAGGGGAGGCCTTGCAGGGGGTTACTCGGAGCTTGGTGGAGGTTTAGAGAGGTTCAGTCAGGTTTTAGCGGGGGTTTATAAGGGGTTTAACCGAGCATTGTGATGTGTGGGAAGGGAGGCACGGGACCGGCCACAGGGGTCCACTCAAGCGCTGAAGGTCCCATGCTGAGGGAACCAAGGGTGTGCTCATCCCGCCATGCCACCTGCCACTTTTGCTCTTCTCTTCTCCCCTCTCCCCCGCCGGCCCCCGTACACCTCTCCCTTTCCACATCGACCCCATTTCACCCTCTCCTTTTTTACCCTCTCCTTTCCCATCTCCTCGCCCCGTCTGCTCTCCCTGCGGCAGGGCAAGCACGGGCTGGGCGGGCGAATGGCCACTCGGGAGGTGGAAGTTGCTGGGAAATTGCGCCTGTTTGACCACGCAGCACAGTTCTTCACCGTCACAGATTCTCGCTTCCAATCACACGTCGACAGGTGGGCAGTCTCCAACCGCTCTTTCATCCAGTCATCTGTTGACAGGTCAGCAGCCTCCAAAATGGGTGGGCAGCTGTGCAGTGGTTCCAAGCCAATGTTGGCGGATGGGCTGCTGCTGGCTGTCTCAAACCGAGATTCTGTTCTGTTCTCTGCTGCTGTGTGCGCACGTGCCGCTATGACCCTGCTGTTTCGTTCCTGCATGTGACGGCTTCACCACCGCATCACCTCACTCCACCTCACTCCACCGCACTCCACCGCACACCACCAGGTGGCTCAAGGAAGGCGCCCTGCGGGTGTGGGACGAGGGGCGCATAGGCACGCTGCAGGCAGGGGGGGCATTCTCGGAGCTGTCGAGTGGTGGTGGCGGCGGTGGCGGTGGTGGTAGTGAAGCACGGAGGCTCGTTAGCCCCAACGGGATGCGAGCATTTTGTGAACACGTGATTGCGGATAAGGTGCGTGCAACCACCATCCATATCATTTAATTACTTACATTCCTTGATTGTGGATGAAGGTGCGTGTGTGCAGCTGGCTGTGTCGGAGAAACAGCTCTGCCAGTCATTTGCCTTCCTTCTGGTTCTCTTCTTCTTCTCAGTTCCTTCTGTTGCCTCAGCCACTCTCTGAAAGGAATGAAGCTCTCACCCCCACGGGTCCTCCCTGAGTGGTGTGCCACCTAGCTGCAAAGGTAAGGTAACAACGTTCCACTATACGAAAGGATAACAAGCGGAAAGCATCGGGGTGTGTGAGAGAGTGAATTTACCTGGCCTGGGCTCGAACCGTGCATTTCTCAATGTGCGGCTCGAGCCTGGGTTGGTTCATTCACATTGGTCGCGTGGATTTCCCCCTTGGTGCTCTCCTACCAACCTCGCGTCAACTTCCCTGGTCCCCCAACTACCTATCCTCGAAAGTGCATACTCAACATTGCTACACCAGAACTACACCTCAACATAACTGGCACCTTATATGCACAACCATGCATATTCGGTGACAGCTGTCGGAGAAACAGCTCTGCCAGTCATTTGCCTTCCTTCTGGTTCTCTTCTTCTTCTCAGTTCCTTCTGTTGCCTCAGCCACTCTCTGCCCCCTCCTGTGCCCGTGCTCGAGCAGCTTGAGCGCGGGTCACAGGACCAGTACGCTGAGGCCCAGTCCCTCTGATCACAGCTGTGTTCGTCTGATGTTCCCTCAACAGTGCCCCTTTTTCATTTTCCAGGACCAGCACCCCAGAAGGGCGCACCTCCTTGACTTTCCAGCGCACTGTCCCCAAGCCCACATCCAGAGTGTCCTGCTTCGCTCTCCTCAGATAAACTTCCTGCCCTTCACAGACGCCCCGAGCCACTCTCCCCTCTCCCTTGCGTTGCCTCTGTTCGTATCTCCTGGCATCTCGCAGCTGTGCGGTGTGCAGATTCTCCAGTGCGGCCGGCATCATGAAGCGCATGTAGCGTGCTCTCACGTCGGACAAGGCTACCCAGTTCTTGATCGTGCCCGCTGTCACTGTGTCTGTCAAAACCCGCGGTGCCCCCACTGGCAGAATTGGCTCTCGTCCATAGAGTAAGCTGTAAGGGGAATGATCCCTCAACGCTTCTTGCTTCCCGAATCTGTACCCTGCTGCTATCCAATCCAAATCATCATCCCAATCCCTCTTTCTCTGTTCCCCGTAGGCCCGCAGCCCTCGCTTAATGGTCTGCACTATGCGCTCAGTCAGGCCGTCGCTTTGCGGGTGGTAGCGGGAGGTACGTCGGTGCGTGATGCCAGACTCCTCCAGCAACTTCCTGAACTCCCCCTGGAACTCGGTGCCCTGATCTGTGAGCACCTCCCCGCACGCTCCAAATCGACACACTACCTGCGCCTTGAAAGCCGCTGCAATGTGCCTCGCGCTCTTGCTAGGGATGGCTCTCACCTCCAGCCACTTGCTCACATGCTCAACCATGAGCACTATGTACTGGTTCCCGCTCCTGCTTAGCGGCAGCTCTCCCGCTAGGTCCAGGGACCATCGGAACCCCAATCCACAGATTGGCAGTGACTGCAGCTCGGCCTTGGCCTGGGTAAGGTTTGCTTTGCTCCTCTGACATGCCTCGCACCCCTCCACCCACTCTTTCACTTGCCTTCGCATCCCTTCCCACCACCAGCCTGTCTTCAGCAGGTGCACGGTCCTCTCATGCCCGAAATGCCCCAGCTTGGTGTGGACTTCTCTGATCACTGCTTCACGGTCCTTTGGCGCTGGCACCAGTTTCCAGCCATCCTCTGTCTTGATCTGCAGCTGCTGTTGATACCACCTGTAGTGGTGTCCTCGTGCCCTCACCCTTTCAGACACGGTCTCATCTTCCTCGGTCTCTCCCTTCACCCATTCCATTGCCTTTGCATCCTGCCAGATGTCAGCAGGCCCCTTACTCCCCTTGGCACCGTTCTGCTCCACCTCTCTTGCCAGCAAAATCAAGGTGTGCGCTGGCTCCTGCTCTGTCTGTTCCATCCCCTGTGCCACCTGCTCCGTCTCCAGTGGCGGAGGGTTGCGGGAGAGACCATCGACATGCTGCAGCGTCTTCCCCGGCCTGTGCTTTATCTTGAAGTCGTATTCCTGCAGCTTAACTGCCCACCTCGCGTTCCTGCCAGTCAGCCCTGGTGTAGTCATCAGCCACGTGAGGGGCTGATGGTCAGTGACCAGGGTGAATTCTCTGCCCTGCAGGTATACCCGGAAATGCCCCACTGCCCACACCGCCGCCAGCCCCTCCCCGATATACGAGCTGTACTGTGCTTCAGCCGGGTTGCAGCTCCTGCTGGCGTAGGCCACCACCTTCTCCACTCCCTCCACCTCCTGGCACAGTATTGCCCCCATCCCCTGACTGCTCCAGTCGGTGTAAAGGATGAAGGGCTGGTCTGCTGCCGGCAGCCGCAGCACTGTCGCCGTTTTTACTGCTGTCATAAGATCTTGCAGCGCCTCCATCTGCTTCTCTCCCCATTCCCATGCCTTGTCTTCCCGCAGCATCCCGTTCAACAGCACGGCTCTCTTGCTGAAGTTAGGCACGAAGCGTCGGTAGTAGCTGAGGAAGCCCAAGACCGCCCGCAGTCCTGACTTGTCTCGCGGTTCCCTTCGCCTGTCCAGCACCTGCACCTTCGCTTGCTGGATCCCGATTTGCCCCCCTTTGACCTCATACCCCAAGTACTGCACTGTCTGCTCCCCCCATCTGCATTTGTTGGGATGACAGGTGAGCCCTGCCCCTTCTATGGCACTCAGTGTCCTCTCCACGTCTTCCAGGTGCTGCTGTTCGGTCAAGCTGAAGATCACTACGTCATCGATATAGCACGCCGCACGTTCTATTCCCCGCAGCACCGCATCCATGACCCTCTGGAACACTGCCGAGGCGTTCCTTAGACCGAATGGCATGTACAGCCACTCGTACAGCCCATCTGGTCCGTGGAAGGCGGTTTTCCTCACATCCTCCTCTCTGATCTTGATTTGATTGAAGCCCTGCCGCAGGTCCAGCGTCGTGAAGAACACCCCGTCGGCCAATTTGTCGAAGAGTTCTTCAGCCATCGGCATGGGATATCTGTCCGGCACTGTGATTTTGTTGAGATCCCTGTAATCCCCGCACATTCTCCTGCTCAGCACCTCGCCTGTCAAGTCCTTCCTGGCTGCCACCATGGTAGGGGTTGCATATTCCGACTCTGACCTCCTGATCAGTCCAGCTTCCAGCAGCTCCTTTATCTTCTCTCTGCATATCTCCTCATCCCCTGGTGACATCTTCCTCCTGCGGTGGAATACGGGCTCATCACTGCTCAGCTTCAGTGCCATCTCCTTGATCTTGCACTTCCCCAACTCCTGCAGGGTGAAGGCGAAGCCCTTCCGATGCTTGACCAGCAGTGCTCGCATTGCTGCCTTCCCTTCCCCGCTCATGTTCTCACCTATCTTCCACTCTGGCTCCTCTTTCTCCAGGCAGGCCCACACCCCTTGTCTGACTGTTGCTACTATGTTCTCTCCCTCCTTCAGTCCCCAGTGCAGCACTGTCTCTTTCCACATCCGCTGCACCAGCCATTTCATCATGTACCCATCCATAGCATTCCCCAATGCCCGCCTCCTTTCCTTCTCACTCACGCCAGGGGCTGCGGTGGCGTTCTCCTTGTACCCCATAGCCAGCTCCCTCTCCAACGCCGTGGGTTCTTCCCACCGTCCCTTCCTATGGTCTTGTACAAGTCCTGGGCCCGGCTGCTCCCCATCCATCCGATATCCTGCTGCCCCCTCGTATGACACCAGAGTGGGTAATGCCTGTCTCTCCTGTCCCACCTGGTTGCATGGGTAGTGTCTGCTGTAGCTCCTCTTGGTCACTGGTGCTGCAGTCCTTCCCGGCTCCAGGATGTCGCTCACCTTCCGCCCCCCTGCCCTCTGAACTCCCTCTATCTCCCTCTGCAGGTCTTCCGCTGGCACCACATTTTGCCAGTACATCCTAAGCCTATGTGCGTACGCTCCCATCCATGCTGCATCGCTGCTCACCCCTTTGCCCATTTGCCTCGTTACTCTCTCCCTTACCAGTCTTACTGGTTCTCGTACATCTCCTTCCATGTCCAGGTGCTCCAGCAGGTAGGCCAGTCTGCCCTGCCTAACCTGCACCCACTCCATAATCTTGAACAATTCCTCCATCAGTTTGGTCCTGGGGTCTTGCTCACCCTTGCCCTTTCCTGCCCAAGATACCCCTTGGCATTCCCACCCTGCTACTAGTAGGTCCACGTGCCCCCAGCTTGCCACTTCAGTTTCCGTGATTGCTCTTACATCGTTCACTCCCCTGCTCATTGCTGCCTTGATCACCTCTCCCTTCAGCAGCTCCGGGAACTCTCTGTGCAACTCCCACGCATGATGCTCTGCTATTTTCCTCACTTCCGGTGCCTGCTCCACGTAAATCCACTGTTTCACTGCTATTCCGTTTCGCACCACTGCTGCCAGTCCCGCCCCTATTCCCCCGAACAGTTCCACCAGCCGGATGGGCTGTTGCCAATCGGTCTGTTGGCTAGGCTCATCCATGAAGCGCATCCTGGGCTCCCCGCCCTTTCCTCTGCCAGCTGCTCTCTCTTGTGCCCCCTGCTTCGCCGTCACTTCTTTCTGATCTACACGGTAGGCCCGCTTCGGCTCTTTTTCACAAACTGCACCGGCAGCTGCCCCAGCGGTTCACCCTTCCTCCACCACCTAGTTCGGAACTCCACTGTCTCTTTCCAAAAGCAGATGGTCATGCCCAACGCGAAAATCATCTCCGTGCCCACCAGCACATCGAAATCTTCGGACTCTGAAATCCCGCACCTGATTCTGACTGGCGTTTCGTGTTTCTCTCCTTTGAGCACTGTTAGCTCTATCGGAGTCCTCGTGCAGGGCATCCATTTTGACTCTCCTCCCTCTGCCGTCATCACTAGCATTCCCTTCATCACGTGTCTGTCCGGTGCCCACAGTCCTAGTTTCTCGGCCATCCCCTTCCCTAGTATAACGCTCTGCGCGCCGGTGTCTATGATTGCTGTCTTCGCCTTCTCCCCCTCCACTGTCAGCGCGCCGCCTTGGATCAGCAGCACGGAGGTCTGGCACGCCAACCTCTCCTGGGGGTGGCGTGCAGCTGTGCAGCTCTCTCCCTTTTCTTCCGGTTTCTGTCCTTTCTCCCGTTCCTTCCTCACCTGCTCTCTCCGTGCATCCTTTCCTCCGCTACGCAGCCCCATCTCTTCCCTTCCTCGCCATGCCATGTAAGCTGGTTGTTCCTCATACTCTTCCTCATCCTCTTCTCTTCCTCCCCAAGCCATGAGCGCTGCCTTCTCTTCCTGCTCCACATCTTCCTCCTCCTCATCTCTGGCGTACATTCCCGCCTCCGCTTCGCGTCGTGGTCCCATGGCCTGCAGCTGTGCTTGCAGCCTGCTGATCTGCTTCTCCAGATCTTCTGGCGTCTTCTTCGTCGCTCCCTCTCGCTGGTAGCAATCCTTTGCTGCGTGCCCTCCCTTCCCACAGATTTCACACTTCGGCGCCGTTGGACATTCCCGCCGCCGGTGTCCTGGTTTGCCGCAGGAGTCGCAGTTCTCGCAGTCCCTGCGAAGGTGTCCCGGCTGCCCGCATCTGTGGCACGTCCGCGTGTCTGGCCTGTTCTCCCCTCTAATCGTTGCCCTGTCCTTCTCTTCTGGTATCATGGCTGCTGCCCACGTTGGTCCCCTGCCTCGCTCCGCTGGTCGGGGCCGATATGCTTCATATTTCCTCTGTGCCAGCTCCATTTTCTCTGCCATCTCAAACACTTCGTCTAGCGTTGTATCTGCCCCCATCTCGTACACCTTCATCCGCAGCCCGCTCCCCAAAGTACCCTCCAGCCCGTCCATGAATTTGCTCACAAGTAATCCCATGTCGGCGCATGTCACATCCTCCGCCAGGTTGACCAGCCGGTTGTAGTAGGTAAGCAACGACTCACCCCGCCCCTTCCTGAAATCCTGGAATTCCCTTATCTTCTCCGCGGTTTGCCCTGGGAACTGCCGCTGCAGCCGTTTAAGGAATGCTTCCGTTGGGTCTTCCCCGTACCTCCCTGCCCTCTCCAGTAGCTCATCCATCTTCATCCTGTATAATGTCTCTGCCTCCCCTTCCAGTGTATTCGGCAGACTCAGGAAGAAGTCCACCGAGTCCATGCCGCTCCTCTCACATCTGTACCGCACATTCCCCACTTGCATCAAGTAGTTCTTGAGCGTGGGCCCCGAGCGCTGATCTCCTGAGAAGCGCGCTGGCACTTCCACCCTCGTGGCCATGGTTGTGTTTCCCCGACCTTCCCCCCACATCTCGCTTGGCCCTCCTGCCGATCTCCCTGGTGCTCCTCTCTCTCTCGCCCGCTGCATTCCTTCTCTTGCCTCTCTGGCTCGCTCCAAGCTGTGCATCAGCCCGCTGCCTCCCACTCTGCTGCCGCGTTGATCCTGTCCTCCTTCACCGGCACGTTTTTCGTCACGCTGCCGATACCGACCAGGCGAGCGAGACCCACCGCCCCGCCTTCCATCCCTGCTTCGCTGCCGCTGCGGCGAGCGGTATCCGCCTCCCCGGCTTTCCTCATGTTGCTGGCGCCAATCCGGCGAGCGAGCCTCGCCTCCCCACCTCTCTCCATGGTACCGTTGCGTGTCAGGCGAGCGATAGCCACCTCCGCGTCTCCCATCACGATAGTGATGCGGATCTGGTGAGCGCGAGCCCCCTCCGCTCCTCCCGCCGTGATGCCTCCGCGGATCTGGCGAGTGCGCACTGCCTCCGCGCCCTCCGTCATGCAGCGGCCGCGGATCTGGCGAGCGGTAGCCGCCTCCGCGCCTCCCTTCAAGCGGCTGTCGCGGATCTGGCGAGCGCGCGCTGCCACCATACCCCCCGTCGCGGTGCTGCCGCGGGCCTGGCGAGCGCACGTCGTCGCCGCGCCCTACATCACGGTGCTGCCGCAGATCGGACACGCGCACCTCGCCTCCGCGTTTCTCGTCACGCTGCTGACGCGAATCCGGTGAGCGCGAGCCACTGCTACGCCTCCCGCCGTCGTTCTTCTCTTCGTCGCGCAGCGGGTTCCGAGCACCATTCTTTCCGTCCGCCTTCACCGCGCTTGGCTCCGCCGCCACGCCCGCCTGCGTCGGATCGGCCTCCTTGACTCCAGCGGGCATATCGCGCTGCTCGCCTGCGCCTTCCTCCTGGGCTTCGTCATCGCCCTTCGCCTCGCCTTCGCGATTCGTTTCCTGCGCCTTATTCGCCGTGCCGGCCTCGTCCTCTCCGTCAACATCGAGGTCTCCCTGCCGACCAGAGAATAATTCCTCCAGGCCACGCCCGCGACTCCGATCTTCGCGACGGCGGTAACCATCTTCCGGCGAGCGATACGCTCCCGTGTCCTGGCGATACCCATGATCGTCACCAGCTCCGTGGCGCGCATCCGTCCGCCACGGGTCACTTCCCATCCTGGCGGACTCAGATCCGCCTCTTCCTTCTCGCTCGGCTCCTTCTCCCCGGCGATCTGGCGCGAGCGGGACCAGATCTGCGCGAAAGGCCGGCCTCCGCGGCGAGCGCTCAGGCCTCCGCGGCGACCTCTCCAACGAACGCCCGCGCTCACGTGAGCGTTCGCGCCGCGAGCGATCATCCTCACGGCGACCATAATTCCTGCCATAACGCAGCTCGTACACATCCATGCTTGTACGCGCACCTTTCCGCTTGTTATGAAAGGAATAAAGCTCTCACCCCCACGGGTCCTCCCTGAGTGGTGTGCCACCTAGCTGCAAAGGTAAGGTAACAACGTTCCACTATACGAAAGGATAACAAGCGGAAAGCATCGGGGTGTGTGAGAGAGTGAATTTACCTGGCCCGGGCTCGAACCGTGCATTTCTCAATGTGCGGCTCGAGCCTGGGTTGGTTCATTCACATTGGTCGCGTGGATTTCCCCCTTGGTGCTCTCCTACCAACCTCGCGTCAACTTCCCTGGTCCCCCAACTACCTATCCTCGAAAGTGCATACTCAACATTGCTACACCAGAACTACACCTCAACATAACTGGCACCTTATATGCACAACCGTGCATATTCGGTGACAGCTGCATCGTTTCCAATTTCAACTTGCAGCTTTCAATATTGACTTTTGATTGCAGATAAGGTTGTGTGACCGACGGCATGGTTTCAACTTTCAACCCTCAAGAGCTGAGACGGACAGGGAAATGAGTTCAACCTTCAACGTTCTGTACTCTACTCCCCCTCACGTCATTTTTTAAGCGCCTCAAAAGTCGGACAGGGAAATGAGCTCAACCTTCACCGTTCTGTACTCTACTCCCCCTCCGTCACGTCACCCCCTTCCATCATCCTCTGACCACAGGTGAGGGCCGGCGTGGTGTTGGGGTGCAGCGGCCAGTGTGGGCAGGGAACAAGGGGGAGGCCTATCTAATTACCCTCCTTGCACTGTCAATCCCCTCTCCTCCCCTCCCTCTCTCCCCCCCGACACCCCTCTTTTCACAGGTGAGGGAGGGCGTGGTGGGGGCGGAGCGGCCGGTGTGTGGATAGGGAAGATGCGGGCAGTGCGAGGAAAATCTAATCACTCTCCTTGCACTCACTGTATATCTGCTCCCCTCTCCCACCCACCCGTCACCCTCCCTCTCTACCACCCTGCATACAGGTGTGGGAGGGCGTGGTAGGAGTGGAGCGGCCAGTGTTAAGAAATGAGACAAGATGCAGGCGAGGCGTTTCTGATCACCTTCCTTGCACCATGTATCCCATCTTCCCTCCCTAACCCCCTGTCACCCCCCAAAGCACAGGTGAGGGAGGGCGTGGTGGGGGTGGAGCGGCCGATGTGGATAGGGAAGATGAGGGCGAGGGGGGGCAAGTGGGTGCTGGAGGAGACGGGGCGCAAGGCAGGGGAGTTTGACTTCGTCGTCATTGCACACAACGGTGGGTGGGAGGGTGGGAGTATGTGTGTGGGTGGGTGTGTGTGTGTGTGCGTGCGTGCGTGCGTGTGCGTGCGTGCGTGCGTGCGTGGGTGGGTGTGTGTGTACGTGCGTGCGTTCATGAACGCATGGGTTTAGAGGTTGATGTAAGCCTGTGAAGGTGTGTGCATGGCTGCTTGGTCTCGTGTGTCTTCATGTGTGTACCTGCTTTCTTCTTCTACGTGTATTCATCATTCATACTAATGCACAATGGACCTTCCTCGTGATGCCTCTCTTCACCACTCTTCACCACTCCTGATTGCTCCACGACATCATTGATGCTGCTCCTTCCAGGAAAGTGCGCCAACCGTCTGCTCGCTCCCGCGGGCATCCCAAAGATTACGCGACAGATGAAGGTGGGTGCAAGCAAGTGCAGGGGAGGGGGAGCAGTGTGGTATGAAAGTACGGTGAAATGAAAGGGGGGAGGGAAGGTGGGTGCAAGGAGAGGGAGCAGCGCGGTTTGAAGGACGGCGAAAAGGCAGGGGGGATGTCGGATGAAGAGAGGGGAGGGGAGGGGCAGGAAGGGGAGGGGAGGGGAGGGGAGGGGCATGTGTGTGTGTGTGGCCATGGCTTGTGAGGCGGCTGCTGGCTGCGTGGCATTCGCTGTGGAGGGTAGTGGAGTTGATGTGTCACAGGGTTGTCATGTCACAGGATTGTCATGTCACAGGGTTGTCATGTCACAGGGTTGTCATGTCATGTCATGTCATGTCATGGTACATGGTCCAACTTAAGAGACATAGCGCATCACTGCATCACTCACATGTCTCTGGGTAATGCGCTCTGGGAGGAGGCTAGCTCACTCAGAGAAGACGGCACGGGCCATGTCTCTCTCCATCCATCCATTCACCTCTTCTCTCGCATCACATGGCCTGCCATTTCACTGATGCTCCTGCAGTACCGTAATACCATAATACCATAATGCCATAATGCCATAATGCCATAATGCCATAATGCCATAATACCATAATACCATAATGCCATAATACCATAATGCCAAATGCCATAATGCCATAATGCCATAATACCATAATACCATAATACCATAATACCATAATGCCATAATGCCATAATGCCATAATACCATAATACCATAATACCATAATACCATAATGCCATAATGCCATAATACCGTAATGCCGTAATGCCATAATGCCATAATACCATAATACCATAATACCATAATACCATAATGCCATAATACCATAATACCATAATACCATAATGCCATAATACCATAATACCATAATGCCATAATGCCATAATACCATAATACCATAATACCATAATGCCATTTCCAGAAACAGTCCCTTCTGTTTCTCCACACGCCACTCCTTCTCTCTCCCACCTGCCTTTTCTCCACCCCAGACCCTCACACCTCTCGCAACCCTCCCACATCTCCCAGCTCAATGTATTACCACCCTCCCTTATACCCACTCCAACCACATCCGCGTATCCCACCCTGTTCCCTGCCTTAATCCTTCAAGTCTACTCAAAGCTCACGTCTCCCTCGGACAATGCCCCCATCTGCCCTCAATCTTGGATTTCATTGTCGCCCTCCGACCAATCGTTCAATCCCAGTCCTTCATTCCAACATAAGACAGTGTTAAAGGCACTGAAAACTACCTTCTCCCTGCCAGCCTCTGTTCACTTCAATCCTGCAAGCAACCCCACAGTGCTCTGTTCTTTGCACCCCTTCAATCCTATTCCACGCACGCGCTTTTCACCACATGCATCCACGCTTCCCTCTCCCCATCCCCTACCTGCCTACACCCCTCATTGCATTCGAGACCACCTTCCTACTCTCCCCCTTCTGATATCTCCCAACCCCCCCCCCTTCCTCTCCAACCCCCTCCCTTCTTCACCACCTCACAGCGCCTCGAGCTGAGTTCCATCTGGGCGTCGATCATCGCCTTCGAGTCGCCTCTGCTGGCCAATGGCAGCGTGCCACGTGGGCACTTCGACGCCGCCTTCGTGGAGGGCGTGCCAGCTGTCGCGTGGATGTGCAACAACACCGCCAAGCTGGCGGAGGGGGGCGGCGCGGGGAGAGGGGATGGCGGGGAGGGATCGGGTGTGGTGCGGAGGGGTGAGGGCGTGGAGTGCTGGACGGTGTTCAGCAGTGCGGCGTATGGCAAGCGCAACAAAGTGCCCCAGGTGGGTGGGAGGGACAGTTTTGAGAGCACCAAGGTCTCATAAACGGGAGACAGACAGTAGTTTTTGTATGTAAGCCGTTCTTGCATTGGGAGCATCACATAGTAAAACCCTTGTCAAATACCTTACCTGGGTGCCGTTGCAGTTTATATCCATGAATTTTGAGTTGACTCTAAAGTCGCCGTTACGCCGTCACTCCATCCCCACCCTTCCATACATCCCCACCTCTCGTTGCTGTCACAAGCAGGAGAAAATCCCTTTGGCGAGGGCAGCGAGGGTGAAGCAGGAGATGCTGGAGTGCGTGGCAGCAGCACTCGGGCGACCCAAGATACCCGCATTCCCTTTCACACCCTCATAAATTGCACTCTTTCCCGCCCCTCGTTACTGTCTGTCACCACCAGGAGAACATCCCTCTAGCCAGGGCAGCGCGAGTGAAGGAGGAGATGCTGGACGGCGTGGCAGCAGCGCTAGGGCGGCCCAAGGACTCGTTGCCTGCGGTGCTCTTCCACAAGATCCAGCTCTGGTGGGTGTTTTCATGTGCTTGTGAGCTTTCATGTGCTCTCACGTCCTGTGCTGCTCTCACGAGCTGAGGTGACTGTTGAGTCGCCTCACTTGGCCGGATCAAGGACTCGCTGCCTGCGGTGCTCTTCCACAAGATCCAGCTCTGGTGGGTGTGTGTGCTCGCTGTGCTGTGTGTGCTGCTCTCACAAGCTGAAGCAACTATTGAGCCGACTCAAAAGTCGCCACGCTCGGCCGGCCCAAGGTCTCGTTGCCTGCGGTGCTCTTCCACAAGATCCAGCTCTGGTGGGTGGGTGTGCCCGCTGTGCTCGCAGTGTTAGCTGGGTGCTGTGCTGGTTGCTGTGCTGGGTGACCCCAATGTGTCATGCATTTTCCACTCGTTTCTCATCCCATCCCATCCCATCCCATCCCATCCCACCCCACCCCACCCCACCCCACCCCACCACAATCCCCACCCTCGAGGAGTGCAGCACCCTCTCTAAACGGCCGTCAAATAGCAGCAGGAGGGGGGCGTGGAGTGCGTAAAGGATGCCACAACACGCGCGGGGCTGTGTGGCGACTGGCGCATTGCCTTGTGCCGCACGCTCTTTCAACCCATCCCCACCCCATCTCACCCCACTCCATCCCACCCATACAGGGGAGCGGCACTGCCACTGAACGCCCCGACAACAGCAGCAGGGGGCGGCGTGGAGTGCATAATGGACGCCTCTACTCGCGTGGGGCTGTGTGGCGATTGGCTGCTCGCCCCCTCCGTGCAGGCCGCTGCCATCAGCGGGCTCGCCATGGCTGACAAGGTGCTGTTGGGGGGAGGGGGGGCGGTGCAGGGCTGTTTCTGCGGTGGCCTGTAAGGTGTTAGGGGTGGGGCTGGTCCTCTGCTTGCGCGTGGGGCTGTGTGGCGACTGGCTGCTCGCGCCCTCCGTGCAGGCCGCTGCTGTCAGCGGGCTCGCCATGGCGGACAAGGTGCTGTTGGGGGGGAGAGGGGGGTTGGTCCTCCGCTGGGGGTAGTCCTGTGGTGGGGTTCGTTTTGTCCTGAGGGGTTTCGTGCTGAGGGGGCTATGAGGTGCTGGTGATGTGTGTTGGGGTGGGCTGGATAGAAGTGCATGTGCTGAGTGGCGCTGTGGCATGGTGATGGCCGTGATGCATGGCATGGTGATGGCCGTGATGCATGTCATGGTGATGGCCGTGATGCATCTCATGGTGATGGCCGTGATGCATGTCATGGTGATGGCCGTGATGCATCTCATGGTGATGGCCGTGATGCATGTCATGGTGATGGCCGTGATGCATCTCATGGTGATGGCCGTGATGCATCTCATGGTGATGGCCGTGATGCATCTCATGGTGATGGCCGTGATGCATCTCATGAGCCCTTCAATCCTACCCGCAAGTGTGAGAAGAGCAAGTGTGAGAAGAGCAAGTGTAAGAAGTGCGATCGTGAGACGTGCAAGTGGGAGAAGATGAAGTATGAGAAGAAAGCAAGTAAGAGCACTGTTGATCCATGACCTCCCTCACCTCCTCCTACTTCTTGACACCATCCAGCCCATTCCACACACCTCTACATAACCCCTCATGAAGTTCATAGCCTTCTTTCCGCTTGTAGTCACCATCGATCGCTCGCTCCCATGTCCGTGGCAGATGGCAGCGTTCCACGGGCATGGGAGCGATCGATGGCTGGATGCAGCAGCCAACGACCATGTTTTGAGAATTCCCAAAAAGCATGCCCGTGGCAGATCGCAGCGTTGCGCGAGGATGCAGCAGCCGGCGGCCATTTTCCAGACCTTTCAACAACCTCTTCATGCCTTCGTCCCACTCACTACCACCACCCATTACCACCGCTCCCATGATCCCATGGCAGATTGCCGCGTTCCACGAAGACGCAGCAGGCAGCGACCCGGCGCTCTTCTCGGTGGGCCTGGATGCGTCCTTTGCAGCGGTGGCTGATGCGCATGACATCGGTGCGTTCCCAGACGCCATGGCAGCAGAGTCGAACGGCAGCACACGTGGTGTTGTTGCAGCACATGGGGTGCAAGTGGCTGCGTGAGGCAGGCGGCCTGCGCAGCGGTGGCCGACGCGCATGACATTGGTGCTTTCCCCGATGCCATGCCTGCTGATGAGTCGAACGGCAGCACAAGTGGTGTTGTTGCAGCACAGGGGGTGCAACTGGCTGCGTGAGGGGCTCCTTTGAGGGCTAGTGGGGTAGTATTCATGTGTGGTGTAAAAGGAAAAGACTTTATTTTTAGGTAAGATGCAAGTGCAATGAAATGAATAGTATCTACGCCTAATGCCACTGTTGTGAATATAATAGTACCGAGAGATGGCACTACCAGTACTTGTGCCTCTGCTCTCGAGGTTTGCATCCGTTACCGGTACCGTACCCATACCTAACCTTGTCCAACAAATCATTCTGTTCTGTGAGAGTCTGGCTTGATTCTGTTCATGCTGCTGACAATGATTCTGGGGCTGCTCCTGATCGTGGCTTGTGGTTCGCACATGGCAGTACACCTACCGTTAGTGTTTCCTTTGCTTGCCCCATGGGTTCAGCAGCATGCCTTAGCATCAGAACAAAAACACTTGTCCACATCACCAGTGAGGTTACCGGTACGTGTGGATAACAGCTGCAAAGTTTTCCTGAACAAACAAAACTGCTCAAAGATCATCAAACAAGCATCAGATCAGACAGTCGTATCATATGGTAAATAGACTCAATCACCTAGTGCCTAGCACAAACCCGGTGTGCACCACACACGCAGGGCTCCCTAGAAAACAATACACTCCTAATCAAACATTTAAATACATTATGCCACAGCCGAGCGTTTAAATACAACACAAACATCGTATTGTTCGTGCTACTGCCGCCAGGTGGGTGTTTTGTTGAGCTGTTAGGCACCCCTCCAGTCCAACAGATGCATGCATCATACATCACTCACAGGCCACTCGTTGTTGGGCCACGCCGCCGACTCGTGTCGTGAGCGAGCCTGTGTGTGTGTGAGGCGACTCAAGTCACCTTGTAGACCACTCCTCCAGCGACAGAGACAGCACGGCAAAGGTGCCATTGCGCGTGTGAGTGTGACCTGTCTGTCGGCGTGACTTGTGTGTGAGTCTACTAAAAAAGCGGTCAGTCACTCCTCCAAAGAGAGCACGATGACCGCGTCAATGAGCGACCACTGCCGGGTGGTGCTCTTGTTGGACGACCGACTTGTGAGTCAGCTTGTATGTGAGCCGACTCACAAGTCACCTTGCCGATCGGTGTGGTTTATCACTCCTCCAAAGAGAGCACGATGAACGCGTCACTGAGCGACCACTGCCGGGCGGCACTCTTGCTGGGCAGGTGACTTGTCACTTGACTTGGTAAGCTGCCTTGCGGGTCGACTCAAACGCCGCTTCCTGGGTAATTTATTCCTCCAAAGAGAGCACGATGAAGGCATCGCTGAGCGACCACTGCCGGGCGGCACTCTTGTTGGGCGGGTTCAGCACCGCCACCTCCTCGCCGCCCAGGCGGTAGCCAATCACAATCTCCAGGCGCTGCCGCGCGCGCACCATCACCTCAAAGAAGCTCAGCTCCTCGCCCTCGTATAAATAGAGCTCTGCCGGGCGAATGTACATCTCGTTGCCCTGGTTGGTGTGATGAGGGAAAGGGGTGTTTGAGATTGGGGATGGAATGCATGGTGATGCCTCTGGTGCACGCATCAATACAGTGGGCTGCATGCACATAAAATCTAGTGCGTGGCAGGGAGAGCAGTGCTAAAGAGGTTCCGCATAGCAGCACATGGACGAAACAAAGGACGACCGAGAGCGAGGTTGAATGGAGAGTGGGCAAGAACAAGAGGCAGCGTGAGACGAGAAGAACGTTTGGTGGAAAGCATTCAATTTTTCGAGAAGAGCTCTTCATGTACGATTCTGAGGCGCCACAGAAGAAGCCCAGGGTAAGAGGGGCAGAAGGGCAGAGGCGCCAAAAGAAGCAGAGGGGCAGAGGGGAGAAAGGAAGGCGTACCTCTTCTGAGAAGAGCTCTTCCAGCACGCGGTTGATCTCCCGATCCTCTGACACCTGCACGCACACGGGTGGATCGCATTTGACGCGCACACGGGTTTGATGACGCTTGGGTTTGAAGAGAAAATTCAGAGCCATCAGTGAAGCCGAGGATTGACCACCGCGACAGCGGTGGAGACACGAGCTTGTTAGGGAGAGAGTACACAGTCGCTGATTCTAGATCGAGACACGAGGGAGCGCGTGCAACAGTCGAGGAGCACGGGAATTCTTACCATCAACGCTGATGCTTAAATCATGCACGTACCATAGCAAGGGCCAAGGAAAACAACTTGTTGGAGAGCACATACATCTTAGACACTGCCACGAGGGAGCGCGTGGAGCAACCGAACACAAGGGAAACCCTGAACCCTGACTCACCATTGCCAGGGCCATGGAGACGAGCTCGTTGGAGAGCACATAGTCGTCGCTGATCTCACACACCGCCAGGAGAGGCGCGTGGAAGAGCTGAGGAGCAAGGCAGTGCACTGCTCTACAATTGACCAAGATTCTCAAACCATGCACGTACCATTGCCAGGGCCATGGAGACGAGCTCGTTGGAGAGCACATAGTCGTCGCTGATCTCGGACACGGTAACGAGGGAGCTTATGGAAGAGCATGGGAGCAAGGGGAAGAGCAGTCTTACTATCAATCCTGATGCGCAGACCATGCACATCCACGTACCATTGCGAGGGCCATAGACACCAGCTCATTGGAGAGCACATAGTCGCTGATCTTGGACACGGCCACGAGGGATCTTGTCCGCGAGTCGAGAATCTCGGAAATCACAATCGACTGCTGCGACGCCTTCTGCATTTGCCTGATCCACGAGCCCCCGTTCCCGTTCCCGACTCCACTGGGACCAGCAGCACCATCAGCCCCCGCCCCGACCCCTGCGCCTGCCCCTGATGCTGCTGCTCCCAGGCCGCCAGAAGCGAAAGCGGCGGCGGCGGCGGCAGCGCCGGGCACGATGTGTGCGTTGCGCGGGGGCCCGCGGGCAGGGGCGCCGGAGAAGCAGACCTCGTAGGGCATGCGCTTGGACTGCAGCGGAAGAGGAGGGAGAGGAGGAAAAAGAAGGGCGTGAGGAGAGGTGGGGTGTGGGTGGGGCAGGAGGAGTATGTACAGGCATCTGAAAAACCACATCGTAGGTGGGGTGTGATTGCCCTGGGCAAGTGAGAGAGTAATTGCATTGGACGAGCAGCAGAGCGGTTGGGGAGCTGGAACCCTTCTATCCGGCCGGCCAAAGGGTGAATGTAACATTCCCAACTGTTCGTTCTACCCGGCAAAATATAGGGTTCAAATCACAGGTGCTGATAAGGAACGGCTCGAATTGGCAAATCTTCAGGATTACAACTTGGCAGGGAGGGTGTCGGAAGTTGGCCATGTACTGTTGGGGTGTGAACTTCCAACAGCCCATGCGTTCATTTTATCGCCCCAGTTTGAGGCGGCGGCCAAGTTGGGCAAGAAACCAGCCTATCTAGAGTATTCACCAAGTCAGAGTTGATGGCTGACACAGCTTCCACCGTCCCCAGATAGCATCTACACTCCCTCCCACCTTCCCCGTGCAGCACTCACCTGGATGTCTCGGATGAGCAGCAGCGTGGCGAGCGAGCGCGAGTCAGAGTTGATCACCGAGTCCTCCACGCCTTCGTCGGCTAGAATGAGGATCTGTAAAGGAGAGAGTGAGACAAGAGATAGGGGAAGGAGGGAAGAGAGAAGGTACCAATAGCACTTGAGAGTGAGTGTGAGTGCGGTTTGATCACCGACTCCTCTCCACCCTCTCCTCCGCCACAATGAGGATCTGAGAGGGAGGGCGAGGGCGAGTGGAGAGAGCAGCGAGAGGAAAGAACACGTGATCGAGGTTAAGAGTGGTTGGGATCACTTCAGAAGCAGCAGCTCACCGAGTGTCGGACCACTTGTGAGAATTCTCACAATTGATTGCAGTATATAGCCAGGAGGCTCACCGAGTCAAACGTCACGAGGGGGAGGCTTTCAAGGTGGCGGCGGATGACAGCGCTTCCCACTCGTTGCACGAGGGCCACGTTCTCTAGGTGCTGATGAAAGGATGGACGTGGGGTGGGACCCAGTCTTCATGGCTCACCGAAACAAAGGTCTCGAGGGGGAGGCAGCTCACCGAGTCGAACGTCTCAAGTGGGAGGCTTTCGAGGTGGCGGCGGATGACAGCATTGCCCACGCGGTGCACGAGCGCCACGTTCTCCAGGTCACCCGGGTTGAGCCCGCCCTCCATCAGCCTCTCCTCCCGCTCCTCCACCGGCACCTCACAGAATATCCACAGCTCCGAGCCGCGGGCAAGAAAGGCTTCGAGCACCTGAGTGGGGCGGGCACGAGGGGAGCGTGGGGGCATTGAGAGGGAGAGGGAGCATGGGGGTCATCATTGAGACCGCTCCTCCATCAGCTGCTCCTCCCTCTCCTCCACCGGCACCTCGCAGAATATCCACAGCTCCGAGCCGCACGCTAGGAAGGCTTCGAGCACCTGAGTGGGGGGAACGAGAGGGACAATGAGAGGCGGAAATAGCAGGAGGACAAAATATCGTGCTTCCGCTTCTCCACCGGCACCTCACAGAATATCCACAGCTCCGAGCCACGGGCAAGGAAGGCTTCGAGCACCTGGGTGGGGGAGGCGAGAGGGAGGGACATGGGGAGCGCGGGCTCGGCAAAGGGAGAAGGAGCGTCCAGCATGGTTCCGCTCCTCCACCGGCACCTTGCAGAATATCCACAGCTCTGAGCCCCTGGCAAGGAAGGCTTTGAGCACCTGCCGGGGAGGGAGGGGGGTTTGAGAGCAGAGCAACAAGGGACGACGTGAGTGACGAGGAGAGGGGCAGAGAGAAGGGGAGGGACACCCTCCTCGCACTCCTCCACCGGGATCTCAGGGAATATCCACAGCTCTGACTCGCGCGCTAGAAAGGCTTCGAGCACCTGGGTGTGGGCGAGAGACGGGTGCGTGAGGGACAATGAGAGGGAGAAGGAGGGCTCACCATGGTTCCGCTCCTCCACTGCCGGCTCCTCGCAGCAGACCCTGAAAGGAGTGCCGGAGCAAGGGGCAATGAAAAGAAAAGATGTTGTAGACAAAACGAACAAGTGTGAAGAGCACAAGAAGCAGGCGATGCCACAAGGGACCAGAGAGGATGGAATTTTTCCACAGACGACTTGATTGAGTGCCGTGACACACCATGCCATGCTGCACGCCCCCTCACAGCAAGCCACTGTGGTATAGAATTCCATGCCCATAACACAATCATGCCATGTGCATGGCATGTCACATGACATGGCACAGCAAGCCATGTGTAGCATAATATCACAAGGCCATACATACCACAATCATGTCGTCAATGTCGCGCCGCCATCCGCAGAATAAGATCTTTTCGGGCAGCTTGGGCGGCACGACGACGTCGGGCAGCATGGCGTGGCGCACATGGGGCAGCGGACCGGGCGCGTACGAATCATCATCCTCCGCCACCACCATCACTGCATCGTCGGGCTGGCGGGGGTGTGAGGTGAGGGGTATGGAGGGAAGAGAAAGAGTGGAATCAGCTAGTGATAAACGTCTGACATCTCACACACGGACTGGGCCAGGCGAGTCATCATCCTCCGCCACCACCAGCATCTGCACCGTCGGGCTGGCAGCAGTGAGAGGGGGATGCAGGGAAGGGAAACACAGTGATGAGTTGTTGGTGGTGAACTTGTGACATGACATCCCACCCATGGTCAGACGGCACACAGGTCAACGGGGGAGGCGGATGGGGCGCGTCATCAAGGGAGCGGCGGTGGTGGTGGGGTGAAGAGGGCATGCCCGGTGGAAGCTGCAAGAGAGTGCAACCCTCTTCCCCCCACCATGGAATCACCTGCAGCTTCTTAATCAGCACACCGTGAACTGCACTCTCTTGCAGCCTACTTCCCCCCCCCCACCCCACCTGCAACTCCTCCCCCACCCGCAGCACCCTTCTTTTCCCCCTCACCTGCAGCACGTAATCATCGTCCGGGTTGAGCCAGATCCTCCCTCCATCCCCAGCAATGCGCACGCCACACGGCACAGCATCCGGGAACGAGATGAGCACGTCGCTGAAGGGCTTCCCAGCGAGCTGCGGCCAGTGCTTGACGTAGAACTCGCAGTTGTCGAACCCCAGCAGCGCCTCCCATATCTGCGCCAGGCCGGGCTGCCGCGCACACTGGATCATGAGCCGCCCTATCACGTCGTGTGCTACCACCGTCTCCACCTGCTGCCCTCCCACCATCTGTGGGGTTTTGGGGGAAGGGGGGCAGGGATGGGGTGGGGGGAGAGGAGGAGCATTAGCAGCCCCGGCTGCCGTGCACACTGAATCATGAGCCGCCCTATCACGTCGTGCGCTACCACCGTCTCCACCTGCTGCCCTCCCACCATCTGCGGGGTTTTGGGGGGATCGGGGACAGGGGGTGGGGAGAAGGTGGGTTGGAAGGTAGGCAGGAGAGGGGGAGAGGAGGACACGTGAAAGGCTGTGTGCTAGTTCAGAAATGACTTTCCCCTCCCAAGCAACAGAGCATTGCTGCTGCCTACGCCTACGACACTGCGCTCCACCGCTGTGTGCGCTCGCAGCCCTCTCAGCCTTCTCAAACCTCCTTCCCCTAATCCCTTTTCCACCTCCCTTTCTAACCCCCCTTTCCACTTCTCCCTTTTCACCCCCTTTCCACCTCCCGGTCGTGAACCCTCCACCTTCACCAGCGCCTCATTATCCAAGTCACTGAGCTCCACTGAGTGGAGTCCACTCCACCACGATGTGCCCTCTCAGCCCCTCCCTGCCTCCCTCCCTGCATTCCAGTGCCACACTCCACCTCTACTCTCCCTGCCCCCGCTCATCACCCTCACCTTCACCAGCGCCTCGTTGTCCAAGTCACTGAGCTCCACCACAATGTGTCCCCTCAGCCCCTCCCGCACGCCCGTGAGCGACAGCACCACCCTCAGCGCGCGCGCATCCGCGGCATCGGCCTTCTCCGCCTCGGCCAGCACGATGAGTGAGCGCGCCGTGCTCACTGACACCTTCTTTAAGTCGGCTAGCACGAGGGGAGAGCCAGACCTGCCAAATGGGGCGCAAGGCAGAGTGAGGAGAGGTGTGGGGGGGAAGGAGAGCAAGGGGGACTTGGAGCGCGCGTGCATCCGCAGCATCCGCGTTCTCTGCTTCTGCCAGCACGATGAGTGAGCGCGCCGTGCTCACTGACACCTTCTTTAGGTCCGCGAGAACGAGTGGGGAGCCAGATCTGCGAGGGAGGGGAGGAGAGAAGCAGGGTGGGGTGAGAGCAGAGCGGGACTGAGCTTCCGCCGGCACGATGAGGGAGCGCGCCGTGCTGTGTGTCACTGACACCTTCTTCAAGTCCGCTAGGCCCAGGGGGGAGCCCGGTCTGGCAGAGACGGGAGGGGGAAAAGGGGGTTGAGGAGAGGAGAGACGCAAGGCAGAGTGGGCAGCACGATGAGGGGGCGCGCCGTGCTGCGCTGCGTGTCACCTTCTTTAAGTCGGCTAGTACGAGAGGGGAGCCGGACCTGACAAATGGTGGAAAAGGGGGTAAGGGAGAGGAAGGGAGAGTTGGAGCTGCCCGCATCCATTGCACGTGCGTTCTCCGCGTCTGCCAGCAGCACAAGGAGGGAGCGTGCTGTGCTTGCTGGTTCCTTCTTTCAAGTCCACTGGGATGAGAAAGGAGCCCCGGGCCAAGGTGTGGCCGCCGGGAGAGGTGGACGTAGGGAGAGGTGGACGTAGGGAGAGGTGGACGTAGGGAGAGGTGGACGTAGGGAGAGGTGGACGTAGGGAGAGGTGGACGTAGGGAGAGAGGTGAAGGCGGAGAGCGAGCCTGCCTGCGCGCATCACATCAGCAGCGTCAGTGCTCTCTGCCTCTGCGAGCCAACCTGCAAACATGGTACACATTTGTTGACAGCTCAATTACAATCAAGCCCACCTGCAGATGATATGAAGGAGGTGCCTTCGAAGGCGAACTCCATCTTGGCAATCTCACTCCCCATCTCCTCCTTCCTTGTCCTCCTTGGTGACCTGGTACTTGCATAATCCTAGTTACATTCCTTTGGTAGTTAGTTACAGTATGCTTGTTGGTAGCCGCATTCCAACAGCGCCCACCTGCAGATGACGGAGGTGCCTTTGAAGGCGAACTCCATCTTGGAGATTTCACTCTCCATCTCCTCCTTGTCCCTCTCCGCCATCACCACCACCACGCCGCCTCCCATGCTCTCATTCGCCACCGCCAGCTGCTTCAGCAGCGACGCCTGGTAAGGGAAGGGGCAAGCGCATGAGGGGAATGGGCGATTGGGGGGACAGAGAGAGGAGGATAAATCACCACCACCACGCCACCCCCCGTGCTCTCATTCGCCGCCGCCAGCTGCTTCAGCAGCGACGCCTGGGCGGAGGAGAGGGGGGGGGGGGGGGGGAAAGGCGGGGGGGTAGAGAGAAGGTAGGAGGCACAATGAGTGTGTTGTTGCACTCGATGAGGTCGCTCTAACCCTCCCACCAGTGCAATGATGTCACTCAGCAGTGCCGCCTCCATCCCATTCGATGCGACGCAATGAAGACTCTACACTCCAGTCCAGACTCACCAGCTTGTCACTCCCATCCCCATCCCCATCCCATCCCCATCCCCATCCCCATCCCCATCTCCATCCCCATCCCATCCCCATCCCCATCCCCGTCCCCGTCCCCGTCCCCGTCCCCGTCCCCGTCCCCGTCCCCGTCCCCGTCCCCGTCCCCGTCCCCGTCCCCGTCCCCGTCCCCGTCCCGTCCCCGTCCCTGTCCCCGTCCCCGTCCCCGTCCCCGTCCCCGTCCCCGTCCCCGTCCCCGTCCCCGTCCCCGTCCCCGTCCCCGTCCCCATTCCCACCCCCACCCCCAGAACCCACGAGCTTGTCGCTCCAGCCGAGGATGAGCGTGTGGTTGTGCTCGATGACGTCACTCTTGCCCTCCCACCCATGCAACAAGCGACAGAGAAGAGAAGGGGAGGGGGGGAGCGAGGAGAAAGTAAAAAGAGCGGGACCCCACCCTATCCCCATCCCCACCCCTTTGACGCACGAGCTTGTCGCTCCAGCCGAGGATGAGCGTGTGGTTGTGCTCGATGACGTCGCTCTTGCCCTTGCGGAGCGAGTCCACCTTCTCTGAGATGCCCTCCGACACCAACCCCACCATCAGCGCAAACACCAGCATGCCGCCGATGCTCACACTCACGCTCACCACGCGCGGGCCCACGCCCTCGCTGTCCGCGTGGTTACCCGCATCTGCCACGTAGGTCCAGGCGCGCCACGTGGCGTCGGCCAGAACAAGACGCTCCTTGCCACTCACAGCGTACAGGGCCAGGCCGCCCACTGCGATGCTGGACGGGGCGGGATCGGGCGGCGGGATTGGGCGGCGTTAGGGTGGGCGGAAGAAAGGGAGACAAGACAAGGGGAGTTGGAACGGATGACTTAAGGGGGCTGCGGAGGAGGAGGAGGGGGGGATTTGGAACCACGAGTTGGGCAGAATGCAATGCATGCCAAAATCGGCTCGCTGCATCGAAAGCGGGACGGAGAGGTGGGGGAGAGAGGCGACTCACAGCACGAGCGTGGCGGTGAGCAGCGCAAGGCTCTTGACATAGGAGTGCGTGGAGAAGAGCACATCCACTCGGTACGCCAGGCGCTTGCTGAATGGCGCTGCTGCCACCTCCTCCCCCTGCCCATGGCTCCCCTGCCCATGGATCTGCGTCTGCCCATGGGCTCCTGCACCACCCCCCTGTCCATTGCCCGCCGCCCCCCCGCCTTGCCGGATGCCATGGGCTAGGTCTGGGCTGCTCACACCGCCCCCCGCTGCCCCTTGCTGTGCCTGGCCCACCGCCCCGCCTCGCCTGTGCTGCTGTGCTGCGGTGTGGTGCGGTGACAAGTGGTGCAGTGCGGGGGTGACGGGCATTTGCTCGGTTTTGGGGGGGTCGAGGTGGAGGAAGGCAGCGATCCGGTCCATGTGTTTGGCGAGCACTAGAGGGAGGAGGAAGCACAGCAGAGAGGTGAATAGAGCCAAACGCCGCCACAGCACTTCGTCACCCTCCGTGTCTCCTCCTCCTCCACCCTCCCCTTCCTCCTCCTCCTCGACCTCCCTCTCCTCTTCCTCCCCTCGCTCCCTCCCCCTGCCGCTGCCTGCCACTCTCACGCGCTTTCCGGACCTTTCTTCCTTCGCCTCCTCTACCACCACTCTTCCCCCCTCGCCTCTGATTGGCTGGAGCAAGATGCCAGCTGTCGCCGCCCGCCCACCAGTGGGAAGCATAACCATGTCTTCCCACCATGCCGCCCCACTACTGCTACTGCTGCTGCTGCTTCCAGTGCTGCTGCTGCTGCTGCTGCTGCCAGTGGTGCTGCTGCCACTGTCCCCCCATGCACCAGAGTGCAGGCGCTGTGTGATGCGGTGCTGCCGCTCTATGAGCACTCGCAAGTGGAACTGGTGGAGAGAAGGCAGAGAAAACAGTGGGCGGTGAGGGGTGAGGGGTAGTGGTGGGTGGTCGGGGTTGGGAGATGGGTGGTGGTGGGGGGAAGTGGGTGGCGGGTGGGGTGAGCAGCACCAGCAAATGGAGTGGAGGAGAGTTAAAGGGATGAAAGAGAGGATAATGCACTCCACACCGCACTGCACTGCATTGGATCGGCTCATTGAAGGTCGCATGCATGCATGTGGTGGAAGAAAGGATAGAAAGCGCATTGAAGGTCACCTGTAGAGCATCAGCGCGAGAGCGCTCGTGGATGCACCAGGCGAAGAGAGCCAAGGCAGCCGCAATAGCCTGCCGTTGAGAGGGATGCACGCACGCACGTGCGGCACATGACATGAGGGTGGATTATGAGGGGCGAGGCGGTTTGATTCGATACACTCAAGGGGGTGATTGATATGAGCGGGTGGAGAGGGTGTGAGTAGGTGGAGAAGCAGCAGTTGGGAGACATGCAGGGGGTTCACTGGAGTGTGGTGTAAGGTAATGCGGCATGGTGGGAGGGGACGAAAGAGATGATGGGCAAGAAATAAACTATCAAGGCACAGAAGGTGGGCAGAGGCTTGTCGAAAGAGTTTTTGAGTTTGGGCGAGTGGGGAGGTGAGGAGGAGGAGGAGGAGGGGACGAGGAAGAGGAGAGAGTGTGGAAGGCGAGCTGCTGTTACAGGGGATGAGGGAGGGGAAGAGAGGGGAAGGAGAGGAGGGCCAATGGACAGAAGACTCTGAGGGATAAAGAGGCAAGGCACGGAAACCATGACCTTACAGGAGGTGGGGGCGGCTTACAAGTATCCAGAGGAGCCAGAGAGTGCAGCGCTGCCACCACGGCCTGCGGTTGGAGTAGCCATGGAAGGGCGGGTACCCCCCCGGCCCACCAGGCCAACCGGGGAAGGGCCGCTGCTGCTGCCACGCCGACACGCCACCCGCCCCTCCCATCCCTCCCCCCATCCCTCCTCCCCCCATGCCCATACCCATCCCTCTGTCTGCCCCCATTCCCATGCCTCGCCTCCCTCCTTCCCATTCCCTTTCTCGCCCTCCTCCTCCTCCCCATCCTCCTCTTCCCCTGTCTGCCCCCCTTCCCCCCCACCACCCACCGTCCCATTTTCCCTCCGCTGTTTCTCCCCACCACCCCCCTGATCCTTCTCTTGCCCCAGACCCTTCCCCTCCCCACGGTCCCTCTTCCCCCCATGGTCCTCCCCCCCACCCCTCTCGTCCCCATCGCCCTCTCCCCCAGTCCCCCTCTTCCCACTCCCCACCTCCCCTTCTTCTCTCCCCCCATCCTCCCCGCCCCCCACCACTCGCTCTTCCCCCATCCGGCTCTCCCCCATCCCCCCACTCTCCCCTTCCCCCTTCCCCATCCTGCCTTCCCCAACCCTCACCCCGCCCATTCCCCTGCCCATGCCCCCGCCCATTCCCCCTCCCCCCCCAGTCCTCCCCCCCGTGCCCATTCAAGTGCCTGTGCGGCCTTCCCTCACCCTGCTCCCCACCCACGCCGTTTAAAGCACCTCTCATATAAGCACCACCGGGATTGCCAGACGAACCCCTTACACCACCACCACCACCACCAGCACCAGCAGCAGCTGCTGCACCAGCAGAAGCGGCAGCGGCAGCAGCGGCAGTGGCAGTGACAGTGGCAGCAACGCCAGCAGCAGCGCCAGTTCTAACCGCAGCAGCTCCCCCGCCGCCTATCCTCCTCCATGCCTCACTGCCTGCCTCAGAAGCAGATGCACCTACCCCAGATGACCCTCTCTGCAGTTCTTGCCTCGTGGCCGTCTTGTCCTGTAGTGCTGCTGACGTGGAGGAAGGGACGGACGAGAGCAGCTCCGAAGCTGACATGGATGGGCCAATTCGGGGCCGAGGCAATCCCATCCTACCACCCGCACCTGTCACCGGACCTCCCTTGGCACCGAAGCTAAACGCCCGGGCAAACGACTTGGCCGAACCTAAAAGGCTCCCTCCCAGCCCCATTGCTTGTGTTGGGGGAGATGGGGGAGAGGGCGGGCATGGCGGGGATGGGGGGGAAGCCAAGCTAGCAGCAGCAGTGCTCGCACTGACGCCCGTTTTTATTGGCCGCAAATTCACGGGGGTTGCCAGTTCCAATTCCCCAACCAATCGGCTTCCACTGTTTGCGGCGCCTTTCTTAGCGCTGTTGCTCCCTTTCGATTGGTCCAATGGTTCCCCTCCGTCTCCATTCTGTGGCCCCGCGCCGCCTTTCATTTCCGCTCCTTCCTTTCTCCCCGCCCACTCGCTTTCCCCCTCTCCCTCTCCTCTCCGCCCTCCTGCCTTGCCTTCCGGCGCCCGCGCCCCGTTCCCCGCCTCTTCCGCCCCCCCAGCGCGCTGCTGCACGCGACCCTCCGCGGAGGACGAGCGCGGAACGGCTCCGCCTCCTTCCAGCGCGCGCCGCAGGCACGCGGAGCAGGGCATCCCCCAGCCGGGGGCGGCATGCGGGCAGGGGGCAGCTGCCACCGCACTGGCGGAAGGCTCGGCGCGGGTTCGCGCGGGCAACCGCTCATCATCTCCGCGCGAGGAGAAGGAATGCGAGGCGGAAAGGAGCGGTGCGGCGATCGCGGACCGGGCGTTGGCGGAAGCGGATTTGCTTACCGCGGGCGTCGCTGCGCCGCTGGCGGAAGCGCTGGGTGTGCCTGTACCAAGCGGTGGCGAGGAGGACGCGTTAGAAGAACGATTCCTTCGAAGCGTGGGAACGAGCGGCGTGCGGGAGGAAAAGGAAAGATTCCCGCGCTCCGTCGTGGTGCTGTGCTCGGGGACGGAAGAATGGAATAAGGAGCGCGGGTCACCGGGTGACGTGGCAGCAGAGGACGACGCCCATTGGACCATGAAGCGCATGTCGCGGCCATTCATCGACGTGCTTCGCGACCAGAGAATCTGTGGCTTCCCGCCGCCGCCGCCGCCTAAGTCGCGAGAATTAGTGCTGAAGCCGGTGTTGTTCTTCGGTTGCAAAGGAGGTTCCACGTCAGGCCCGCCGTCATCCACGTTCGCGCGAAGCAAGACGTCTCGTCGCCGCATTGTACGGCAGGTATCGAGATTAAGCGGTGTGAATGGTAGTTCTGAGGCACCACAGACAAGGATATACTAGTATTTCCTCGTCCTCTGCAAGCTCGTCCGCCACTCCCGGGGCATGCGGTGCCAAAGCTGCGGCTTCACGAGCCTACCCAGCGCCGCTGATTGGCGGACGGAAAAAGGTACCTGATTATCGGCCAGTCTATGCTATCGGACGCTGGTTCGAAGCATGCCGGTTTCTCTCGCGTGGCACTGCTTTGTGGCAAGTCCTTTTCTAGGACGACGCTCAATATCGCGAATGGTTGAGAGCGCTGCGAGTAGTAAAGTAATGGCGGTCTCGAACGACGAATATATCAATCTATTAAAAGGACGGCAGACCTAGACTGCGCACGCAGCACCACTTACGTCACACGGGACTACGGTGGGAAACTAAAGTAGCAGAATAGAAACGTCGCATTTGTGCGTATCTAGCGTCACCATTCGTCACGCTACCGACTTCGCGCGAACAAGACATCGTCGCGCCAGAAAAAGCCCTTGCTACTTCTCTACTGCTGGACCTGTGAAGTCAATACTGTCAGCTGTCATGCTCGAGAATATCTCGCATATGTTCTCACGTGAACCAAGTATATCAGAATCGAACACCTGACCTCACATACGGTAAAACCCGAGTTCCACATGGCAGTTTTCAAATTCAAGTTTTCCAAACTTGAGCTCGCCAAAAACCTTGTTACCCACCTGCTTCACAACAATCCATTGCATTCATGCGAGACTGGCCTGGGGCTTTACTTCATAATAATCTCAACTTGGTGCCTGGTTAGATCTTGTATTTACATTTCACGCAGTCAGGGACTTTTGTAATCCTACCTTACCACCTAAGGAATCACAACATGAACCGTCAGTTTGTTTAACATTATCGCCTCCAAACCATTTTCAGCGTCACTTGTGAGGAACAGCAAGAAAAATGAGACCCATCAGAGCCAAAGGAATGATTCACGTTACTGACAGGACCAGCTTGTGTGCAAAGAGTAATCTTGCTGCATAATAAGAACTTCTGAAGCAATCAACCTGCTGTGTCAGCGTTTCACTTGCCGCTCTTCTTCAATCCAGCGCCTCCAATAGCACCCTTAGCAGCCTTGGACTTCAGATCTTTTAAAGCCTGAAAACAAACGATACAACGTCATCAGAACTTCGAAAACACCTGAAGTACGCTAAGAGAAAGCATGTAAGAAATCCCTTGTTCTAACCTTCTCTTCTTCTTTTTTCTTGGCTAGGTATGCAAGGTCAGCCTGTTACATCCAGGCAAGGCGACAGGATTAAAACCGATGGATCATCCAAAAAAACGAGAAGATAGCATCGAACACCCTGCACGACAGCTGCTGCTCACTTCGTCATAATCCTTATCCTTCGCCTTAGCCTGTTTTAAGGGTTTTAACTTGCCGCCTGCAAGCAATCATGACAATTGGTGATCCTTACAGAACGGATGGCGGAGCTCAAGCTAAAGTAAACAGCGGATAACTTGTCACCTTGCCGTCCGGACATGTTAGCGAAGACGGGTAGTGTCACAGCAAAGTCGCCTGGAGACGACACGAGTGCCTAGAACGATACCTTCTAGGGCGATGGAAGAAAGCTGATGGCTTTAGTTTAGATGGTAGGGCTCGTGCGCTGACGAGTTTGTACAGGTATGGGATCAAAAAGTCTCGTCAGAGAGGAGGCACAGGGAATACCGTGACTTTTATATACTTCTGTATAGCTCACCTCGTCCTTGTACACTGAGAACCACTACACGAAAAACTGCATTCAGATAAATTCAGATTATAAATCATACAAACAAAATACCATCATGGCCATGGCGAATGAGTGGCCCAGTTTGGTGATACATTCCAGGCGGAATCAGGAAAGTGGGCATCACCCTTTTGTTTCCCCAGCTGCCGACCCTTGTCGATTCTGTCCGATCCATGCATCGTCGTACGCCTGTCATTGGGTAATCAGAGAAAAACGAAACCTCGGCGCATTCCATTTACATACTGTACTACCCTTATCGAGGGATTACCAACGCCCGTGGCATGTAGAATGACATGAGCAACAAATATTCGCCTGACTGACACGAAATCATGATATCAAATCAAGTCATATACCGTACATACTTAGACAGAAAACCAAATCATGATATCAAATTTGCCTTTTACAACTAGCTGTTGAGCTGCCCCTCACGTCTGTGCGAAGACAGCCGTTGCTTCACCCTCATGCTTGACTTGCTCATTCAGCAATGCTAGATCCTCCTCCATGCTCCTCCGTAACCGCTGATTTGACAGCTTCTCGTCAACCCTCGCTGCCGCTCTCGCTCTCGCATCCCCCCCTCCTGCCTCATCCCGCAGAGCTTCCAGGTCTTGCGCCACTCGGGACATGGAGGGGCGGGAGGCGGTGGGCATGGCAGTGCAGGTGACAGCGAGGTGGGCAAGGCGTATGGTGATGTCATCAGGTGCCTCCATGCGGGGGTCCCTGAGGGGTGATGTCTTCCCTTCCGCCATGAGATCAGCTGCCTGGGTTGTGGGGCAGGACAGACATGTTAGGGAGGGGAAGGGGGGGAATTTATGATACTTGATGGGGGGCGGGGGTGGCACGTGATTGGGGGTGGGGAGGACAAGACGGGAAGAAACATATGCTGGGCACAACAGGTGAAGGGAACCCTGATGAGTTCACGCGTTAACAGTTGTGGAAAGAACACTGCACCAATATTGACGGGCGGAAGCGGGAATAGCAAACGCACCCATTTGGAGATGGAAATTGGCTCGTGGCTGGCACATGCGTCCGACTCAGTGCCTGGGCTCATCGTGTTGATGGTGGCTCCTCTGCCTGACAGCATCACCAGCATGAGCACACCAAAGCTGCACCATGAAACGCACCCGAGAAAAAAGAAGGAATAGGCACTCTCAAACGAGTATTTTGTGACCATGGTCACGAAGGCTCTTCGCAATGGCGATGGCCCTTCTGCCTGAGAGCTTTGCCATCATGAGCATGACAAAGGTGAGTTGACTTTTGAGTCGACTCAAAAGTCAACTCGCAATGGCGATGGCCCTTCTGCATGAGAGCTTTGCCATCATGAGCACGGCAAAGGTGTCACGACAAACCACATCTGACTATGAAGGAAGCCAAAGAGCACGGAAGGAAGAAAGCACGAAAGAAGGAAGAAAGGAAGAAGCAAGTGTGCAAAGAAGCGAGGAAGCAAGGGAAAATGGACGCAAGACATTAAGAAATTCGAGGTCCGGGTCAACTCCTTGTATCTCATTATTTCATTGAGCGTGCATTAAGCGAGTAGAGGCTGTGGTTTGAACCCCCTTTCCATATAGTTAACTTCAGGACAGGTGCCATTCACAGTAGCTGTGCGTTTCAAGGATACACTACGTTGGAACACACCAGTGACGGTAGTAGTGGTGTTTCACTCCTTGAATCACAAACCCAACTCGACTAAGAAACCGGACTCAAATCTGCAGTGCCCACACCTATACACGTCAGCGGTGGTGGTGGCGTTGTGCGTGAGGGAGTAAGCAGGGACCACATAGCCCACCGTTCCCAGCACTCGCGTGAAGCCCATTGTTCTGCCCCCTGCTGCCCCCTCCCCAACGTGCACAAGCCCAACGTCTGCCACCTTCGCCTGGGGAAGGCCGGGCACGGCACAGGAGGCGAGACGAGAGGCGGAGAAGGATTGGGGCACAGTGGATTAATCTGATTCAGATTCAGTCTAGTTTTGAGGCGCCTCAAACAAGTCTAGTTTTGAGGCGCCTCAAAACAAAGTCTGCCACCTTCGCCTGGGGAAGGTCGGGCACGGCACAGGAGGCGAGACGGGAGGCGGCAAAGGATTGGGGCACAGTGGATTCATCTGATTCAGATTCAGTCACAATGGGTTGATCTGGTTGAGCGGCTGGGTTGATTTTTTTCACGGTGGTTGTAGCGCCTTCCCACCCCACCTGCATATGACGCAAGTGTCTTGCCAATATGTAACCATCCCACCTCATCACCGCACTGCACCTCACCGCACCGCACCACACCGCACCTGCATGTGGGCGTCAAGGAGGATGTTGGCTGGCTTGATGTCGCGGTGCACGAGGCCAAAGCTGTGGAGATACTCCAACCCACGCGCCACCCCTAGTAGGATGCCCACCCGCTGCTGCAGAGTCAAACTCGTGGGCGCATCTGGAGAATAGGCAGCATTGGAGGGAAGCAGCATTGGAGTCAGTAACTTGCCGATAGCATCAGTGTAATTGGCACTTCAATACCAGCAATGGCATGAACTGGAGTTTTTTATCTGCTGGCTGGCTACTGCAGATTAGGTATGTGCAAGGGCCGGGTCCAGCTTGTGAGTCATCACGGACCTCCCTGCCTCATCAGACCTCATGGTTCGGCCCGACCTACTTCGAGCCAGGGCAGGCCTGACTCGACAGGTTCGCCTTTGTTTTTTTTCATTTTATTTTTCTCCACATTTTTCTATCCACACAACTGCATGGTCGGCACAGCACAGAACAATGGACGGGATGGTACCTGGGCCAGCCCACGTGCGCAGGTCGCCATTGGCGATGAACTCGTAGACGAGAATGCATTGGAGTATGGTCCGACACAGCACACACAACAGTGGACCGGGCAGTACCTACCTGGGGCGATCCAGGTGCGCAGGTCGCCATTGGCGATGAACTCGTAGACGAGAATGTTCTCCACCCGCGTGTTCACATGGCCTCCCACTGCATACCCCAGCAGCTGCACCAGATTCGGATGGTGCCATCTGCGCCACCTGTGGTAGAGCAAGAGAAGAGCGAGGGGCAGGAAGGAAGGAAGGAAGGAAGGAAGGAAGGAAGGAAGGAAGGAAGGAAGGAAGGAAGGAAGGAAGGAAGGAAGGAAGGAAGGAAGGAAGGACGGAAGGAAGGAGGGAAGGAAGGAAGGAGGGAAGGAAGGAAGGAGGGAAGGAAGGAAGGAGGGAAGGAAGGAAGGAGGGAAGGAAGGAAGGAGGGAAGGAAGGAAGGAGGGAAGGAAGGAAGGAGGGAAGGAAAGAGGGAAGGAAGGAAAGAGGGAAGGAAGGAGGGAAGGAAGGAAAGAGGGAAGGAAGGAAGGAAGGAAGGAAGGAAGGAAGGAAGGAAGGAAGGAAGGAAGGAAGGAAGGAAGGAAGGAAGGAAGGAAGGAATGAAGGAAGGAAGGAAGGAAGGAAGGAAGGAAGGAAGGAAGGAAGGAAGGAAGGAAGGAAGGAAGGAAGGAAGGAAGGAAGGAAGGAAGGAAGGAAGGAAGGAAGGAAGGAAGGAATGAAGGAAGGAAGGAAGGAAGGAAGGAAGGAAGGAAGGAAGGAGGGAAGGAAGGAGGGAAGGAAGGAAGGAAGGAAGGAAGGAAGGAGGGAAGGAAGGAAGGAAGGAAGGAAGGAAGGAAGGAAGGAAGGAAGGAAGGAAGGAAGGAAGGAGGGAAGGAAGGAAGGAGGGAGGGAAGGATGGAAGGAAGGAAGGAAGGAAGGAAGGAAGGAGGGAAGGAAGGAAGGAAGGAAGGAAGGAAGGAAGGAAGGAAGGAAGGAAGGAAGGAAGGAAGGAAGGAAGGAAGGAAGGAAGGAAGGAGGGAGGGAGGGAAGGAAGGAAGGAAGGAAGGAAGGAAGGAAGGAAGGAAGGAAGGAAGGAAGGAAGGAAGGAAGGAAGGACTAACATAAGTGCATAGCATCGTTGGCACTAGGCCAGAGAGGGGCAAGACTTTTGAGTCGACTCAAAGGCCACCTGAGGCACTTGCGTGATCTTATCTTACCACAGCTGCAAAACCCCGACGTTCTTGCTACTTCACCTACCCCGCACCTCTCTGTGATTCAGCGGCGAGTTGTTGACTTTGGCCCGTCTAGAATCTCGTCTTGAGAATTCTCAAAGCTGTTGGCTTGACGCACCTCCCTGTGGAAGTCAGTAGTGATGACTTTGGCGCGCTTCACGGCCCACAGCGTGGTGCCATCCTCGGGGCACACCCCGCAGTACACGTCTCCATACGACCCCGACCCAAGCAGGCACTCCTTGGACCAGTTGCCAGTCGCACGAGCCACGAGAGCCAGCGAGTACCGTCGGCATGGTGTCGTTGTGTTCCCCAAGCGGGGGGTGGAGGAGTCTGTAGGGAGCATGGTATGGGGAGGAAAGGCCAGGGAGTATCGTAGGTGTCGTTGTGTTCCCTAAACGGGGGCTCGGTGAGTCTATAGGGAGCATGGTATGGTAAACAGCACATTACTGTTTGTTTTGTTTTGTTTTGTTTTGTTTTGTTTTGTTTTTGTTCTTGTTTTTATTTGTTTTTGTTTCTTTTTGTGGGAGGAAGAGGGGGGGGACTGGGGGCTTTGTGAGAAGTAACACATCTGAGAACACAGCGGCTTTGCTATTTAGGTTAGACGAAGACATGGAGGTTGTTGGTGAAGCCAGACAGAAAGTGAGGTGGTTTTTCTTCTCACATACCTGTGCTTCTATGCATGACAAAAGGCACACACGTAAAACACCTACCTTTTGTGGAGATCTTGAAGTGCGCGGCAATGCACCAAGCTAAGGCAAGCAGGAGAGGCACGAGCAGAACGGCTGCGGTCACAATGCCAATGACAGCTCCCACGGACAGGCCAGAAGGGGAAGCGAGTGAGGGGGAGGAGAGTGAGGAGTTGGAGGAGTTGTTGACGGTTTGATTTGGTGATGGGGATGGTGGAGGGGAGGCCACGATTCGTGATGGGGATGGGGCTGCTTTGGAGGGACACATGCACCGGCAGACCAGAAGGACACGCATTGAAGCACCATCAGAATCACAAGTGGCGGTGAAGCCATGGAATCATGAATATTGGAGTACGAGAAACACAGGTGGTCAAGATTGTGTTCAATTGGAGGATTCAAGATTGTGTTCATGCTCTGCGTGCATGCAGCTGCGGTGGAATAACAGGCACAACTTGGGATTGCCCAGCTCAAACTCGCATTGACTGGCATGACTTAATAACGTTGACTGGCCTAACTTAACGTTGACTGGCATGACTTAACGTTGACTGGCATGACTTGACGTTGGTTGTTATGACTTAACATTGATTAGTGGGACTTAGCCTAGGTTGGCTCAACTTAGCATTGACTAAAAGGACTGATCCTTGATTTCCAGAGTCTACTTTCGACTGGCAATTCTCCAAGCACCTCACCTTCATCCATCACTGCACACGTGGCACAGTATCTCTTGCACTCGTCATAGCATACGCACCCTTATCGTCCACTCAAGAATCACCTCAGTGCCCTTATCAGCTCATCTTTATCACTTGAACACATGCAGCACAGGTATTAGAAACCCAACGCTCCAACCCCAACCAAGAAGCTCACATTCATCGCTCGTGCACTGATTTTAATTGGCTCAAAATCAGAAGTCTATCATTGAGGCGCCTCAAAAATAGATTTCTCAGAAACTTCAACGCCCCAACGAAGAAGCTCACATTGATCACTTGTGCACGTGGCACAGAATTCATGGCAGTCCTGGCAGAAGGCGCTGTCTGTAGTTGACTTGCCGAACCACACAGCTGGACGCATTCTTTTGAGTCAACGCTAAAGCAGACTCAAAAGAATCCCCATGACGCTCACATTGATCACTTGTGCACATGGCACAGAATTCATGGCAGTCCTGGCAGAAGGCATTGTAGATGATCTGCCGAACCACACAGCGGGACGCGTCTGGTGGGCACGTGAGGCCCGAACCTGATATTTCGCTGTTGGATGGAAGGGGATGGGGGATTGAGGGGGTGAAAGAGGGAAAAGGGTAATCAGACGCAGAAGAGTGGAGTGCCAAGGCATAATGAGAGCACAAAACATACTTTATTTAGCGATATACTGTATTTCTACTATATTTATTGTAACTCATAAGTTATGGAATCCACTAGCAACACCTTTTATTGCTCTTTATATAGTTTAGTATAAGCAACCCTAAGGAAGAGGAGTTTCGAGGTAATCATTCTTCAAATAACAAAAAATATATACCAAATAATAAAAGAACATATCAATCCAAATAAGTTCACGACAAACAGGCTCAGCATGAGACGAACTGACCAACAGAGTGACCAGCTTGTGACGCTTTTCCCGTTCAAGCAATGCCAGGCTGCAAATTTGCAACAAGGCTCTTCAACGAGGTCTGCGGCTCACACACCGGCTTGTTGCCGACTCAACACAGGGCGGAGTTGCCAAACCAGTTAACAATGTTGTTTCCAGGATAAGTCAAGCTTTGAGACGCCTCAAGACGAGCCGGCTCAATGCGAGGCGGAGTTGCCAAACCAGTTAACAATGTTGTTTCCAGGACAAGTCAAGCTTTGAGACGCCTCAAGACGAGCCGGCTCAACGCGAGGCGGAGTTGCCAAACCAGTTAACAATGTTGTTTCCAGGAGAAGTCAAGCTTTGAGACGCCTCAAGACGAGCCGGCTCAACACGAGGCGGAGTTGCCAAACCAGTTAACAATGTTGCTTCCAGGAGAAGTCAAGCTTTGAGACGCCTCAAGACGAGCCGGCTCAACACGAGGCGGAGTTGCCAAACCAGTTAACAATGTTGCTTCCAGGAGAAGTCAAGCTTTGAGACGCCTCAAGACGAGCCGGCTCAACACGAGGCGGAGTTGCCAAACCAGTTAACAATGTTGCTTCCAGGACAAGTCAAGCTTTGAGACGCCTCAAGACGAGCCGGCTCAACACGAGGCGGAGTTGCCAAACCAGTTAACAATGTTGCTTCCAGGACAAGTCAAGCTTTGAGACGCCTCAAGACGAGCCGGCTCAACACGAGGCGGAGTTGCCAAACCAGTTAACAATGTTGTTTCCAGGACAAGTCAAGCTTGGAGACGCCTCAAGACGAGCCGGCTCAGCACGAGGCGGAGTTGCCAAACCAGTTAACAATGTTGTTTCCAGGACAAGTCAAGCTTGGAGACGCCTCAAGACGAGCCGGCTCAACACGAGGCGGAGTTGCCAAACCAGTTAACAATGTTGTTTCCAGGACAAGTCAAGCTTTGAGACGCCTCAAGACGAGCCGGCTCAACACGAGCCGGAGGCGCTACTCGAACAAACCGATCCGTGGCTCATCCACTTGCTCAGGCCTCACACGGCAGGCAAATTTCGGGACGAGGATTGAGTGCAGCAGAATAGTGCAAGGGAAATAATTCACTTATGCGGTGTGCAGTTTTTTTGGTCTTACTTTTGTGGTTTCAGAAAATATCAGAGCACAATGCATGGCAGGGCACACTGAACATCAAAGCAAAGTGCACAGCAGGTAGCATTGAAGATCAACACACACGGCACGGCAGGTTACTCACAGATGGATGAGGCCTTTAGAGCCGCCAAGAGCAGCAGGCATGGGGCCTGAGAAATTGTTGTCGCTGAGGTATCTGCAATGCAGTGGATCCGTTACCACAAACAAAACCTAATCCTGTAAACAACACAACAATGGCAACACGATGAGCTCCAATGATGGGCCAGTACCCCCATCTTTCTAAAGTCAACCCGGAGGCCGTTTCAAGGAGGGGTGAGGGAGGAAGAGAGAGGGGTGGGGGGAGAGAAAATTACGGGAAGGATGCGTGTGGTGTCGATGGCAGTGCGTGAAGATTTACCTGGACGGCGCATGTCGACAGTGCAGCAGACGAGAGGAGCGGCATAGAGCATCACACTCACAACCTGATAGTTGGAGGTGTAGGTAGGTTTTGCAATACAATGGACAGAGCTGGTTTTTGAGAATAAAAAAAAAAACGCAGGTCACACTGGCAATACAATGGGCAGGCCGACACAATACAATGAGTTGCCGTGGATGCATCGCTTCACCCACTGCTGCTTCGATAGAGTGTCTCTTTGAGGAACAATGGAGGTGGGTAGTGCGCGTGTCAGTAGCACAGGCGCAGCGCAGTTTAAAAATAGTCACATCACAAGTGTACAGTGGGGAAACCATCACAATGACTGCAACGCACTCACAGCCACCCAATGTTGGACATCTTGGCAATCCAGAGAGGAAATGAACCATTCAAGGTGTTGCGACTGAGGAACCTGTGGAAGAGCAGAATGGAGCACTTAGGTGCTTTAAGAGGAACGTGAGGAATGGCAGATGAACCTTTCTTTTGAAGGCGCCTCAAGGAGAGCCTGCACAAGAGCAGAGAAAACATCAGGTAAGTTGATGCGCATCTGGACTATCGTTGCCTAATCACCCAGCAACCATATACTCATCATCTGTGCCAACCAATCATATGTTAGAAACTATTAAATCTTGTACTTCTACATCGTAATGAAGTGTAGCTGTTTTCATGGGTTAATTGACACTCCAATATCCCAACCGTACCCAAATGTCATCAACCGGAATCTCCAACCCAGCAATTGGAGATTCCAGCTGATCTCATCAAGAACTACCCGCAATTCCCCATCTATCATTTCCAACCCATTTTCGATCTACTTGAGGAGCCTCGTAATTGTTTCTATTTAAACTTATTATGGTATTAGAGCATCTAAAATGCACACGTGGATCTCGACCTTTCCTTTTCCCAAAACTATATCCGTCGCGTGACGCTCTCTAGGGGGCTCTCAACTTTCGTGACGTGATGCAATTTTCTCCTGCGTCACATCATCACATCCTTGTTGGCTGAAAGTCGTCATGCCAACTTCTTTGTCAACTATTCCCGACAATATGTTTACACTACACAGATTAGTAACCAAATGGAAATTGCATGAATACGTATGTTAGCGGCGGAGGTGTAGTTGGTTGGTGTAGCACTCGTAGGTAGGTAGGTAGCAAGGGTTTTTGACGCAGATGCTCAACTCTTCCAAATAATGAAAAGTAAGTGGGTGACACTCGAGACCTGAAGGACTCTTTCGAGGAAGCAATTCCGTCAACAAAGTTGTTAACAAGGCAGCAAGGCCGGCACGACACAAATCCTGAAAGCAAGAGGACAAGACGGAAATGAGAAGGGAGGCACAGGCGGCATAGAAGACTTTTCCAACACACTGCAGCTCCCGGACGTCTGGGGCCCGACTCCAGTTTTGAGGCTCCAGTTTTCTTCAGTTTTCGCGGTATTTCCTCTCCCCTACAGGTGTTTATTCTTGCCACGTCTCTGTGAATCTTCTGGACCCCCAAAGACAAGGCTCCAAAGCTCATCATGACTTTGTTACACTAAGAACATTTTACTTTTGAACTCCATTCAACTGCCTTCACTTGGCTGCCTTCAAAAGGTGGTAATTTTTGCAACAGCACGCTTCTCAATGAATTTAGCAAGTCTTCATCCTCCTTTCAGTTTGCATCAGATTAGTGACGTTGAGTGAGAGCTGGAACCACAATAGCCCCGCATGCTCGTTGCCTTCCAAGTCCAACACGCCCCACTCATTTTGCCGGCTATGCACTTTACCATGTAACCTTCTTCTACAATCTTTATCCCCAACCTCATCGTCCGACATCACACCTACCACTCTTTGGCTTGAGAAAACACTCATTACTCGCTCTCTTCGTCAGTCAGAGTGCAGTGCGCTGCCTATGTCCTCCTCAACCCCCAAGCTTGAAGGCAGCGGGGCAGCAAGCTTGAACCCAAGACCCATACGTGCATCTATCATGGCACAACCCCGACTCTCCCGAAAAAATGCTTCTCGATCCTGTTATGCAGATGGTGCGCGGCCCTGATGATGTTTCTGACAAGACTCGCACATTCTACTCGGAGGACTCTCTCTCTCAGCCCCACAATTATTTTGTGTGGGCTGACTACGATGCACCCACTTCGTTTCCACCTAAGACACTCACGTGAAACAACTCATCTGATGG